ACAGATAAGTGACCAGGCTACCCATTTGGAATTAAGCTTAGGATCGAAACCAGGTCACATGATTTAAATGGCGGACTGCATAATCAAAAGCGCGGGCGTTAGACCTATCCTTCAACGCTAATAATATCCGCCAATGGCTCGGGAAAAGCCCCACTATAATTTGATTGTAAAAGTTGATAAACGACCATGTCTCTGCCCACAAGAATTTAATAAACGATACAAATTACTGCACACAGAAACCTTTTTAAAAAAAAGAATTGAGCGATAATATCGAAAGTTAGTTGACTCAAACTGTGAAATAGCGTGGAGCTTTTAAATTTATAAAAGAATGTATCAAAGGGATGTTATATTTATGAGATTGATGTAAAAAAAATATTACCTTGTTCTCATCCAAGCGTTTTATTTCTCATATAATTATAAATGATCTTTCAACTTTATTTAAAGCTGTATCCCAGTTTAGAAGAACACGGCCCACACCTCGACTAACAATAGCAACGTTACTTTCATTAAATCGATGCCCACACCCCTTTTCGGCAAGCCTCAGATGGGCATCAATTAAACATACATTATGCAAGAGCTAAATCTGCCTATTGCAAGTCTTTATTTAGGCTTCAGATGTTATAGAAATTATTAATTAGACCTTTCTTTACACGACAAGCGCAAAATCAACTCTGTAGATCCACGGATGGCTTGGATACAGTTTGGATTTAAACAGTCGTCCATTTAAAATTAAATTAATAAATGGCAGACCAAGCTAACGTTTACCGTTAGTCGATGATGTCACTACCGGAAACTTGTGATGAAAGGCCTGTCAAGCGAGGATACCATAGCCATTGAGCATGTTACTTGATAATCGAGAATATGTGGGTGAAGTTATCGTCTGTCAATCCAACGATCGCCAATTCTTATAGACGGTGCAGACACAATTTATGCCTATTTCTTGTCCAACTTCCAACAATGACAATTCCGTTCTGAACAAAGTAATTTGACTTAAATTTTCAACATTTTCTTTTTTTTATCATCTATTTTTGAATTATTATAGGAAGAATGACCAACTCTTTATTAAACTCTTAACTAATGTATCTTTAAGGGTTTCGAAAAAAAGTATGTGGTCATTCCGAACCGACCGGCATTAGTGGGACTTGAGACGAATCATTTCGTATTACCATTTGGTTTCGATTCTTTGTGCATGGGATTAGACTTCAGAGAGAGAGAGAGAGAGAGAGGGGGGGGGGGTTAACGTACACTCGACTCAAACCAGTTCATTTCGGAATTATCACATAGTTCAAAATGAAATGAAATGAAATGGGGTTTAACGTCCTGCTGTTCTGCTCCTAACCTGGGCTAATGAAGACGGGCATACGCCATACAGTCTGCTATGAGGGAAATTTTGCCCGGGCAGCGGCGCTACGGCCTGCTCTTATATCAAATTCCAACTGCCAAGGGATCTTTTACGTGCACGCCAATGTGTACGCGGGACCTCGGTTTTTCGTCCCATCCGAACGACTAGACAGCTGTCCTTGTCAGGTCCTCCGTCCTGCATCACTGACAAGGGGAAACCACAATCACATAGTTCAATTTTATTCCAATAATTCACTTTCACCGTAGAACCAGGTGAAAACCGACGAGGTTGGACAGGCGACCCTACTCCTTGTCACGTCAACCGCACCAGTTGACTCAATGACAGACCTTATGGTTTCACGCGCACGCCGTAAACCACTAGACCACCCAAAACCCAGGAATTAGAGTAAGAAATCATCAGTTACAAATGTATTTGATTCCTTGTTGTGAATGGGGTATATTTTATAACAGATAAGAATTGATTAATACTATTAAACATTTAGTCTTCGTCTGAAAGAGCGTTTTTCAACAACTAGTATAAAACATCTGACTTCTTACTGTATACTATATTGTATAGTATGTATGCCCACTTTTATACTTTCTAAATTCTCGACGCTTGGTAGCCTTTTGTAAGAAATAAAATTATGGTATCGAGTGAAACAAGGTACCTAATCAAACCGCTACCCTGGGTCCTTGAGAAAGTCTATTTTCGTCCCCAAAGGAAGATACGTAATCAAAACTGCCGCTTTATCATAGTGGCGTAGCAGTGGTTAATGAGCTCATAAGTGACTTCAAGAATATCTTCTCTTTATGATGTTGATCAGACACTCATTTTATCCCGTTGGTTCATTGTGCTGATGGGCTTTTCGTTTCTAGTCTGAAGACATCGCAATTAAAGACCCCATGGTTCACACACAGATGAGGCTTATAAAAACTCATTTGACCCCAATATGAAAATGTCAAAATGACAAAATAAACACGCAAATCTCCCAGATCATTTTAAATTTTAAATAAGTTACAATTTTACTACATCATGTTAAATATTTGCATGTTTTATTTCATATTCCTTGACATCAGCGGGTGGTAAAACCGCTTACATATTAATTAAAGCCGGCAAATCTTAAATAAATTTGTCAAAGTAAAATATTTTCATTTTTTATGATTTTTTTGTGGAAGAATGCGTACAAGGAGGGTGGAATTAGTTATTAGAAAGTTAGGTAATTGGTTTCAGAGATTACCTTAGTTATGTAATTAAATTTCCATATACATTTAAATCTCAGCAGGTTAGCCAAGTCAGGGTGACTGTTCCTATATACAGCCCAGATGTTGACTCTTGGGTTATTAGCACATGAAATAACCCGTCTTATTCTCAAAAGAAGAGAAACGAATGGTAGAATTTTCCCACACAAAATTCAGTTTATGCCCTTGGAATATAACATTAAATTTAATGATCTATATTTTTCAATAGAAATCTTAAAATTTAAATTCATCTAATGTATGCTCAGTCCCAATGTATGCAAATCAAGCGCCCAGATGTGAGGAAATGGGCTATATACCTTGTCTGAAAACTGTGGATCAAACTACTGTGCCATTTGGTATTGATTGTTCAAACAGTTTATATGGGCTAGGAAATTCTTTTAAGGTGATGATAAACACGACTATCCTGTACCTTTTGCTTTTTCAAGCTGTAATTAAAACGAAGCAATAAACAGCCTTTCTTTTAATGTTGGAAAACAAAACAAAAACGAAGTTAAGTAGAAAGTTCCACGGCGACGGATCTGGGTTATAGACAGGTTTATCCAGACACAAGATGATTGCTAATCCTGAGGTTCCTTTCCAGCTCCACAGGACAAGTAGTTCCTTTTGGAACTGTCTCTAATCGGACAATGTCCGCTGACAGTTCCTATAGCTTCCTATATAGTTGCAATATGAAAATACCACTCATGTCCACCTCCCGTCTAAGGCTATTTTGGAATAATTATCGACTATTTTTCACTGTGATTCTTCCTTGTTTGCCAAAAAATCATTTCTTGCCACAGCTGACACACATTTTTAATAATTCAACACAATTTTCAAGTAGAATTTTGCGATTAAAAACATACACAAAATACGTTTGAACTGATCAGCCATTACGAGACTCAAACATGCGCAGACCGCATGTTTATTTAATCGCGAAATTCTACTAGCAAATAGTGTTGATTTTTTTATAAATTTGTGTCAGATATGTTGAGAATTCATTCCTTTTGCGAAAAATAAAAAAATCACGGTGAAAAATAGAAGGTAATGGTTCCAAAATAACCTGAGAATAGAGTTGGGGAAGAGCGATATTTTACCGTATTTTCATATTGCAGCTATATAGTAACCGTTAGGAACTGTCAGGAACTACCAGACAAGCAAGTTCAATAGAAGGCTTGATCTCGCTTTAACTACGTACATCTTATCAAATAAAAATGAAATGGGGTTTAACGTCCTACTGTTCTGCTCCTATACTGGGCTAATGAAGACGGGCATACGCCATACAGTGTGCTATGAGGGAAATTTTGCCCGGGCAGCGGCACTATCGCCTACTCTTATATCGAATTCCAACTGCCAAGGGATCTTTTACGTGCATTCTAATGTATACACGGGACCTCGGTTTTTCGTCTCATCCGAAAGACTAGACAGCTGTCCTTGTCAGGCCCTCCGTTCTGCACCACTGACAAGAGGAAACCTCGTCGGAAAAACATCTTATCAAGGCCTCCATGTAATACCCTGCATATTTCGGCACTAATTTCGATTGGGTATTCACCCAGCTTGTGAGCCGATCAGATTCCTCGGTGTTGTAAAACTCACAGCCGTTGCTTCAGAAACATGCCGGACAAGTGGAGTCAGCAGTTGTTTGAAAATGCGCCACAAATGGTTAGAAATGAAATGCAATTAGTAAACATAACTTTTTTCGTGCACGCTGCACCTGTTAATTTACGAAATTGAAATAAATACAATTTACGAAATATATGAAACTAAATTGTAATAGAATCAAATTAAATATCTGGCTTTATTTTTGTGACTCCCAAAATCAATTATCAAACATATTCCTCCGCCCTGTTGTATTTTACCAAAAAGAATCAGAATGTAAGAAGACAAAATAAATATGGACAGCTGATTCGATAATAAATACATCATACACCTATCTTTACTTAACATAATACTTATCAGCTTAATCTACCACAGGTCACGTCCACGGCGCCTTTCATCGTCCAGAGATCAATTGTTTGGAAGTGAAGTGTTTTCAGAGTGAATGATAATCTCGATGTAGGAGACGGCACGCAAGGAGAACTATTATGACAAATACAATCCACGATAGGTTTACATTTTTACAAAGGTAATACTTGACAACCAATTGGTACCAATTACAACTTGAACAACCTCTTTCAAACCGAAGGTCAAAGTTGAAATTCAACACCGGTGAAAACAAACAGTGACGTTGGTTTCAGTTATAATTTATAATATTGACCTGGGAGATTTTTATTTACGCAATAATAAAGGGCTGTTTATACTAAGCGCGAACGCGACTGCAAACTCAAACGCGGCGATCGCATTTGGACACAGTTCACCAAATATCCCTACGCCGTCACCCCGCCGTCACCCACGAAACAAGGGCCAAAGCTATTTTTAGTCCCCCCCCCCCCACACACACACCTTGATAATAGATCCTCAAAAACTATAGCCTCTATCGCGTTCACAAATGTTTCGGGAAGTCGAGGAACGATGGGATTCGATAGGCTCCAATGTTTTCCCAAGTTTTAAAAATATCAGTTAAAAACAATAGCCTGTGACGCGTCCACACTGTAATTTGCAAAAGAGCCATAACCTTGGAACGATGAGTATCCATAGAGTTCGTCCTCTCATGGCCAGAATAAATTTTAAAAAGATCCGTCAAACACTCTCGAACTCGTTCACAAACCAGTTATTGACTGACAGGGTGACTACTGTGGGCATATAAAAATCACAAAAACACCCGAATCGAACACTGGACCCCCTGGCTAGTGAGCTAGCATCCTACTTACTGGGCTATTGGGCACCCAAATCGTTTTAGGAAATCGCTGACCTGCAGAAATTATTATAGCCTTAAACAGATAGCAAAGACTAGATGAAAATCACATTTGTTTTGCCCAGATTATTTTTGTATATCGATGGTAAGTTAAGTTGACGAAATCCACCTAAATTTTGGAGTTTCGTTCATTGTCTCATCTGGACGACTAGACATACTTTTTTTTGTCAGTTCAGTATGCTTCACCTCTGACAAATGTGGCGCCGGTTTGAACATTTCCGAATGATTGTATCTCGGAACAATGACACCACACAAAACGCAACATCCACTACAATACACGGAATGGGGTTTAACGTCTTCATAATACAATAAATTTTGAGACTAACATACGGTACTTCTTATTTCGATGGTTATGTGTGCAGTGCGAAGGTGGTTTGGGATGGGTGTTGACCTTGATTTTTAATTCCAAGATACTAACGACTATGCCCACATTCCATGTCAGCCCCACAGTCCAGTACCCTGCCGCTCGCCCAACAATAAAGATATATTTATAAATACATGTATTTATTTTCCTCTTTTCCTCTTCAGGGGATTGAGTTGGTCTTCGGAATTCTGTAGATAAACGTTACAGAAAAAGGTTTGTCCCTTAGGAGTTTTTAGTATCTTCTGTAGCTGGAACGGATACATATAGACATCCGTTACTTTGTAGAGTTGATCATATCGAAGGCTATCATCGCCCCATAAACTATGGTCTTTTATTTTGTGGAAGCTAGATTGCTTCTGGATGCCAAGAACTATAGCTGCTAAAGCCAACTCATTCATTAGACCACTGGCCAATGTCTTGTTAGCAGCATGGATGAACTGCTCGCGAACTGAACTTGGGACATAAAAAAGACTCCAACCACAGTAGTAGGCTGTATTCGGTTTAGTGTTATCCGCAAACGTTTCTAGAAAAGTTTTCGATAAAGGGTCTTTGTTCCGTGCGTTATCTAGCAAGGAAAAGAATGTCATCCAAGCTGCCTTACCACAAGGTTTTTCCCACCAGCCCCAGTATTTCATTTTATCCACAGCCACTTTAATAATGCCCATATTCCCGACCAACGATATCTTCTCTCTTGGAAAAGGCATCACCGACCAGGGGTTCAGCAAGGTGTCTGAGCTTATTTGCATATAGCCTTTGACCCGGAAGTTCATCACCATTGCAGCCATCATGCATTTTTGAATAAATAATCCTGACGCTTCCATTCCATCCAAAAAGTAAACATTTAAAAATGCGGATGGAAAATGATGCCTTTTCAGAAAGTCCGTAAAACCAGGAACTCCTGGTCCACAATACACAATATGACTGAACCAACGTCGATACATGACATCGAGTAAAGGAATGTTCTCATAATCTTTTACACTACTGAAAGTAATAATCAATAAAATGTCCTTAATAACTGGGTGATGCCACCAAAAGTCCCTTCCAGGACAAATTTTACGCAAGTTGGAATACTTGATGATTGATTTCCTCTGTGGGTTTACTCGAAACTTTTGGGACAGAAAAATCTTAAAATCGTGTCTAACGGATATCGGATATGGCAGAATGACTGGGAAATGATAATGTATTGCTTGTAAATCTACAAAATAGTCCTTCAAAATTCTCAATGATTCTGGCGGAAACAGTCTGTACTTGATTAAATGTTTCATCATTTTTTCGGCACAGCTGGTAAAGAGAACTTTAGAGCACCAGAATTTATTTAGACTACTCAAAACATCTGATTTAAAATCGTCGGAAGCATCATCAATTCTAAATGAACCATTGCTATTTTGATGGCTAATCGTTATTGGGCCAATAACAGAAATGTCCTTACCAAGCGCAAAAACTAGTTTTTGGGCCCAAAATGAGTTCAGTTCTCCGTATCCAAGTATATTACGCATTACCGGATGTATCATTGCCCAGAATGCATCATGGCTGTAAACGACCTCCATCTGGTCAAGGTTGATGAAGCTCCCCTGGGAAAGATAAAACGTTTGAGGATATGTATCAGGGAGGACACTATTAGGAACTTTCTGGTTACTCCGAAGCGCTGCGTATAGCAATGGATTTGTCGGGTCTTTGTAAGAAAAAACATGATCTGTTGAAAACGAATGCCGTCTTAGGGCATACGGATTAAAAATAGAACTTCCGTTGTGCACGAAGCCATTTGTTTTATCCATAAAGTTCAGTTGTTTGAATCCATCAATAGGAATTCGGTCGATATCAATCGATAGAATCTGTTCAGCTCCCAGGATCATTGCTGCCATCTGACCCAACAGTATCTTTTGTCGCCCCTGTAGATGTCGCATCACAGTAAAATTGAGAAGGTCCATTTCAAACTGTCCTAAGTAGAAGCATTTTGGTGTTCTGGAAAGAAAATAGGAGTATATTGTGTCAAATAAAAAAAGACCAATCTCTACTACACTTTATTCTCCTATGGTGCAGGAAATAATAGTGTTGAAATATTACTGTTTATATTATTATAGTGCTAAAATATTAGTAATATTACTATAGTGTTGAAATATTAATAATATTATAGATAATATGTTGTGAACATTATTACAGTGTTGAAATAATCATATTCATATTGTTACAGTGTTGAAATATTGAAATAATCATATTCATATTGAAATATTGAAATAATCATATTCACATGAATATGATTATTTCAATATTTCAACACTGTAACAATATGAATATGATTATTTTAACACTGTAATAATGTTCACATATTATCTATAACATTATTAATATTATTGTTACAGTGTTGAAATATTCATATTATTACAGTGTTGAAATAATCATAATCATATATTATTACAGTGTTGAAATACTCATAATAATATTATTACAGTGTTGAAATATTCATATTATTACAGTGTTGAAATATTCATAATATTATTATAGTGTTGAAATATTCATATTATTACAGTGTTGAAATATTCATAATATTATTATAGTGTTGAAATATTCATAATATTATAGTGTTGACACTGATAAGAGCGAGAATTGGGGTTTAATGTCCACTCGACACAAATTAGATCGTTTCGGGACTAACATATGGTTCAATTTTGCTTTAATAATTCGCTTGTGAATAGGGGTCTTAAGCAGTGGGGGTGAGGTGGGATGGGGGTGGGAGTGGGTCTATAGCAGTGGAAAGAAACCGGAGGACCCGGAGAAAGCCTACGAGGTTGGACAGGCGACCCTACGTCTTGTTACGTACAAACGAGGAATCGAAACTATACCCTTTAACCCACTGACAAACCGTACGGTTTAACGCCGCCCAACCACCCGATCTTTTGTTGGAAATAATATTAACGTACCGACATTGGGGTGGTGCTGTTGGAAATTCACTAACAATAACTGTTATCCAATTTGGTATATCAATTATATGATTTATTCCACCTGTCCAATCTCTAGGTAAATAGGTAACCAGAAATTTATCTTCTTCAACACTGTAATTAAAAAAACGTAATTCATTAATATTAAAGTCTCCATACGTCAGTTCTGATAGTTGGAATGAAATGGGGTTTAACGTTCTACTCCTCTTGTTCCTATGAAGACGGATATACGTCATACAGTGTGCTATGAGGCAATTTGTGAAGGTTGAATCTCTAAAGGGAGCCCCAGTTAAGACCTGATTCAATTGCGTTCGTAAGTTACAAAGATGTAATCAATTGCAAAAACATCAACATTCGCCATCCTCTGCAGACTATCTAAACAGAATATAGTCAAAACAAACAAGCGCCACTTATAACCTTCGCTAAAATCCTTTTTGGGTGGGCCTCTTTTTAACCCGATTGAATTCAGGCCGGGAGATTATTAAAATTTTGATTTTTATTTCTTAATTTTATATTTAATAATCAATTTTAATTAAAAGTCTTGAAAAATTAGACATTGTACGAAAAATGCGTAAGACGATCGGTGGCTTTAAGTAGAAACAAATTGCACAATTGTATGCATATACTGCATACTACTAAACAACTGTATTCTTTAACATTTGGTATTTTCCGCGACCTTAATATGAAATATTTCCGGTCTTTGAGAAGTCTATATTTGATCAAAAGCGCGCTACAATAAGGCGAAATAAGGGAATTGCCACTTGCCAGTTCACCATGAACCGTAATTTGGCGCGCGTATCATCGTCATTATTAGCTGAACCCTTTGCAATTACCCGTAGAAATTTGTTATAATAACTTTTATGTAAAAACATCAAACTATTTGTTGTGGTACTATTTGTTAATTAGAAATTTCTCGGATTTAATGGGGGGGGGGGGCACCAAAACAAATACATATCAAAATAAACATGAAAGATCTCGCGTAATGAATATTCTGTTTGAGATCAAAATCAATTCTTTTTCATTTCTGTATGTCCTTATCTATTCATTTAAAATGTATATAGTGTAATGCCAACATTCAACAGATTCCCCTTAAACATACATTATGTAAAATCGGCCTATTGTAGGTCTTTCTTTAGGCCTGAAATGTTATAAAAACTATTAATTAGACATTAATTAACTTATCCAGGCCATAATCAGCTCTCGATGTCAAGGCTTGCCTGTGATATTTGTTGGATTACAGTCCGATTTGTTGCAAAAATTTGCTTCGTGATTAAATGGATAATCAAGACTATTAGTTTTGTCTTATCGTCTTCAGTAATGATGATCGAGGCTAAGCGGAACTTTCATCCGCCTGGTTCTCGGTTCATAGTGGATCAATTTGACTGAAATTTTCAGCAAGTTGCCTTTACATTATGTAGTTTTTAACTAATATAGTGAGAACTACCAACTCGTTATCTAATCTCCCATAATGTATCTTTAAAGGACAATATTGGTGTCAGTCATTATAAAATATGTGATAGAGCTCGTTAAATACATCCCAAATATAATTTTAACAGAGATCATTGCCACGGGAGATGTTTAACAAGCACGTGAAGAAACTTCAACGGAATTATCAGTGAAATGAAATAAGATCGTTTGTCTGTTACCGCTCGTTACTTCAGTCTGTTATATAGAAGGACAACTCGTGTTGGTCATGTTTTGCGTCATTTCCCGTTTCTTCGCGTGCTTATTACAAGTCTCCCGTAGCAATGATCTCTGTGTTAAAATTATATTTGGAATGTATTTAACCAGTTCTATCACATATGTAATAATGACTGACACCAATATTGTCCTTTAACAGTAGAACAAACTATTAAAGGGAGCTAACTTCATTTTCACTGTCAACTGCTCGAGTGAAATTAAATGAGTTTTACGTCCTTTTTTTGGGAGACGGGCATACGCCATGAAGTGTGCTAGGAGGAAAATTTTGCCGGCCCACTGTTATTTAGTATTCCAACTATCCAGTGTCCATGCACACCAACTATCCAGTGTCCAATTACATGCACACCAACTATCAAGTCAACTTGTCAAATTTACATGCACACCAACGTGTCCACGCACTACTAGACGCTGTTCCTTGGCAGTCCATATATCTTGCATCGCGACTCTCACAGTTCGAGTGAATGATTGAAAGAATGAATGGGGGGTTAACGTTTTACTTTTCTGCCGTGTGATACGGAGAAAAATTTGTCCGGACACTTTTAAGTCTTTATTTCCATTTTCAAGTGACAGAGTATCTTTAACGTGTTGCTAATCGTACAAACACAGTAGGACGTTAAACCTCATTTCATTTCATTTCATTTCATCGTACAAACACGGATAAAATCAGTTTCTTACGACAAATTATAATGTGAAAAAACAGGTTGGTTTATGTCCTCTTTAAACTATTAAATATAAATCAGGGATAATTTATTCAAATCAATAAATACACACTACGCCCGTATTGTACACTGTTAGAAATTTTTGTAAAATTACAGTAGTACAAGTAGTTTTTGTACCTTAATTATCGGTATGTTCACCACAATGTAGTAGTTTTACCAAGTCTGGCGTATTTTAACGGAGTTTCGTGTATGTTTACAGAGTTTCGTGTCTTTTTTTACAATAGACGGTGATGAAATCAAAGACACATTCAAAATCAGTAAAAATACATTCTTACATATGTAATATTTCCAAACTGAACTCAAAATAAACAAGCATGCATGTAATTTTACAGATCTTACGTTTATTCACATTATTTTGTAAATTTACTTTTAGGTTAGAAATATAAATAAAATTACAGCAGTTCTCACTATAATAGTTAAAAACTAGATAATGTAAAGGCAATATGCTCAAAATTTCTGTCAAATTGATCCACTCGGAACCGAGATATTAGAGACTGAATGTTAGGCCTAGCCTCGATCATTATTACTTATTAAGTCAGTACGATAAAAAAACCATAGTCTTGATTATCTATTTTTGAATTTAATCATTAATGAGCGTTGAGCCCCAGATCGGACTCAAATCCAGTGAAAATCCAACACATAAGATGGCATCCATGAGTTGATTATGGTCTTTTCATGTTAATAAATGTCTAATTCATAGTTTATAGAACATATCAGGCCTAAAGAAAGACCTGCAATAGGCAGATTTAGCTCTTGCATAATGTATGTAGTTTAACTTATTGGTAGTTATCGTATTCGGTAAATTTATTGTCTCTTAGCAAGCAATTTTAGAGATTTTACGTTTACTCACATTATTTTGTAAACTTTCAGGTTAGAAATATAAGTAAATTTACAGCAATTAAATTTTTACCAAAAATGTTCGGAATGTTTACCAAAATGATGTATATTTACCAAGTTTCATTCTTTTTTACAATAAACTTTGATGAAACCAAAGGCACATTAAACCCTGGTAAAAATACATGCGTAATATTTCAATATTGAAATGAAAATAGCAAAGCCAGTAGGTAATTTTACAGATTTACGTTTATTCACATTATTTTGTAAATTTACTTATTGGTAAATTTACTTATTGGTAAATTTACTGTCTCTTATGTAAATTTACTGTCTCTTATTTTATTTTATTATTCCATAGCAACGAACCATTCCTAATAATTATTTTCTTATAGTATTCATTCTAATTTATTAGACATAATATGGACAATCACATTTTGTGAAATTTGGTATATTGCATGTTATATATATTTAATTTTCTTTATTTATACGATCTAAAACGTGTATTATTATTCATCGTACGTTGATCAGATTGTAAGTATGTTCATTAACGTATAAAAAAAATGTTTTGACTTTCTTGTCATAGATTGTATTATCTCGTAACCAAGGTCAATTGAAGACGGTTAATTAAACCGATTGGCCAGTGTTAGCTTGACTGTCTCTAGAGCAGAGTTACAATGCCTGCAGTAGACAGTACCACAAGCTTACATCTAAAATCCTGGAACGGAAGTTAAAATCATTGTGGTTTTTTTTAACATTTGTCTGTAATTTTTCATTTACTGCTTTAGGTAAATTTACATTTGGAAGTTTAAAAACAAACTTACTGTAACCGTTCATTTACTGTGTTGCGGTGAATTTACAGTCCAAAGTTAAAAAACATTTACTGTTTTAAGGTAAATTTACTCACAAAGTCAAATTACAGAAATGTTTATTACAGCTGAATGTTTATTTACAGTAAATTTACTGGCAACTTTTGCTGCCAGTAATTTTCATGTAAATTTACCAGATTTTTTCTAACAGTGTAACAGGTTGAGATTAGTTATGTATTCAGATGGAAGGTGTCAATAATGTAACCTTCAAGCTCTCACAGATGTTACCACATTTCAATTAACCTTCAAGCTCTCACAGATGTTACCACATTTCAATTGATTTTCCCTTTAGTAAAAAACATTCCGCAAACATAGTTAACATGTTACGTGAAAAGATATAGTTTTCGTATTTTGTGTACTTAAGGTTAGGAGATACTGTAAGCTTCTATAACAAAAAAATGGTCAAGAATTTAGTAGAATAGTGTAAAATCCTTCACCCAAAAACACAAACCTCGGACAATCTCTCCAAACTCATTTTTGAAAAAAAAACCCACAGAATATGAACAATCAACAATCAATATATAAAAGTGAGGGTGAATAACGCATGTCAGACTATTGGAATCGTCAATAATGCTGGTGAGACTATTGGAATTATGTAATCCAGTAGTAACTATTATTCAAAATTTGATTAAAATCAGACAAAACAACTCCGCTCCCGTTTACCACCAAGTCCGGGCCCAATAACTAGGATAATGTGTTTGTGAAAAACGCTCAAATGGCGTACAGCTCTATTCTTTGGAACCCTAATATAGAAGAAAATGGGTCTAAAAGCAAATATTAATGTCATATGAATGTATAGAAAGTGATTTGTATTCAAGCTTTATTGTAATTTCTAATCATTTACATTCGGTGACATACGTCAACTGTCCAAATTGAACGACAATCTATACGGTTTTTTAATTATTATTTTGTCGTTTGTGAATCAGCCATTATCAATTATTTCCGATTGTCTTGTGGAATGTGTTTTTCTTTGTTCATTACAAGTGGCACCTGAAACTATAGAATACAAAACTCGTGTACGGAGTAATTGTGTCTTAATTATTAGATATTTAGACCCCATATATTCACAAAATAACAACCTCGATATTGATTGAAATGGACAATATTGAATTCTAATTCGTGTTTTTAATTTCAAATATTATAGAAAATGTTGAGGTTTATCTTCTTTAAAACTATGAGGATCGTAATGTTCATTCATTAACAATCATATCTGACAAAAAGCATTACTTTTGAGAAAATACTCAAAATATATAATGTTGACATATAAAAACACAAATACATTGGTTAAACAAATATTGTACATTCATTCATACCATGGTGCGGGTGAGTCAACTCAATTTTATGGCAGATCTATAAGCATGACGCGTATACGTACAAGAGAATGTACTCTTGGTTAGGGTGGTTCTCTTTCTAGCAGAAAAATAATCTATATGAAAATTTGAGACAAGCGAAGAGGCTAGATGTTTCCAGCTGTATATTTGTTTTATTTCATTTTATCTAATCCAATTTTATGGCAGATCTATAAGGATAACACGTGTACCAGATACCAGAGAATGCACCTTTAATTACGGTGGTTTATCTTTCTAGCACAAAAATAATCTATCAAAAAGTTGAGAAAAGCGGATAGGCTAGATGTTTCGAACTGTAATTTTTTTTTATCTAATCAAATTTACCTGAATCGATGGTAGTATTGGCGTAATGTCATTGGTAATGTTGGAGGAGAGAGGAAGGCGAATCCATGTGAAGTTAGTCTGAAGACGCCATAGCCAACTATACATCCCATAGTTACTACAATTATTAGTCTCTGTAATTTTAATCGCGCTGAAATGTAAATAAAACAATATACTTGTATATATTGCGGATGTGTACTTCAAAAATACTGATATTTGAATTAAAGTAGCCGGAGTGATTCGATGTGTATGGTGGTGACACAATTAGCAAGAGGCCCCGGGATCAGTCCATCGGGACTTTTCAACCATGTTGGTGCTGGACGGATGAGAAGAAAACCCTGGGTCGTATTTACTCGCTGGCATGTACGTAAACAAACTGCTGACAGTCGTAACTCAACGACCAGTTGGCGGAAATATTTCCCCCTCATAGCACACTACTTTAGAAAATGTCCTACTGTTCTGCTCCTACTGGGTTAATGAAGACAGTCATATGCAATGCAGTGCGCTATGAGCGAAATTTTGCCCTGACAGCGGCACTATGGCCTGCCCTTATATCGAATTCCAACTGCCAAAGGGTCTTATACATGCACGCCGATGTATACACGGGACCTGGGTTTTCGTCACATCTGAACGGCTAGACAGCCGTCCTTGTCAGGCCCTCCTCCCTGCACCACTGACAAGGGGAAACCACGTCGGAAAATCCCGATGAACTTTCTCAGCCAATGCAAGGATCGGACACGCGACCTACAGGCTAGTGAACCAACGTCTTACCCACTTAGGCACCGTGGCTCGACACTACTTTAGACTGTTAGGTGCAAATGAGGAAAATTGTGCTTTGGCAGCGGCGTTTACGACTGTTATTCACTGACTTCCAAACCTCAAGGATTCTTTTACGTTCACGCCAACGTATACACTGGACTTTCCAACCCAACTGTCCGCCTGTTCCGCCCGTTTCTCTCCACTTCTTAAGATCCCTACGCGCAATTATTGAAATAAAATTAAACCATATGGTAGTCCCGAAATGACTCTCTCTCTCTCTCTCTCTCTCTCTCTCTCTCTCTTATTTTTTAACTGTGTATAGGATAGGAGTCACGTTGGCTCAATGAGTAGGTCGGAGACCGAGAAATTTTTTCAGCTCAAGTGCGACCAGTCGAACGCAACCACGCCACCACATTGTTATTATTTTGGCAGAAGATTTCAGCCTGGTACTTTAGATTTATAATTTTTCTGTTTTCATTACCCAAGCATATTACCAGACTAATTAAATTAAATCGACAAAGATTATTATTACCAACCTGGTCTACAGGTGGTTGCCATGTCTGTCTTCTCCATATTTACACTCTACATTCATATCAATGTCGCCATCTTCGTTGTTGTTATTATTGAGCACGGGCCTTATTAATTGGAGTTATCCGCCCTACACACCACTGCGGGGATGCTCGATTGTCTGCCCAAGACGTCACGAATTGCAAAAATTGCAATCGAGTGGCTTGGAATTCAGTCCCGTCACAGTTCTGTCAGTCCCGACAGCGGAGGTGGTGTGGCTAGAGTCATGCCGTAACTAACACAACGAATACTAGTATAACAGTTTAAAGGAGCTAAATCGCTAATATTTTGGACCTAGAAATTGGCACAAATGGGTCGCAACACATATAATAATGTAATATGAATTTATATAAACTGTTTTACATTCAATCGTGTCCGTTTTACTGTGAATTGTCATCAGTTATGTTCGGCGAAATACACCAGAAGTCTCAACCGCAAGTCAGTTTCTCGCGTCTGGTTATTCCAGTCAACACCGATATTATTTATTGCGCATGCTCTCCAAATAAGAATATGATATCACCGTTTGACATGACTTATGGAATATGTCTAGCCTCATTCTTTGAGCACCTTGTTACAAATGGCGTTGAAATGCATTATGGTACACGATTCGTGTACCAATGGTAAAATGTTTATTTTTTCTTAAATATTGGATATCAGAAGCCCATCTTTTCCAGGTAAGATCACAACACCAACGCTGATTTAAATTGTCCAAAAAATGGTGTTTTCAATGTCGAAGATTTTGGATGATATTGAGTTATGGACTTAGCTACTTTAAAATCAACTCAGTTTAGTTAAACATTGAAGGTCTTTCTTTAGGCCTTATATGTTATCTAAATTTTTAATTAGACATTAATTAACTTATTAAGACCATAATCAAATCTCGGTGCCATTGTTATCCGTCGATATTTAATGGATTTGAATACGTTTTGTGGTGGATAATTTGACGTCAAAGTGGATAATCGAGACTTTGTTTATTATCGTACCAACCGTAGTAATGACGTTCGAGGCTAGTTTAAAATTGAATTGCTAATATCTTGGTTCAGAGTGAATCAATTTGGCTGAAACTTTCAGCATATTCTGTTTTCGTTATCTATTGTTTTAACTATTATAACGAGAACTGTCAGCTCAATATATAATCTTATCTAGTGTGTTTTTAATAGATCAATCTGGATTCAGTGAGTACTAGTATAACAGTTTAAAATCAACTCAATTTAGTTAATAAATTAGTTAATAAATAATATGTAGTCAGTTTACAAAATTCCGTTACATGCCTCGGTATGTACAGCTTTCAAAGGCCGTGCTATGCCCGCGTGGAGGATCTGGGTTGTTTTATGACGGACGGGTTATGTTATAGAGGATGGTGACTGTTGTGAGGGGGCGAGAGAGAGAGAGAGAGAGAGAGAGAAATAAAAGAGAGACAGAGATAGAGAGAGATGAGGTTAACATCAACTCCACACAAATAGGTCATTTCGGGACTAATATATAGTGCAATTTTATTCCAATAGTTCTCTTGCGCATAGGGGTCTTTAGCAGTAGGAGGTAGGAGGTAACACCGGGGACCCAGATAAAACCCACTAGGTCGATCATGTCACCCTTCTCCTTGTCACGTACAAGCGGGGAATCGAAAACACGCCACTTTATCCAATGGTGGACCTTTTGATCCAATGCGCACGCGTTAAAAGAAAGCGAAAGTTCATTTACGACAGGGGTTCTAGAGTACAGGGCTGTTTGTGATGAAGGACGGCGCAGTTTTATGGAAGATGTGGTTGTTTTGGAGGGGTCGTTGCTCTATGGATGACAAACGTTTTTTTATGAAGGATGTGGTTTGTTTTAGGAATGACTGGGCACTTTGAGCTGGGAGATATTCGGTTGCATGATATTCAGATATGTTGACTTATATATTGCAACCCAATTTCATTTGTTTATCCAGTTTTGGAAAACGAAATCATCAGTTCCAGATTCTATATAAACCCACAGGAAATCTGTAATTTTCAAACTTGTCCATGAAATCCCCGTCGTTGCATGAAATACTCACACTGAGTCATGCCCAGGTTGACTGTCGCACACCCTAATCGAAAAAGAAATCAGAGAGATACAAGCCACATTCAGGCGATCATCAGAAGCGTTGACTGGTTACTCATCCGACAGCGGACGAATGCAAACCAGCCGCGAGGAGTGGTCGATGGTGCATGTACGTACACAGAGCGCGATTGGTTTTTAATAGTGTCACAAGGTCTGGGTGGAACACGGGAAGGGCAGTAGAAAAAAGAGCACACAGTATCGTCTTTAGGACAATGGGAATATGACATTGACGCGGTCATTTCCACGAATATTTAAGGTAACTCGAATTCCAAGGGTACTTTTTTTAGAATGGAGGATATTTCAGAAGGTAGGGCCCTTTCTCAGAAGAGAGGGCACTTTTTCAAAACGGAGGGTACTTTTTCGTACGGGAGGGCATACAGCCACCCACCCCCTAAATCCTGGTTGGAAATCTTATCGGATTCGAGCGTTATCAAACGTTTCCAGTTACTTTTGTTTCTTGCATTTATGAGGTTTGTTGTTGTTCGTATTGGACGAAAAGCCAAAGACTCGTGCACACCTTTGTCAACGACTTGATCCTCTGACAACTGGAAACCGAAATAAGTGTAGGCTGTAGTGCCGCTGTTAGGGCAAAATTATCCCCTGTAGCACAATGGGCGGCCAATGTCCATCGTCATTTCTCTGTTGATGCAGATAAGTGAGATGTGACTTAAAATCATTAAAATCGAAAATTGACAATAAAACGTCAATGTATGTCTGTTCAATGGATTGAGTGACCCATGAGTGAGTGATACGTTGTCTCACTAACCTGGAGGTCCCGTGTTGGCCAAGACAATTCATTTTCCCGCGCGGTTCTTTTTGTTAGTGGTGCAGGACGTGGGGGGGGGCAACGTATAGTCGTGTGGATGGGACGAAGAACCTAGGTCCCGTGTACACATCGGCGTGCACGTAAAAGAACCCTTGTCAGTAGGTCGTAGTGCATCTGTCCAGGCACTGAAATGAAATGAAAATGAAATGAAATGGGGTTTAACGTCCTACTGTTCAGGTCCGACTGGGCTAATGAAAACGAACATACGCCATACAGTGTGCTATAAGGGAAATTGCCCGGACAGCAGCACAATGGCTTACTGGCTTACTCCTATATCGAATTCAAGTGATCTTTTACGTGAACGCCTACGTGTACACGGGACCTCGGTTTTTCGTCCCAACCGAATGGGTATACGTTGTCCCTTGCCTGTGCCCCTGACAAGGATCAACCACGCTGGAAAATCCCGACGAACTTTATGGGCGAATGCAGAGATCGAACACAGGACTTCCAGGTTAGTGAGCCCCCGTGCCCCCTCCCCCACCTCGCCTCGCCTCGCCCCACCCGCCCTGCTATGCCCCGCTGAATGAATAGAGACGAATAACAATTGTTAACCTTTATTCATGAATGATTACATACAAAGTACTAATATATACATCTATATAAAACACAGCTATTAGCTTTAGCAGATACACGCCTAAAACAGCGATTGGTTTAAACATATTTTAATGACAAATATCAAAAGGATTGAGCACAAGTTTCAAAAACTTAGAAAAGCCCTTTCCATACATAGAAATGATAGACATTATTTAATACAAACAAGATTGCAAAATAGTATATACAATAATAAATAATTTATAAGTAATATAAGTAAAGTCAGATGAATTATATCTCAAAGCTCTATATAAAATAAGTGAAGAGGTGATAAAGAGAATATAAAATTATATTTAAAACATTGAAAAATAATGTTTAATAAATGGGATATAAATGAACTGATGCATGTATAAAATGATAAAAAAAAAATAATAATAAAAAAAATGGGGGGGGGGGGGGTGCGGGGGAAAAAAAAAAAAAAAAAAAAATGTTATCCACCAAAAAAGCTAAAGCTAATAATTTATTCTAAGATGTAACTACTAACAATAACTTTTATTTAAATCGTTTTGAAAGTTTGATATATTTGTGAACTTCAAGGAAAAGGTTTGTATTCATCTCAATTCTTAGCCTTTAGTAGACTAAAGCTATACCTCTTTCAAATGATTCAAAATAATTGAATTCTGTCAAACCCAAAAATAGTGACAATCGAGTGAAAATGGGAATTTGGGGTTATAACGCATGCGCCGACAACTGAAACGTATTCGTTGTGTTTAAAGGACAATATTGGTGTCAGTCATTATGTGATAGAACTGGTTAAACACGTTCCAAATATAATTTTCAATCAGAGATCATTGCTACGAAAGATGCGTCATGAAGGTTTCAAGAAAGGGAAGTGACGAACGCAAAAGGAAAACACGAGTTATCCTTCTTTATAACTGACTGAAGCGACGAGTGATAATATATACACGGGCGAATTTCTGCTCACTAATAATTCCTTCGAAGACCAAAAGTTGTCAGTTGTCGAGACTGACAGAACTGTGACATGGTTGAATTCTGCCTCACACGATTGTAATCCCGTCAATTCGGAATGTTCCGGCCTGACAATCGAGGATCACCTGTATTAATGCATGTCCGGGACTGAGCAGATCCCCCGGATACGTTTGTTTGATTTGATAGTACTTTTATCATAATCGTTATAAGACATATAACGATACGTGTACGTGTATTGAAACGTAGCATGTTAATAAACTCCAGAAGTGGTATATCCATATAAGTGTTCTAATACTCTTTTATCATATATTAAGTCTCTGTTTCTTTCTTTATGTGTAGTTGGGCTTCTCCTGCACTCATTGCAGTTCCAAAGTCAAAAACAAAAATGAAATGAAAAAGCAGAGAAACAAAAAATCCGGTTTAATTTTGATTATACCACCAGGGTTCCCGATCTCTCTTGTGGGGTCTGTTAGGATCACGACACCAAACACAGTAGTCACCAACAACCAGTCGCGTGTTAAATTTCTGTGCTATTGGCGTCAATAACAGGTTTATGCTCACGCGGTAATAAAAGTGTGTTTCTCCCCTGGTCGGACTGGTCCACCGACCATATTATTCCACACAATGCCTGTATTAATTAACGGTTTTAACCGATCGGTTGCCAAAGACTTAATTTTTAATAAGCTAAACTTCATGAATGGATCACAAAAAAAGTTATTGCTATCAGTTTTGTTTGCAAAGAATTTTCCTAATTTAAAAGGATGGATAAAAAGTGTGTTGATGTCGAAAAACAAAGCGTATTGGTCACGTGACTCTTGTCGCCATAAGCTGCCATCTCTGACTCTAAAAATGTCTTTCGATTCGGCTAATCCCATTGTAAATGTAGGAATGGCTACCTCATCCATAAGCTGATGTCGCAAACAAGCTTTACTGATATAGATATAAGCATCTCTAAGTTTTTCGGGGATATAGAAAAAATCGCCGCCTCGGTAAAATGCTACATTTGTGTCCTTCATGTTATACTTGTACATATCTAAATATTCTTTCGCCATTTTGTCCCCTTCAACTAGAGCGGAGTTTTCTAATGCCGCCATCAATTTATTCAACGCTGGTCGGCCAATTTCTATGTCCCAATAGTACCACTGTTGTTTTTCCGAGGACCGATTGTACCACGAAATAACATCGGGTAAAATAATTTGATCTCGCGGTAATCGGAACATGTTCCACACATTTACTAACGTATCATCGCCGATTTGTAAATAACCTTTAACCCGGAAGTTCATCATCATCGCATACTGGGTGCATTCAAACATATCAACCCAACCTCTATTCAGTGCGTCTACATGAAAAAATGTCGTTATGTAAGAATTGTTTGATAAAACCTCTGCAAATGCTTTTGGCGTTGGACCACAAACAAGAATATGCTTGAAGTAGCGTCTGTACATGAGTTCTATATAAGGCATGTTGATGTACCACTTTATCTCATTAAACGTCACGATCAACATTACGTCATCCATTATGGGTTCTTTCCACGTCATGTTTAAATCGGGACAAACATTTTGAGCGTTAGTAGCATTTATTAAGAGTGGAGACAAATTTTCTAGAAACTCAGTATCAGCGTCCGAATACATGTGCGTAGACATTAAGATTCTAATATTGTTAGTTGCTTCCGCAGTCTTGCCCTTTCTTTTAAAAACTGGTTCTTTGTAGCCGACATACGCTAATACAAAAAGCCATGTTTCTAGGGATGTAAAATCGTCATCATTCATATGTCCTCCGGTGTGCATACTTTTAGCCATCCGCAAAAGACATTGGTACAGGGATGTCTCTGAGCACAAGAAATATTCTTTGGGAACAGCTGGGGAGAGAGACACGTTGAATGACGTTCGGTGTAACTCCTTTGTACATGGTTTAAAGGGGATTAGCATCACACGAAAATTTAACTTTTCTAATATTTGCTCCACGATCATTTTATAAACGACACTGTTCGTTGTTTCATCAACTAGGTTCATGAAGAGCGACCAGAATATCTCATGCTTATACAAAACAACGTTTGACGTTAATCTAACTAAACGACTAGGTATCAAAAACATTGGGGCTAGCTTTGTGTGGTTCTTTAGTTTCGTATCCGTGGAAAAGTTCATTGTATTATTTTCGTATTTAAATGTGCTGCACGAATATAAAGGTAGTTGAAGCACGGGGTTTATTTCATCCTCCAGAAAAAAAATGTACGGATATCCCTCCCCGGTTTGATTCTTTGCATATGGTACATTCTGTTTTAATGTTTCACCAACAAAAATATCCGGATTTAATATTTCCGGTTCGTTGTAAACTAGCCCACTTGTTGTTGATCGGAACTGAAACATATCTAGGTCCGTCAGCGAATGAACGTCAGCAGACACAGATAATATATACTTTGCGCCATGTTGAATTGCGTATAAATACCCAATAAAACCAAGATGGTAGCTTTTGATAAGAAGTTCTTCTGGTAGTGGCAATTCAATCTTGGTTATAACAGAGGGAGATAGATAGATACAGTAAGGAATTCTGTAATAGAAAATAAATTTATCATTTTCTGTTAAATAGAAATGGCGTTTGCCTTTATATATTTTGCGGGACTTAATTTGAGTTAAGGTGGGGAATCTTACTAAACTGCCTAGAGTAGCTCCGCGTGGGAACACGCACTAAGCTAGCTGACCGACATTTTGAATTCTAAATCAACGATTTTAATCGAAGATATTAAGTATACTCAGAGAAGTTTGAGAAATATTTTTTCCACTTTCATTTAATTAAATTAAAAATGTTTATTTAATCGTCGTGTGTATGACAGATGTGAAGCGGAGTAGAAACGCATTACATACTAATTTTTGGATATGGTGGCCATTCAGGACAGTGATCTATCTTCGAAGTATAGAGAAAATGGAACTCAGTGTGCAGAATGGGTGAGGAATATGAAATTAAATGGAGCTTAACATCCTACTATTGTGCACCAACCGGACTAATCGAGAACTTTCATTAAGAGTAGAGACACGTGTTCTAGAAACTCAATATCAACACCAGAATACATGCATCTGCGTAGAAATTCCAATATCTTTATTAGTCCCTTTCTTTTAAAAACGTTAGGGTTTTTTTGTAGCCGACATATCCTTGTACGAAAAAACATTTTTCTGGATATTTTGATTATTTAATTTCAGAATTAGGTTCATCGTTAAAAACTGTCATTGGGATAAATATTACAAAAAGAATATTGATTCTGATAGGAAATCAAAGACCTACTTGCAGTAAAATGGCTTGGCGTAATCATTTCCGATTATCACGATCTTCCAACCTTTTACCCTTGACATTGTGAATTTGACCTGATTCTCCTCCTGGGGTATGTTTATAACTATCCATTTATCATGTTCCGTTCTGTAAAAAAAATGTATAATTACAAAATGTCGATAATACTGAAGAACAATCTCTTTCATACATTTCCGTCTTCGGACCAGTTTGACGATGTGTACGTTATGTTGCATTCGCATATGTTTAGTCTTGTTGAACATTCAGGTAACGATGCGCCATTTTCATTTTTTGCTAAACTATCACATTTCTCATTGATTAATCTGCGCTAATATGTACCCAAGATTAATTATTTAACATTTAATTAAAAAAACAAAATCAAAATACCAACGCCAGATAATGTCCCGGCTTGGATCCAAACGAATTTATACAGCTTACCAATAAATTTTCGCGGACAATAAAATGGCGGCGGGCTTGATACATAGATCGATGAAATTTCAATTCCACATATCTTTGTAAATACTGAACGGAACGGAATCTTTTTGGACCTGTATATCTATTAGAGAATAGTTCTTTCGGAATCGGACTGGCATCATAATCAGCCCTGGGGAAAAGAACGATGATGTAGCTAGCAAATACCAGCCACTGGTATTATGAGACATTGAGAAGTGTTTCAGATTGTTTTTCTGCCGGGGCCACTTTAGTCGTGTGATAAGGACATTGATCTCGCAGCTAGAATGTCCCGGGTTCGACCCCCGGTGTGGAAATGAAATGAAATGGGATTTAACGCCCTACTGTTCTGCTCCGACTGGGCTAATGAAGACTGTCCCCGTATGGAATGGGGTGGATCTCGGCATGTTTCAATTCCGGTTCCCATTCCCATGAGGACTAAGGACTGTAGTGCTAAGAAGTAAAATACTTTCACTGCCTACTCTAACAGATGTGACGAAATACCACGGTTAACACATGTGCACGTTAAAGAACCACTGACATTTGGAATTCGAGGAAGAATAGGTGCGAATTAAGCTGTAAACATTTGATGTAGTCCCGAAACAGCAAATGGCGTTCAGTAATATAATAAATTTCGGTAACTCATTTGTGTAATTCTTACCCAATATAACTAATTCTAGTGAATTCATCCAAAGGTTGTACGACCTGTTCGTTGCTGGATGTTGCTACGTCTAGCTGCTGCTGTTCCATCATGAGGAGAACGTTCATAAAGGTCAGTAGAATACAACATGTTAAAAATCGTGTCAGTAATACAACGTCTGAAAGACAAAGTAAATAATACACTGAACATAAAACGCACACTGCTTGAAAATGGAAATAGTTGAATGGAAATAGTGGTCTTTTGGAGGGTCCAGAACCATTTCACAATTATACGTAAAAGGTCGAGGGGGTGGGGGGGGGTTATAACCACCAAGAAGTTGCAGTCCGATGCGTACCCAAATCGAAGCTATCCAAGATATGTGGGACATAATATTATGTTTTAAGTTTCATATAAATTGTAACCTCTAGATTGCCCATAAACAAATCTGAGCGAACGTCCACATTCTAGACGTTCAGCGATCTATTGGGTAAAATCCTGCTGTAAAAGTAAAGCCGAAAATAGCAGCCATCGTGGAAAATGCCGGCCATTTTGAAAATTCAAGTGGCTAATGGGATTTTCTTAGTAAATGACCCTAAATCGACACCCAATTAGTGCTTCTATACACCTTCGAAAGATGTTTACACTTAGCCACCCCACCACAACGCATGGTTAATCTACACATACCTTGTTGGGCAATTACCATGTACATATCTTTAATCTATATCGATCATTATATTATAAAACAATGGTTGTATTTATTTGATAAGATTTGATATGATGGGGTAAAAGTTTGCTAGGGACATCACTTGTTATGTTATCAGCATTTCTTATCAAATCTATATATCTATTGACTGTTCATCATTCCCAGTGAAAAGGTGGCCATAGATGGTAATAGTGTAAATATGTTAATATGGAGATCAAAATTTTTTTTCTTTTTATTTTAACTCTGAAAGGTAAATTATTTAACTTTTTTCATTTTAAAACATTTTAAGAACTAAAACATTTAAGGACCGGAACGGCAGAACTCCCTGAGTTCCAGTGACCTTTGTCAAGTCGTGGGCGTGATTCCGGTCAAGAATAGTTGATCCGGTGACAAACGAAATATTCACAAGAAAAGAGAAAAGGACACGAAAGCGTTGGTTAGACCCCGTATTAGACTAAAACAAGTATGGATCTCACTACAGAGCAGGAATTCAATGTTGAGTCATCATAGCCGCTATCATTGAATCGATGAACAATTGCCAAAGGAACTAAGAGTGCCCCCTCCCCTTCCAAAAACAACGAGAATAACAATATGAGTAGCGGTTGGGCAAAAATTCCTGGCCCCAAAAATACCGGTACTACAAGTATCAATAGATTTAATGGGGTTTATTCATGCGGCTAAACGAAAACCATTAAATTTGCAATCAAAGTGTAAACAGTACTAAACACAGGAATGAAAGGAGCCAAACGATAATACTCTGGTCATTTTGAGATTGTTAATTATTTCATTCTAATGTATGCAATTTGAGGACGAGAAGATGTTTTATTTAGAGAAGATGCTGTCGGGTTAACACCCGACAGTATCTTCTCTAAATAATCGAATTCCAACTAATAAATGTTACTTTACGTGAACGACAACATGTTATCAGAGAGGCTTCGATTTTTCTTCACCCTAATGTTAACTTGGCTATACTTTCCATTTTAGACCCCCAAGCGGAAATTCGGTTGGAACAAAATCTTATAGTTCTTTTTCTGTCCATGTCAGTATTCGAACCCCGGACATTACAGTCGAGATCCCAGTTCTTTAACGCCACCCCAAAAATGTGACGTAATGTTGTTATGCAATAATAACTTTATAGTGGGACGATGTCGAACGTTATCAGATGCTGAATGGCGCTATACGTTATCTAATCACATTATTGCATAACAAATAGTTTTATTGCCAATTAAAGTCTCTGATTGTCATTTGTTCAGTTTGATTATCTACTAATACATAAAAAAATTCAAGGATATATTATAGATAATTTCCCTGTTTGGATTCAATCGCATCAAAAAGAGACCCATCAACATAATTAACATAACATTTATAGGTGGCACTGGCTTGTTCGTATGTGGGGGGTGGGGGTGGATGGCCGAATGGTTAGCACGAGCGCGCTGTATCATACGGTCTGTCATTGAGTCAACTGGCGGGGTTTCGATTCCCCGGTTGTACGTGCCTATCCAACCTCGTGGGTTTTCCCCGGGTCCTCCGATTTCCTCCCACTGCTAAAGACCCCTACGCGCAAGCGAATTATTGAAATAAAATTGAACCATGTGTTAGTCCCAAAATGACCTAGTTTGTGTCGAGTGGACGTTAAACCCCATTTGTCTTTCGCTCTCTCTCTTGTTCTTATGCGTAATGTTGATAAGTTTTCGATTCATCGAATTTTTGTAAATACGGAATGGAATTGAATTGTCTTTTAGAGATTCAATATAGACATTATAGATTGCAAGGAATTCAAAATCCCTCAAATGATTTATACCGGCTTTAAACGGAAATACCCATTTATTTTTTTTATTTATCTGTTTTGGGGATTGAGGAGTCCGGTTATTGATTCTACGTGGCAACTACCCGCGCCTTCCGAATGAAAAACATCGACCATAAATAGGTCCCGAAATGACCCGGTTAGTGTCGCATGGGTCGTTAACACGCCTCTGAAATTCTGTATATAAAGATGTTACAATAATTCACTCATTTTTGTGTTTTTATTTATCTGTTCTATATCTGTGATGCTATGTGATTTCCCCTTATGTCATGCAGTAATTGGACCTGACAAGGACAGTGTCTAGTTGTTCCGGTGGGACGAAAATCCGAGGTCTCGTGTATACGTTAGCGTACACGTAAAAGAACCTTGACAGTTGGAATACAATATAAGAGTAGGCTGCAGCGCTACTGATCAGGCTAAATTCCCCTCATAGCACACCGTATGCCTGTCTTCATTAATTAGACCAGTCGGTGCAGAAAATCAGACCGTAGAGAGAGAGCGAGAAATGGGGTTTAACGTCCACCCGACACAAACTAGGTCATTTCGGGACTAACACATGGTTCAATTTTATTTCAATAATTCGCTTGCGCGTAGGGGTCTTTGGCAGTGGGAGGAAACCGGACGACCCGGAGAAAACATTTTGTTTGTAACTGTTGTATCTATTATTACAGGTATATATGGCGGTTGTCCTGGTGGATGGATAACTTACAACAATACATGTTACTATCTGAGTGCAACTAGACAGAAGTTTAATGACGCCATCTCTTTCTGTGATACCAAGAATGCCACTCTTCCAATATATAATTCCGATGACGACTGGGTAAATTTGAACTTTTCACCCTATTTCATTAAAATTTTAAAAAAGTCAATAAAGTCGTATTTGGAAATCACCAAATAGTAAATAACGAAATAACGAAATAATATTTCAAATTACGAAATAATATTTCGAAATAACGAAATGGTATTTCGAAATAACGAAATGGTATTTCGAAATAACCACATGTATAACATTTTGAACTTTAACTAAGAGATGCAAGAAACAGTAACAGTTGGTTTTCATTGCAAGATAAAGATATAAAGTTGAATCCCAAAGGAGATACTAACTAATAAATCGTTTTGTAATAGGAACACTTTTTAAAAGAATAAAATGGCTTTAACATCAATATTAACAATCATGTCAAAGTGGGTCATTTATATCCATGAACATCAAGGCCAAGATTTTTTGTTTAATCATCCAAGAGACTATTTAAAAAATACTTTTCAGTTCATATTTTTGTTATTTTTAAATCAGGAAAATGCTTATTACGTTTCGGGCGCATCACCGGATTAAGTTCTTCGCTTGATTATTTAAAGATGCATTATAAATATTTATATAAGAGCTGGACGTTCTTGCTATAATCGTTCAAAAATAGATAATGAAAAATGAAAATATTTAAAATATCATTCAAATTACTTTATGAGGGAAGTTATGTCAGTTTGAAAATATTGCGTAGATCTTTCGTTATCGTAGCAACAGTACTTGACAACCGAGGCTTAAACGTCAAAATAATAATTTATGTAAGATTTGAAGCCAAAAGAGAGACTCACAATAGGCAGATTTAGCTTTTACATAATGTATCTTTAAATTTTAATGTAAGTGTTTGTTGTTGTTTTAATCAGTCCCAGCTTGTTATCGAATTCATTATCTTACAATTTTGTTTGCATCTAGGGGATAAAACATAGATACACAACAGTTTATATCGCTTGGCGTTTATAATTTATAATTATGAAATCTTGACTTTTATTAGTTCAGATATTTAAGAAATCTTGGGGGGGGGGGCGCTTTAAAAAATGTATAAAACATAGATGCACAACAGTTTATATCGCTTGGCGTTTATAATTTATAATAATGAGATCTTGGCTTTTATTAGTTCAGTTATTTAAGAAATCTTGGGAGGGGGAGGGAGGGGGGGGCGCTTTAAAAACAAAATGTATTAGGTGACATTTTTGGCGGACTTCACGTTGTGACTCTTTTGTTCTCTAGCTTTATGTACAGAACATTACAAGAAATGGACCACATCTGTATCAGTGGGTAGGAATACATTATGATATAAAACATAAAAAATGGAACTGGATTAATGGAACTAAGACATACAAAACATCAGATATGTGAGTATTTTACGCGGTCATTTTACGCGGTCATACCAGAATTAAGGTTAAACGTAGAATGGAAATAAGTTCCGTCGGTCGCTTTACAAAGATCCAAGATGGCAACTCAAACTCGCGTTTCTTCAGAAATTTCACGGATTAGCCGCATCACTCATATTGTGCGCTAAAAATAGTTCCCGGTAAATCATCAAATCGGCTGTTTTCGAATGAATTTTTGATGTCAAGATGTGGAAAATGTTCCAAAGATCATTAATATGTAACTCATACAATGATCCGATGCCCAATTTCCAGAAATCGGAAACATTTCATTCTAACAAATGCTGCCAATGAGTAGTCACTGGGGGGGCGGAGCTAAGAAACCGAAATCAGGCTGATTAATGTCCGACGAGTTTTACCAGAGATAAACGAGGGGTAAAGTTATCTCTGGGATCGAGATTATGTTCTAATGCGCACGCGTTAGACGACTTGGTCCCAGCCCACCTCTGTTATTTATAAAGACATAGCATTCCCTAACAGTGTTAAATCATCAATTCTCTTGAACTTATGTCTTTAGATCCATTTACTATATTACAATACATCAAATCCAATTTCATTCATTTATTTACTATCTTATACGTTTGTTATAGACATTGGGTGAACAAGAAAGAAGGTAAACCGGCGAAAGGTAATGTCTATAACCTGTGTGCTGGTATGAACGTTGGTAACCATGGTTACGTATATCTACAGAATTGTATGACTACTAACCAGGTATTATGTCAAAGACCTGCAGGTAATAATTTATTTTAAATTTTTAAATCTACTTTATGTAGACCTACCGTTTGTTCTGTGTTTACGCTGTGTTCACGTAGACATACTGTTTGTGCTGCGGTTGTGATGTATTCTTTGTGTTGTATCCATGTCGAACTACTGCTTGTTCTATGTTTGTGTTTGATTCATGTCAACCTTTGTTTGTTCAATGTTCGTGTTGTATTCATGTATACCCTATACTGTCTATTCTATGTTTGTGTTGTATTCATGTAGACCTTATACTGTTAGTTCTATGTTTGTGTTGTATCTTTGTAGACTTATTATTTGTGTTGTATTTATGGACACCTAAAAACTGTCTGTTCTATGTTTGTGTTGTATTCATGTAGACCTATCGTTTGTGTTGTATTCATGTATATCTTATACTGCCTGTTCTATGTTTGTGTTGTATTCATGTATACCTTATACTGTCTGTTCTATGTTTGTGTTGTATTCATGTAGACCTTATATTGTATGTTCTATGTTTGTGTTGTATCTATGGAAACCTACTGTCTGTGCTATGTTTGTGTTGTATTCATGTGTGTGTCCGTGAACCTGTTTACACCATGCGACAAACTGAAACCAAATAACACTACTCGAATCTTATTTTGTAACTATGTTTCCCTGACCTACTTGCGGGGATAAGCTATTTATTATTCGAATTGTTGAATAACCTACAGCACGAAATAATTCTTCTTTTATCGATAAATCGTACCCATATTACACCGGTTTTTAAAGATCTATACTGACTTTCTATTAAACACCGGATCAGTCTTAAGATAAACACCCTAACTTTTACCTGTATCAACGACCCCTCTCCACCATCTTATTTAAGTGATTTATTAACACAATATATTCCAGTTAGAACTTTACGCTCATCAGTTAGCTTGTACCGATCCTAAATCCAAACTTGGAGAAAGAACATTCTCTTACCCTGGTCCAAATGAGTGGAATAAAATACCAAAAAATGTAAAGAATAGCCCCAATATATCAACTTTAGAGAAAAGTATATAAAAACAGAATATTTTCGAATTAATTATCAAAATTAAATTTATGTTATATTTCGTGTATGAAACGTTTCAAGTTTATGTATGTCTATAATGCTTTACTTGTACTTGTCTATGTTATATTGTAATCCGCCTCAGAGCAGTAAAAACTGACTGTTCAGCGCTTTAGAAACTGATTTTTATTTATTATTATTATAGTGGCCTTTAACATATATACTCTTCAAAAAAGTGGGGGATATTCAGAAACAATACAAAACTGCGGAAATGCACTGCTGTTTTTACTAGAGGTAACCAGTGTATGTTAATAACAGGCCAATTGCCTACACATGAACATAAACAGTTCATATGGGTGGCTTATCTGACGGCCCCATTTCACTGGCAAAGAGATACACCGTCAAAAGTGAAAATGGGCGTTTTTGATTTTTTTTCTTAATAATGAGTAATTGCTCCACCAATCCTCAGATATTCAGCAATTCGTCGTGGCATGCTCCTGATCAACCGTCCAATCACGATTTGGGGCAATCTGACCCACTCCTCTTGCAGTACCACGGCCGATTCTTGCAGTGTTGTCGGTTGACGTTGACGTCGACGAACAATTCTCCCGATAAAAAAATAAACGTAACACACTAAAACAAAGATACGCTAAACAGTAAATCTTATGCAAGAACCAATAGAAATGCTAACATAGATAGATAAACCAGCACGTGGCAGTTTTCATCAACCCTTCCTCGAAGTGTCAAATTTGACAATGAACCCCTCCCACGTGTATGGCGCTATTGCGTGTCGCGTGTGCAGTTCAGTGGTTCTGTTGGGGGCGATAAGTTCTTCATCTGTGAACATACTCTCAAAGCATGTCAAGTGTCTATGACTATTTATCATATCACATCCTGCATAGGTATTTCCTTTCAATACCCCCTACTTTTTTTGAAGAGTATATATAGCACGTGTTACCACATAATAAAAAAAATCATGACCTACAGCACGATTTGACTTTTATATTGATAAATTGTATGTGGCTTTCAATATAGTTGTTGCGTTAAAACTATTTGACACGTGTTGTCACATATAAGCTGGTTGCCACACATGCGTGTCGCATGTGCAGCTTAGTGGTTCTGTTGGGGCGATAAGTTCTTCATCTGTGAACATACTCTCAAAGCATGTCAAATGTCCATGACTATTTATCGTATCGCAACCTGCATAGGTATTTGCATTTCAATATCCCCAACATTTTTTCAAGACTATTGCGCTTCATTTGTAAAAACTGTCACGTCTTTTAATATTAGCATTATTCATATGGAGCATTCTGTAAATTGATGAAAGTAGAACTATCAAAATCTAAGCTGTCATGGCTGTCGTTGTTAAGTGTTGGTAAATGTAAGCAAAAGGGCTTGTTTCTAAATTTTGGATAGATTATTATTCGTTTATGTTAGAATAATAATCATTTTGAGGGTTTGATATAGAATTTGTTACCTAGATATAGATTTTGTGGGCCAAATTCTTTTCTATGGGGTATCATTTGCAACACATCATATTTTCCAATCAATCATTCAGCTGGACATTTCCACATTCAATTGTGGACTATTAGTGTACAGTCTAAGATTAAACAATGTGTTGAGTATGAAACTATTGAATAAAATTAATTACAAAATATTTTACTGTAAAACTTAGTAAATATCTATAATATGCTTCCGGGCACAAAGTTTCGAAGGGTGAATTAAGAAGTCATAAAAATGTTAATAATGTGTATTCATTATAAAAATAGCTGAAATTGTGATGCAGTATTTACAATTTTCCATGCAGACCCGAAATATTTAATCCAAATGATGTTTATGATGGTACTCCATACAAAACATCTGAAAGTAGTCCCTTGAAAAGATGGAGAACATTTGAAAAAAACAGTTTGAATATATGGACTTGGTGTGCTAAAACAAAGATAGTTTTCGAAAATTTAAGTCTTGTAGTTTCTATATTCCCATGTTGTGTTGTTTACCCTGTAGCTGCGCAGTGCTGAATAGTATATTTGCTTCATATTTTCCAAAGTTACAAATTCCAAAGTCGTCATTTTTGATTTTCATTCATTTGTTATTATCCAATATCATCTCAAGCACATTTAGACACCAAAATACAGACACTAAAGGTGTTCTGGATGTTTTTTTGAGGACCCCTCATTTCAGGTGTTAATTTTTGTGAGTTTTTGTCACTTTACCTTGCCCCTTAAACAATGCAGATATTAGTGAAAATATTGCTAATATTAGCGAACAAATGGCTGCTTAAACAATGCGAATATAAGCGAAGGTATATGGAAGTATAACGTTGCCAAGAATTTGAAGATAGACAACGTTTCAAATTATAGTTTTCAATGTTTCAAAATAGGGACTACTAACGTCATGGTGTAAAAATGCAAAGTATACTTTTCAAATTGCAAAGTACAATTGTTGAGCTCTTACATTCAGAAATGCGTATATACATTCAAACGCAAATTCACTCATTTAACCATTGCCAAATCCCAATATATGTAAAAACGCAGTAAAAATAAACGAAATTACACCTATGACCGTAAACGATGGGAATATTAGCTAAAACAGCATGCACATAATTTATGACGTAAATTTAAAACTATTTAAAAATGCAAATTTATACAAAATACAAACAAGTGATGCAAATTTGAACAAGTTAATGCGCATACGTTGAACGGTGAAATACAAAATGTATTAGTAAATGAAGACGTTAGCTAAAGGAATTCAACGCTAAACAAAAAAAAATCAAAAAAACAAAAAAATTAACTTCAAACCTCGTCTTTTTCGCAAAACCATTTTCTTTCTTTTTACTCCTTCTACTTGTCAGAACACTGCCTTCCTTGCGTATGTGCCATCAGCGCTCAAACTTGCCAAATAGCGAAAAGAACTTGTTTTTGTTGAATGTCCATCTTCAGAAACACTTTCCTCAATCTGAAATTTTATTTTTAAAAATTAAAAATACTGCCACATCCTCTAATCGGATGTTAAATTTTGAATTTCTGTGGATTTCTTCTGACTGTTTAGGTTTCATCTAATTCTGTTCACCTGGCGTTAACATTATTCTCTCCTCAAAGTTCTAATAATAATTCAGTATAAGAAGTCGATTTTGTTTATATGTATACAGCCAATAAGAAAAGAATCTGGCTGGGTATGACAGCCTGTTACTTGCAAGTCCGTAATTATTTTGAAGGAAACATTATCGATCCTACCAACATAAATTTAGTTTAGTTGCTGCTGCGAAAAGAAAAATACATATTAATAACATCTCATATATATATAGTTAGTCATTTCAAATTACCTGTTACATTGGAAGTATTTGATAAATTGAACATATTTATGCTATGATGTAATATTAATGAGAAATCTATACCATGAATTCACAAAACTATCAATCTCGATATGTTTCGTTTAACTTGAAGAAAAACGCTGAATCTATAATAATTTCAATAGATGTTTATGGAGCCCATTAGTGAAACATTTAAGCCATCAGAAACACACTTACAGCTCTTTCAATGACATAACCTGTTTTAATTTTCAAAAGTTTTTAAATAAAACTAACATCTGATACCAGTGAAGGGCGTAACAGTTTATTGACGTCACCAGGGGAGGTCCCCCGTTCAATTTCCCCGCATGGTTTCCCAATGTCACTCTGTGGTACGGGATGACGGGACTGGCAAGAAACACTCTCTAGTTGTTCTGGTTTTACGACTTCATTGGCCCTGACAGAGCATAAAACTAGGACGTTACATCCCATTTCATTTATTTGACATCGGCAAAATTGATTGGGGCTTCAATGGTTGAATTCCATTTCATTTCATTTATTTGATGTGGGTAAAGTTTATTGGAGACTTGTCTAGGTTACTAAGACGTTTAATTGTATCGTAATGTTTTCTACCCGAGTAATATATTTTATCAACAATTTGCATTTTAATGATAAATTTGTTAAGAACTATGACAAGTAGATGTATTAATGATAAATTTATTTTAATGACTTTGTTAAGGACTATAACAAGTACATATTTTAATGATAAATTTGACAAGTAAACATTTTAGTGATAAATTTGTTAAAGTTGCAATTTCATATTTTTAAGTTATAAAAATAAAGCCTTAAAATAGATGGTATCTATAAACAGTCCTACCTTGTTAAAGAATAATCCTATTAATCCTATAATTCACTATTGCCAGTTGAGAAATTGGCAAAAATATCATTTTCATCTTCAAATCCAAACGTCTGAAGATAGCTACTCCATGGTGGAGAATAGAAAACAGGGAAGGTAATTGGGAAGTAATTGTGTTATTATTTCCGGTGTAAATGAGTTTTAAGTGTGAGAATGACACTTATGATCGTATAATGGTGAGTTGACATCCTATTGAGCAAAAGACATAAAAAAAATTATGTTTTGACTTCTTAGAAAATATGAAATTGTAACTTTAAGGACTATAATAAGTAAACATTTTAATGATTTTGTTAAGGACTATTACAAGTACATATTTTAATGATAAATTTGTAAAGGACTATTACAAGTAGAAATTTTATAATTTTGTTTATCTGTTGTTCAAATGATAGAGAATATATTATTTGGACGATCAACAATAATAAAACTATTTTGTTTAATAATTAATTAATGGATATCGCCAACGACTGACAATATGTAATGTTGTTAATAACACGTACCTTGTTGTTTTGGCCGAGTTTGTCAGAAACAAGTCTGGTTTCAGACATTGTTTTAAAAAACATCAATACATGTGTAAGGTCATGTTTATTAGTTAAAAAAATCTTATGTAGGGCCGTGTTTGTTAGAAACCTTTTTTAGAAGTGTCATGTTAAGTAGATGGGTTACCTACTTTAATGAAAACATTTATGACAAATTCAAGGACATACAAGTATCCATATATATTATTGATAAAATTGATTTCTCTTATACATGTTTATTTCGGGCTTCTGCAATAAAATATTTTTATAGACATGGACAAGGCCTTGATATTATAAAAGCATTAATTGTATATGCATCAATTGTTATGTCTTTAAATATTTAATGACAAGAACTTAAGAGATGAAAAGAAATGATGAATTCGTGACCATTAACAACGTTTTGTCTCATTTAGAAAAACAAAAACACTCTTAATTCAAGAATGATAATGAGTGTAATTAAAGGGACCATTCCGATTTTAACAGAGTCTCAGAAATAAAAGTTCGTGTACGTATGAAGCGCCGAAATATAGAGGAATGGTGTATTTACCTTGTCTCAAAATTTCAGCTCAAAATATTGAGTTAGTTTGGACGTGAATGTTAAAACCGCTTATCCGGACACGTAAACTATTTAAGATTTCGGGTCAAGATTTTCCTAGGATGACCTGAAAATCCATTGTCGTTCATTTAGAGGTCTATACAGTGCATGGCCCACGTGCTGTACTTGATAACAAAAGGTAAATTTCACCTACACGTTATTTTTATAAAATAAAAGTCTGGTTTTATCCGGACACAGTATATTACAGCCTGGGACACAGGTTTCCATTTCCAAATGGAGACTGACAGGTTTAAGTTACATGTATTTGAAAACGTATCACGTATATTGAGTTAGTTGTTCGGCTCTAAGGTAGGGGATTTTAAGGGCTTTTAACACAAAATTAAACAGTTTTATTCTCCAAATATAATCGAGATTGACCCTTTAAATTTGAAGAATTATAGTTAAAATAACCCAAACACGAGCCCACTTAGATTATCTGCCAACGTGGATTCAATCCGAATAAATTGACGTCCATCAAAACTTTTTACTGATGATGCTATAAATGTTGAAGGGGTCTGAACTTTTTTGGACTGATATAAATGGCATTGGCTTCTTTATATCGTATATAGAAGGTGCTGAATTTTGCGAAATATTTAATTCGTCACACTCGACACAAACTAGGTCATTTTGGGACTAACACATGGTTACATTTAATTCAATAATTCGCTTGCGCGTAGGAGTCTTTAGCAGCGGGAGGAAACCCGAGGTCCTGGAGAAAACCCACGAGTTTGGACAGGTGACCCTACTCCTTGTCACGTACAACCGGGGAACTGAAACCACGCCACTTGACACAATGACAGACCTTATGGTACAGCGCGCACGCGCTAACCATTCGGCCATCTAACCCTTCAAGCTGCAAAATAAGCAAACACTATATAAAGCAGACATACTGTTACGAGTGAAATGAAATGGGGTTTAACGTCCTACTGTTTTGCTCCGACCTGGGCTAATGAAAACGGTGTTACGAGTGAACTTTTTTCCTCCTGAATTGTTATAGATTACAAACTTATGACTTTTACAGTGAATTTTATAGTGGCGAATTGTGGAAGTTTCAGCAAAAAAAGAGGACATGTGCGCCTTTATTCCGACGCCCGACAGTATCTGATCAATTTTAATTTATATCACGCTTCAATTAACATTTGACTCTTTAAACTAATAAATGCTTATTCCCAACCTATCGTATAAAATACGTAAATTAAAAGTTTAATTCGTTTTCAAAAACTTGTGTTCTTTTAGCAAAGTTAGTCGATCTGATATTCCATTGTAACCTAAGTCAGATTAACCTTAATTTAATTCAGTCGGGTGAGGAAGATAACACCCATACATCTGTGATGGCTTCTTTGATGATCTACAAACTAAACTTGATTACCAAATCAACAGGGTCTAATAATCTGTGTGGAGAAAGTGTAATATAATGCATGTGTCAAGTTGTAAATAATAAACAAAACATAGGTTACTGATGTATTAATCTTAGTGGAATATTTTCGTTTCGTTCTAAATTATAATCCTTTGATTGGAAATTACGCTATAGAGGATGTGAATATGTTACATCACACTGATCAGCAGTGAATATTCGCTAGGCCGCTACAATCACTGATAAGGATGACATCAATGCGACTTAATGAGTCTCAAATATTAACTTTTTTCCACCGACAAATTAAATTCTAAAACAATTTTTTGATGTATTAGAAAAATTAATAAAGACGTTTGACGTATTTGTAGATAAAAATTATTTCCTATTGAGTGTAAATGGGTATTAAAATGACTAAAAGGTAGCATTCTGCCCGAATCAGTAACGTCTTATGTAAACAATGCACGCGCCGTTCAGCCAATGATTGACGCCGCGTGCTGTGACGGCACGTATTAAAGGCAGTCATCTTTTACAGAGATATTAGAGAAGACTCGTAATTCGCTATGAAACAGATTGATGTTACATGTGTGTGATTAGTGAGGTGTTCAATAACAATGTCACATCCATCTTGTAGTTGTAATAGGAAGCTTCATATATTGTAGGTGTATTATTGGCTAACTCAAATTTGTTGTAATCAAAGGGACACGGGGAATATGACTACAGCGAATGTCTTAGTTATGGCCTTTATAAGATAAATTGGAAATAGGATCTCAAATTAAAGCACTATTAATAAGCTATGCTAATTTGTCTCGCTCATTTCATATAAAACAACTTATTCCGTAGTCCAATAAACTTGCAAACTACAATATTGTCAAAGGTGAATCTCTAATCAAACCAAAAAGAAGGGTTCAGTTCCATTCAGTCATTTTCTTGCTCGAACAAACTTATTAATAGGTTTTAATGTTGAGTTTTGAGTTTTGATTTCTTATTATTGTTTTAAACATGTATTATGCAAGGGCTAAATCTGTCTATTGCAGGTCGTTCTTTAGACCTGAAATGGTATCTAAATTATCAATTAGACATTAATTAACTTACCAAGACCATAATCAACTCTCGATACCATCAGATGGCTGCAATATTTAGTGTATTCAAATATATGATGGATGCGGTTACCGTACAAATAGATAATCGAGACTATATTTATTAGCCTAAAATTGAATCGGTAATATCGGTAATGAAAATTTCAGCATATTCTGTTTTCATTATCCATTTAACCTATTTAGTGTGACAATGTTAAATGAAATATTATGATATAAAATGAAACTGGGCTTAACTTCCCATTTTTTCTGCCCCGGTTGAGCTAATAAAAACGGTCGTACGTTATACAGTCTCTTATGAGGGACATTTCGCCCGGACAGCGGTACTACGGTCTACTCTCCAATCGAATTTCAACTGCCAAGGTTGTTTTACGTGAACACCGACATGTCACATATAAGGTGTTTTGCTATTCAGCAGCCATTTTTAACCATGACTCATCACAAAAATACAAACGAAAATCGGGTCATTTACCCTTATATTCTGACGGAAAGCCTTGCTCTTTTCAAAATATATCATTATCATTAAATCATGTTTCATTTATACTCAATACTCACAGTTCACTGTTTATTTTTGTAGAACTTCCATGACAGTTTGAACCACGTGTAGGCCATTTTCCATATAAACCCATTGTCTCTCCATCGCAATTAACAATGTCACAGCACATTATAAACAAAAAAAAATATTAATCAATCGCATTTTCAACTTTACATAAACCCATACCACGCCTACATTTGCATCATATAATTGAATTTTCATTACACAGTTTTCATAATTCTGTTTATAAAATGTCTATGTCACTACCACAACAGTACAGCTGTACAATTAATCAATTTAATATTTCTTAAAGAATTGATAATCTAGATTTCTCGCGTCTACCGCCATGTGACGACAGCTTGAAGTTATGTCAAATCTTACTGTGTTGATTTGATATCGTGCAAAAATCTATACTAATATTTGTGACTGTCGTTTGTCTGTCTGCTTGTTTGTTTGTCTGTCTGTCTGTTCGAGGTTGGCGGCTACACTAGGTCTGCCCTGAGTCTGAAATTTGGGGTATAAGGGTAGCTCGGACCGGGGAGTAACATAGGCCAGGTGGCGTTAGTCTACCACTTCCGGTTTCGGAGTTATGACCCCCGAGCGAAGCCGGGCATTCTGCTAGTCAATAAATAAATTGAACAACGATTCTTATCATATTTCATTTTATACAACCGCAAAATAAACCAAACAAAATGAGTTCACTGCATTTTCTATTTATTTGCCTTGTTATTTATTTTTCGGCGTTTTATGTGGTGTTATGTTTAAATTTTCGCATCGATTGAAAATACGAAGGTGAGCTGAAAATTAGGTTTCTTAAAGGAACCTTCCCAGATATAGCATATATGATGTTTAATGAAGTATAGTTTAACATCTTACTTTTCTGAACCAACCGAGCTAACGAAGACGTACATAGGCCATGCAGTGTACTATGTGGGAAATTTATCGAATTTCATTTGTCAAGGGTTCTTTTGCGTGCACATTAACATGTACGCAGGACTTCGGTTTTATGCATTGTATATGTGATCGGTCAGCGTGATAACAGTAATTATATATTTTATAAACTGTAGAAATATCCGATCAATGCGATTCATACATATAGGAGATTGATATGATCATGTGTTGTATTTATTATAGATGTGATCGATCAATGTGATATACATGTATGTGATCATGTATTCAATGTGATCATGTATTTATTATAGATGATGTGCTCGATCAGTATGATCTATAGTAGATCAATGAAATGTGACCGATTAGTGTGATATTCATCTATAGTTACACCAATATGACCATGTGTTTATTTATTATGGATGTGATCGATTAGTGTGCTATGCTTGCCCAGTGACATCAATGTGATAATATATTGTATTTATTATATATGTGATCGGACAGTATGGTGTACATGTATAGTTACACCAATGCGATCATGCATTTATTATAGATGTGATCGATCAGTGGGGATAGATCATGCATTTATTATAGATGTGATCGATCATTGTGGCTAGATTATGCATTTTTTATAGATGTGCGAGCGTGCTTCTTTTGTGTTAGCTTGACGTATTTTAAGATTTCTTATGTTGGGGGGTGCGTAGCTCTAATACGTCGAAGCACACAGCGCTCTCACAATAATTGTTATTCAAGAAGCTTTAATCTATAAGAAACATAAGTACTAATTGTTCGTATTTCGTCTCTTATATTTATACCCAGTCGCTATCGCCAACTTAATATCTTAATAATAATTACACTAGAATTATTTGAACATATACATGATAAGGGTTAACCATATAATACAAAATGTGATATAAATTAACATATTTACATTACTGAGACGTAACTCAAATATAGGTACATACTAAATCAATGACTAGGATGCATGTTAAGTAATATTAAATTATTTTAAGATTGTTGTGTAGAAAAGGTAAATAGATAAGACAGTGCGTCCAGATTAGAACGATCAGGGTTCGGAGTAAAGATTAACTTATCCACTTTAAAGCAATTAATCAATTAAGATAAGTAAATACATGTATATCAAAATATGTACTATAACAGATGTGACCGGTTGGTGTGGTGTATAGTTACATCAACGTGATCATGTATTTAGTGCAGGTATGATCGATCAATGTGATGTATACATCAATGTGATCATGTATTTAGTGCAGGTATGATCGATCAATGTGATGTATACATCTAGTAGATTATTGTGATCATGCATTTATTATAGACGTGATCGATTAATATGATGTATAGTAGATCAATATGACCATGTATTATAATAGACGTGATCAAACGATGTGATGTATAGTAAATCAATGCGATCATGTATTTATTTTAGATGTGATCGATCGGTGTATTTACTGTAGGCGTGATCAAGCGATGTGATGTACAGTAGATCAATGCGATCATGTATTTATTTAGATGTGATCGATCAGTGTATTTACTATAGACGTGATCAAAGAATGTGGTGTATAATAGATCAATGTAATCATGTATTTATTTTAGATGTGATCGATCAGTGTGATGGGAGTAACGGATGGAAAGATATATCAGGCCAGTGTTTTAAGTTCTTCGAAGAGAAGAGAACATGGAGAGATGCCAGGGTTACATGCCAACAATACAATGGCGATTTGGTTTTACCTAAAGTGGCTCTAGACATTTTACTTCTAGCTGATGTGGTGCCTTGTAAGGGCCCTGATAATAATCCATGGGTTGGAATCTCAGATACGGTTAGTGTTTCAATTATCCTTTATTTCATATTGAAAATAAAATGAAATGGGGTTTAACGTCCTACTTGTATGCACCTAACTATTGAAGACGAGCATATTCTATGCAGTGTGCACCCGCACTGTAATTGGATTGCAACTGTCAAGGGATATTTTACATGCACGCCAACGTGTACACGGGTCTTGAGTTTTTTGTCCCATCCGAACGACTAGTATTGAAAATGAAACACTGCTGCATAATTCATGGGTGTCTTTAATTATTTCAAGGCGAGAATGTCTTGGCAGATGCTAAACTGTGAAAGTTTGTTTTATTTTATTTTTAAAAGGCAAGCCAGTTTAATTTCTGATTTGTTCACTGATTCTACTGTCTGCAACAAGCGTCTGTGTCCCATTATTATGTTTTGAGTTATACTGATTTTCCTCCACTTCCTTGGTCTAAATATAAACCCATTATTTTTCAGTATTCACCAGGAAGATATTTAGGGGTTGACAAAAATACCCCATACCAGAGATGGGCAAATGCTGTTCGATATCCGTAAGTGTTTGTTCAGTGCTTAAATTTTGGAACACGTATGTACTCTTGTCAGTTCACTGTTAAATTCTTGGAACACGTCAGAACTTTTATCTTTGCAGTGTTTAGTTCTTTGTATATAAAATGTATACTCGTAATAGTTATAAACCATTTACATCAATGTAAAGCTCAATTTAATAAACGCCATCTTAGCAAAATTATAAATCCGTATCTTGGACGTAATACCACGCTAAAATAACAACAACAGTCACGATGGATGACGTTCTGTAATATTTAACTGGTTCAATCTATTGTAATTTGTGATCTTTATTAGTAAAATAGAATCTGTAATTTTATATTTCGCTGCCATTAGAAATAATATATTTTCTGTTGGTTGCAAACTGAAATTGGGTTTATAAAGTCCTATTTTCTTCATTGACCAGCAGGCTTATAAAGACAGGCATACACAATACAGTGTGCTATGAGGAAATTTTACCAGGAGGAGCACGACGGCCCACTATTATTTCGAATTCCAACTCTCGTCGGTTCTTTTCAGTTCTTTTACGTGCACGACAATGTGTACACGAGACCTCGGTTTTCCACCACTGTCCTTGTCAGATCCTCAGTCTCACACCAGTTGTTTAAGGGTCGAACGAATGATCTTATTATGGGACATATTTTTAAAGATGTTTTTGTTGTTGCAGGATTCCCGGAGACTCCTGTTTAATTTCCAACTCTGATATTTACTTCTACTATGACGCAGACTCGTGTATAGAAGAACATCCGTTTATTTGTCAGAAACCCTATGGTAAGTTTTACTATCTTACCATCACAGTCTTACCATTACCATTATACCCTCGCTCTACCATCGCCTTGTTGCAACAGGAACCGCGACACGTCGCTGAACCAAACTCCTCTCCAGTGTTGCTGTGGTGTCTGAACCCACTGAAGTTGGATTTCACGGTGTCGGCGTATTTCAAAACAGCAGCTCTAACGGCTCGTAATACGGTTTCATGTAGGCTGTCTGGTCTGAGATTCTACGCCGTCGGGGAATTGCTGCTGCAGTAGATGTCGCAGTTGAGGACAAGTGTGGTCACTCTTGTTTGGCCTGAGATTAGGTGTTGACGTGTTGAACTTAGATGTCGGTACCTATCCCAAAGGCGAGAAATGGAACTCAGGGAAATATTCAGCAGCCTGGCTACATCTGTCTGGGATTCACCTGCTTGTAATCAACCAATAGCGTTGTTGCGTTAGTCTTCGTTCAGATGTGGCATCACTTGGTTCGTTGAGTGTTTACATGTGCAACTTATTTTGAAACCGAGAGCCCTGGGATTTTAAAGGCCTTAGATTTAGGTTCCATGCAAAAATTTCGCGAAGTTGTTAAATTTATGTTTCTTGGTGCAATCAAGCGAAAACAAATTTCGGCAAAAAGGATGACCAGTCACAATTAGTGACCCTACATTTAAAAACCAATAATGAATTTCTTTTATCCTTACATAATGACATTAAAACAAGTAAGTTTTATGGAAACCACGACCTCGTTCGAATAAAAAAAATGATGAAAAATGGGTTGTGCGTTTCTTTTTTTGAAGAGTATATATGGGTTATTTTAGTTTGATTTCTATACTATTCAACCAGATTAAAATACAGATCCTATTTCGTTTCGATTGTTATAGTTTAAAATTTCGTTTTACTTGTCTTTATTACAATAGGATCCGGAAGAGTTGTTATATAACCCGCGTTCTAGTTAATGTTAGGGATTAGCCAATGAAATGGTCTGCTGCAGCGCGTTCTTGTTGTGCGGTGCACGGAACTGTTGGTATACTACTAAAAACATCAGCGCTGATCGGCCAATCAAATGTCTGACGTTATAGGGTCAAAAGCGGCTCGTATGACCCCTGACGCGACTTTCCATTACAACTGGTCATATCTTCATGTAGTAGAGGCCATCGGAAGTATAAAAAACGAAACGAAATATAGATGTGTATTTTAATTAGATTGTGTATTATTGTTATTACAACCCATTTGAATTGTTTGTTAAAGGAACTTGTCCAGTCGGGTGGACTACAAATGGAGAGACATGCTATCAGTATCATGGTAATCGTGCGGAATATGAATCATGGTTCGGTGCCAAGTCAACGTGTGAAAACAAAGGAAGCGAACTTCTAATGATACAAGAGTAAGTGATGAAAATAAGTAACTTTTTTAGCTTTTGATGAGATTGTTGTTGTTTATTACAAATGTAACGTCCTATACATGATATTATGGACAGGTTGATTTAATATACGTTCATGTATATCAAAAGAGATTGATGCAATTCCTTGTACTACAGTCAAGTAGTTTGATGAAGGCAACGTTCAGATGACGTGATTTTATTGTCCAATCAGGTTGTCTGTATTGGTATACAGGATTTTATTTTGTGTAATCAGAATTTTAAAACCCAAACGTATAAAAGTGTATCTGGCAGGTTTATTGTACGATACGTCGTAACATATAGAATTAAATATTGTTTGGTATTTTTTGAGAATGTCGCCTGGTTAACAGACTATACGGTCAGTCTGCTTAACAAAACCAGTACATAAACGCAAATCTAAAAACAATAAAGTTAATAACTACATGCATCCGACACATACTTGTCTACGGTGCCCTATTGGTGCCATTAGATAATTTATACCCCTTCTGGTGATATCCCTCACATAAGAAAGATTCACTCTGCAATACAATTGAACAAGTGTTTCACAATGAAGAATATGGTAAGCAAATAAAACATAAAATACCCTTTCACTGTGATGAAAACCTTTTCTCCGCAATGGAAATCTTATAAATATGAAGTAAATTACTAGAAAAGGAAATAAATTAAAGAATGACACCAAAATGCCACCTACTTGTCAGTGATGAGCTCAGTTTTGTGTTTCTGGAATTCGAGGAGTTGGTACCGAATCTTTTTATTGTTTCTATTCATATGAGATCTTGTGTCGTTTAGAACTGAAATCAAGATTTAATTGTCTCAGGGTCGGGTATCAGATTAATTCTACAGTTTACGAGTAGATACATTAAGAGTTCAAATCTCGTAATTAAAATAATAATAGCCTGTCATGAGTGTAACATATTCTCAAATCTCCTTATTACCGTAATGGCGACATGAAGCGAACGTAACGTTATTGCCGTATTGACGGCATGAAGTGGATGTAGCATAACTCCCAAACTCCTTATTACCGAAATTACGACATGAAACAGCGTAGCATAGCCCCAAAACATTACCGTAATGACGACATGAATCGAACGTAGCATAACGTCAAACCTCATTATTACCGTAATGACGACAGGAAGCAAACGTATATAGCTGTAATTCAGATCTCGTAGTTAGCGTAGTCACGACATGAAGCATCGTTTCATAAGCTCAGTTCTCCCGTCAAAAGGCAAAACCTAGTAACTCACTTTTTTCTTATTTTGAGAAAACAAAGGAAAACGTAATGAATGAATATTAAATGCCATATCATCCACTGATTTGACTATTGAGTTACTAGGTTTTGCTGTGGTATACTAGGCAAATGAAGGAAGTTGCTAGGTTGTGTCATGGGTGTAACTGCTTACAAAATCAAAAGATTGGAATATCTAGTACAACAACAGTAGGCACATACCCTAGTAACTACAAATTTGGTCCTAACTCAATTCTGATAAAAAGAGTGAGTTACTAGGTTTTGCCTTTTGACGGGAGAGTTCTCGTAATTACTGTAATGGCGAATGTAGCATTAATTCCAATCTCGTAAATACCGTAATGACGACATGAAGCGCCATGGCATAAGCTCAAATCGCGTTATTGCCGTAATGACGACATGAAGCGAATGTAGCATAAGTTTAAATCTCATAATTACCGTAACTGTAAACACTGTAGCAACTGTAGCATAAGTACATTACTATTTGTTGACTGTGCTGTACTTGTGTACTGTTTGTTTTTGAGCAGTTGTGTTGCACCATAATAAACATATTTCATTATTATCGTAATTGGGCTTTTTTCTAGTAAAGACGAGAATGCTGTCATTGCCAAATTTTTCAAGCAACACAAGATTAGAAATACTTGGTTGGGATTTACAGGTAGGTCTATTCCTATTAATTAATTTGTTGCTATCTCCGTTATTTCCTCGTCTAGCGTTTGTTACCCGTGATAAACAATTATAACAATTATAACTTTGTCGCATTTAAATCTCACATGAGATTGGCCCCGGATCAGAATTACTAGAGTAACCTATTAATATCATGTTGATTTGGTACACAGAATGGTGGCTAGGATATCCACTCGTGTTATCAAATCTGTGTTATGTCGCAGTGCACTGCTTTCTATTTCTTCGGGACTAACATGTCCCAATCTATGCGAATAATTCGCTTGTGCGTAGTGGTCTTTTATTTTTTGAAAGACCCGGAGAAAACCCACAAAGCTGGACAGGCTGACCTACACCTTGCCACGTACAAGCTGGGAATCGACACCGCGCCACTTGACTCAATGGCAGACCTTATGATATAGAGCACGCGTTACGCCCATGCGCCCTATAGTAGTATCTTGGATCAAGTATTTGTTTGGTCTGTAATAATGTAAGAGTTTTTGTGATATTTGCAGATTATAATGAAGACCATACATCTAAATGGATCGACGGCATTTCATTAAGTGATGATTCAGTTTATAAACATTTTCAGAGAGGTTACCCTCGTGTATATGGTTCACTGTTTACATGTGGTATACTAAATATAGGTAAGATATATTTGTAATTAGAAGGTCACGAAGTTAGGGGGAGCCCGTGGGATGGGGGGTTACACCTCTATCCAATGGATTGTTTTATATATATATACCAAATATTCGCCAATTAAGGACAGCGTAGATCTCCAAAGGGGTGATATGAAATTCTTTTAAAAAAGCCTATGTTTAAAATTTGATAAAGTTCATGGGAGACTTGCCCCCACCCACTCACACCCCCACCCCTTCCCCTACAGGAAGATAACTACCATGGTAAAACTATTTTTTTTTTGGAAATAAACTTATTCATATTTATATTGTGATAAAAGTGCTTAATTAATTGAGAAACCCAAAAAGTAGGTCACAAAACCCTTTGAGCGATGTTAGAATCTGTCTAGCAATTAATTATTCTACATAACCCGAATGGTCATAACACACACTGTACGGTTAATCTGGGTAATCGACATATTCTAAAGCCTAACTAAACCCTTGACATCGATGAAAGTGGCCACAGTACCAAACAACAAATCAAGGTTTACGTTTTGGACAATCTGATTAAAGGGACAATAACACTGTTGCTGGCTTGAAAGCTCCAGAAAATAAATAATATCTCTATCTAAGTACTAGATGTTTAAGTGTCCTACCTGTTGTGTAAATTATCCATTACATCCTATTTTACTTGTCCAGAAGGTTCGAAAATATTTTTAAATCGAAGTTTCATTTGAAAAGGTTTACTTTAGACGTTTCAAACCATTATGTTGAATTTTTCAAAAATTTTAAATAAGGTGTGTTAAGATGAAATTTGTATCATCAATTGATTGAAATATTCTAAAATAGTGCAATTTGTTGACCAGAATAAAGATTGGGACATATTATTCAGTTACAACAAGAGTGGTATTGAGCCTTTAAAACACAGATCCTATTTCGTTTCGTTTTATAGTTCAAAATTTAGTTTTACTTGTCTTTACTACACTAGGATCTGGAAGAGTTGTTATCATTGACATGTTCTGAATGGTGTGAGAGATTAGCCAATCAAACGGTCTGTCACGGCGAGCTTTAGGCGTGTTTTGCACGGAACTGTGGGTAATCCACTAGTAAAATCAATGCTGATTGGTTAATCAAATGTCTGACGTCATAGGGTGAAAATCCGCTCGTATGACATCTGACGCGACCTATCGCTACAACCGGTCAGATCTTCATGTATTGTAGGCTATCGAAAGTTTAAAAAAACGAAACGAAATATAGATCTATATTTTAATCAGATTGTGTTTTTGATTAAGGAATATCCTGTTGTAATATCGTATATATAGTTTTATTATTTCTTAGGAAATAAAGACGCGTTATGGTCGGATGGTTATTGTTTTAATCTACGACCGTATATCTGTGAAACAAGTATCCACACCAAACCAAATATACCACAAGCCTTAGGTAAGCTTGATTTATTACATTAGTACTCGGAGAAACCCTACGAGGTAGACAGTCAATCCCTACTCAAACTTTTGAACCATAAATAAATATAATATGCCACGATAGAGTTTATCAAGGGAGACAAAAAAATGTTGCTGTTCGGATAAAGGAACAATGGCATGCCCCGGAATATGCCCCCGTTTCACTGTTGAACTTTTCAATGTGTTGAAAGAAAATGTAACACCCAGAATATATCTGGACCTGGCAAGAAAATAATTTCCGGAATGGCACCCGTCGCCACGTTGCCATGTACGAGGACCAACCCTTGGAATTCGATGGAGAGCAGACTGAAAGGCAACTGTCAGTGCAAAAAAAACAACAACTGTATGCTACTCTTGTTATATCCTACTTCAGAAATGAAATGGGGTTTAACGTCCTCTTTAACGTACACGCGAATGTCTATAAGGGAAACCACACCGGAAGACAAAATCCGCTACCTCCAGATTAGCGAGCCAGTGTCTTACTCACTTAGCCACCGTGGCTTCCCAGTCGGAGCTAAACAGTAGGACCTTAAACAATATTTCATTCATATGTTACTTTTTTTCTAGCTTTATCATGTCCTAAAGACTGGACTCTGTTCAGACAGGATTGCTACTATATAGGAACTGGTAAAAATAGAACTGATGCTTCAAACTATTGCACGGCGATGTCAGCTACTCTTACAACTATTCGAGATCCCTACGAACAAGCCTTTATAGTCAGTAAGTTAAACAACAGTCTGGTTAAAATACAGATCTATAATATTTCGTTTCGTTTTTTTTATACTTTCGGTGGTCTCAACTTTAATGCAGACAAGTATATAAAGCTTCTGTATATTATATTGATCATCATTTGCTAACCCTGAGAAAACACCAATTAAAAATCGTTTTAATTAAAATAGTACTTGTGTTCCGTGTTTATTCTTTGTGGATTTGAGGTAAATTATTTGAAACAGCAGCTGGTGATCCCCCAAACGCCATCTATATAGATCATGTTAAAACCACATAGTATAATATTTACTGTTCATAAATCCATTTTAGAATATAAAAAATGGACAGATACTGTGTGGATTGGTATGACGTATGTGCAAGGCCAGGGTAAATTTCTCTGGGATGGATTTCAATCGGTAAGCAGTAGCTCTTACATTTTATTACATAAATTTAAACCAGGGAGTTGAAAAACAAATCAGCCAACAATTTATTGACTGTAGATGTAATGTAAATTGCTTTCTCTTTGTGCACTTATAAAATCCAATAAATAACGATTGGGGATATAGCAATTAATTCTCAAATAAAGCAACATATGTTTTCTTTGAAATGAAATGAAATATGAAATATAATGGGGTTAATCATACGCCATACATTATGTTATGAGAGGAATTCCAACTGTCAACAGTTGTTTTATGTGCATGCCAATGTGTGTATACACGGGACCTCCGTTGTTTTTTCTCATCCGAACGACTATACGTTGTCCCTTGCATGGCCCCCGTCCTGCACCACTGACAAGTGGGAACCAAGTCGGAAAATCCTGATGAACTTTCTGGAACACGGAACCACCAGGCCAGCGAAAGAACGACTTACTCATTGAGCCACTGTGACCCCTTTCCCTTCTGAGAATTGGGAAATACAATTACACCTGCATGATTTTATCGAATTCGTCCAGAAAACTTTATAGTTTGATCCACCCGATTAGATTTTATTACACACTTCGAGAAGGTATTGGTTGAGTAATAAAACCTTCTAGTAGTGGCCGTCCTTACCGCATGGTACAAATCAAACCTTCTAGTAGTTTATCGAGGTTCGGGTGCTTCCGGTGTCCAGAATGGCCGCTTTATATAAATAAGAATTTTGGGGATAACTAACCCGAACCCTAACCTAACCCTTTTTAAAAGACTGAACTTGGGTCTAATTTAGTTTTTACTTCTCTTAAAAGGGTTAGGGTTAGGGTTCGGGTTAGTATTCCCCTAAATACTCATTTGTATAAAGCGGCCATTTTGGTATGAGTTCTGGCTTGTTCTGGAATTTGTTGCTTCTAGTGGTGATAATATTTGTACCGTGCGGTAAGGACGGCCAGCCCTCGATAAACTACTAGAAGGTTTTATTACTCAACAAATACCTTCTCGAAGTATGTAATAAAATCTAATCGGGTGTTTGATCAACCTTTAAGATAGGTTGTGCTAAACTTAAGAAATGTCATCTTGTCTTTCGGATGGGACAAAAAAAACGAGGGCCATATCCACCCAATCCTTACGATTAGATGGACACAAGTTTTACTCATGCTGACTTCACTAAGACAAAATGCGCTAAAACTATGGATGAGGATACACAGGGGTTTGTAATTTTTACCACCTTCAACTTTTTTTTCTCAACTTTTTAAAGCCACAGTTTTACAACTTTTATCCCGGTAAGACAAACACGAGTATGACATGTGTGGAATTAGTTGGTGCTAGCAGAGGCGTCACGTATCCCGGAACATGGGAAAGTCAACTCTGTTCTAAAAAGAATAGTTTTATTTGTAGACAAGCAGCAGGTATTTTATTTTTATTTTTCCTAATCTTTCGGAGACATCACAAGACTATTAAAAGAGAGATAAATGGAGTTTAACGTCCACTCGACACAAACTAGGTCATTTCGGGACTAATATATGGTTCAATTTTATTTCAGTAGGAAACCGGGGGACCCAGAGAAAATCCATGAGGTTGGAAGGTGACCCTACTCTCCTCGTCACGTACAACCGGGGAATCGAAACAACGCCAATTGACTCAATGACAGGCCTTATGATACAACGCACACGCGCTAATCACCCCTCCCCCTCCCCCGGGACTATTAAAGTGGACACACGTCCGTGTGTCTCTGTTCGTCTGTTACACCTCTTGTCACAAAATAACTCTGCTTCTTATATTATGGTGTAGATGTTCATTTGGCGAATATATTGACAGGGTTCATATATGTTCTGCTGAGCCTAAGCAGAAATATGCAACCTCATTTGATGGTTTGATTCTAATTGAGCGAGTGATGAAAACTGATGTATTTGCAGTTTGCTTGGTGCATTATTAAAAGATAAATGTACAAACATTTAATGAGTGTTAATGAGTGTCCTCTATTTATTTAGGTTTGAGGTTCGGGACAGATAAGATGTAGGCAAATATGATTTTTGCAATACATCTCCCTTTTTAATTCAAGTTAACTACCCAGGTGACAAATCTCGGCATAATTGGAATAATACTCAGTTTCATAATCCGGGATACAAAAATCCAATTGCTGATGGTGTGGAAATCATCTGATAATAATAAAAGGTGTTTTTATTTTGCAGGTGGTAGTACTCAGACAATTCCTACTGCCCAGCCAACAGGTAACACATCTTGTACATAATTGTACACAATATTGTTAGATATATATAACTATCAGAATTAAGATACTTGTGGAGGAGCATACGTTGTCTTTGTAATAAAGCTTGTTTATGAACTTAAGAGATGGACATTACAAGTGCAAATATCTGTCCATTTCCTGACATCATAATACCCTTCGTATCTTTTTGGAATTTACTTCATTCTAACTTCAGGCATTCACACATAAATGAGAAATAATATGAATTGTTTATTAGTAATTCAAAATGTCGAATCTTTATTTAGCAGTTCTTACCGTAGAGTCTTTTATCTATCTTGCTAAAGAGCAATCTTAAAAATTAACGAAAAAACTAACATGTCATGCAGTCTGCTAAGAGAGAAATTTTACCAGGGCAGTGGTGCTGCAATCAATTTATATTTTGAATTCCAATTATCAAGGGATCTTTACGTGCACTACCAAGTTGTAAATAGGACCTCGGTTTTCGTCTCACCACTAGACTTTCTTTTACCAGACCCGCCACTGACTTGGTTGAACCATACTGGAAATTCCTGAAGTATTTTTTCAGCGGACGCTATGATGGAACCCGTTACGTCATTGTTAGTGAGTCATATTCATTGAACCACCGTTGTTCCTATACAATAGTCAGACAAAGTAATCCATGGTTTTCGGCGTATTTTTATTTTGCTTATTTGAATTTAAGCGGCTTGGTCAAGAAGGTGTGGAGGTCCTGGATGGATCGACAATAATCTTGACAACGCTTGTTACCAGATCAATGTACAAAAGTTGAAATGGGCGGATGCTAGACATGATTGTCAAAAAAAGGGCGGAGAACTGTTGAGTATTTCTGGAACAACAGAACAAATTCATATTCAAGGTAGGTTAAAATATAAACATGACAATTCTGTATATGTATCGTTAACTTTTCACACATTGACATTCATATCGTCGACTGTCCACAAATCTTATAAACACTCTACAAGTCAGAGTTTTTAGGCTTTCTTCTACACGTCAGAGTTTTTAGGCTTTCTTCTACAAGTCAGAGTTTTTAGGCTTTCTTCTACAAGTCAGAGTTTTTAGGCTTTCTTCTATTAATCGGAAGAAAGAAAACTATTGCATTCAGAGTTAGTATTCAATTAACACCACGGTGTACTTACCATTCTTTACAAAGCTAGTGGTGGGCACATTTTGGTTGACTGGCAGCGCTGAGTTTTATTTTGTTTCTTTAACCTCATAATTTTAGCAACCCTAGGTAGCAGTCAGTTTGCTTATCTAGAAGATAATCTATGGATTGGTGGTTCAGATAGAAATGATGAAGGTGGTTGGGAATGGAGTGACGGTTCACCATTTAGGTATTTAAACTGGCACCCAGGTGAGTACAAACTTTTTTTTAAATGAACATCGGATTCTCTATATTTTTAAATTATTTATTTATTTGTTATTCTCGTTTACATATTCCAGAAGACAGAAAATCTCGGGTAAAACATAAAATTTGTTTGTTTTAAAATTTAAGTCGATTCTGGCGGTAGCAAAATATATAGTCGCAGACAATTTTAAAAAGTAAAAAGACTCTTTCATAAAGGATTTGGCTAAAACAAATCAGCCAATTTAAGAAGTGTTACTGTATTGATACACTATCTTAATTGAGAAAATTCATGCTTTGAGCATATATTTGTATATAATCTTGATATCATGGTTATCTCACATTTAATATGGACCAAATCTGAAATAACTACAGTTGAAAATTTGTGCATTAGTGAAACAAATAATGTTCTTTCAGGCGAGCCAAACATGGTAGGTAAGGGACATAACTGTATGGTACTTACTCTTGGAAATTGGAACTTCCAGTGGGATAATAGGCCATGTACCATGTTACAGCCTTACATATGTAAAAGAAAACGTAAGTAGGCTTTTTGCTAATATAATTTCCCAACTTTGTTGAACTTTGTGACAAGGAGTAGTGTAGCCTGTCCAATCTCATGGGTTTTCTCCGGGTCCTCCGGTTTCATTCCACTGCTAAAGGTCCCTACGCCCAAGCGAATTACTAAAATAAAATTGAACCATGTGTTAGTCCCCAAAAGACCTAGTTTGTGTCGAGTGGACGTTAAACCACATTTCTCTCTCTTTAATAAAACAAGGCTTAGTTAGTGAAAGTAGGATTTGTTAGTTTGTATATCTGCTGTCCAACACAAAATCCGTTATATCTCCACATTGGTTACAGACGTAAATATTTCAACGAAGATTAAATAAATAAATAAAGTTCAGTCAAATGAACAGTTTAATATTTGACCTAGAATAAGGGTATAGATATATTTAATCTATTTAGAAATTACAACAAAATAATTATAAAATGTTAATAAAATGCTGCTTGTTTGTGAATATTTCATATCGACATGTTTTCGTCTATTTCAGCATACCCTAGCACCGTTATTGGGGTGACAAGTACAGCAGCTCCAACAGGTGAGAAAATATATCAGTATTAGTGTCTACTTATTCCTTGTAAAATGATTGCGAAATTTGTTCCATTCCACATGATTAATATGTAGATCCTATTTCGTTTCGTTTTAGTTCAAATTTTGTCTCATTCCACTTAGATAGGGACAAGATTTTAAATAAACTTCCTCATGTTTAATGGCAGGTATTAGCCAATGAAATGGCCCGTTTAGTCGAGCATTATTGGGGGCGTGCGTGGAACTCTGGGTTATATAAAACAAAACAAAACAATTACATATTGTCTATTTAAACTTACAGTTAAAGTCCCAGAACGTCATTCGAGGGATGGATTTTTAATCTCACCAAGTTGAATCTCTAATAGAATATCAATAACTTTCTCGAAGCATCGTTTTAAGGACCTCATTTTAATCCGATTGTATCGAAGACAGGAGATTATTACTGTGTTTTTAATTAAATGTCAAGATTCGACCAGGTAATATTAGATAACGATCAACGCCCTTAATGTCTCAGCATGTTATAAATTTTCAGGTTTGTGCAAACCAATGCCAATGCTCTCAGGTAATTACAGTCTACCTGACACAGGATTTGCTTCTACAGCATCATCTGATATAAATCATGGTCCACAGTTCTCAAGAATAACTCCAACAAATAAAGGTAATATTCTTATTAAAGGTGTCCCCTAATTATCAAAATTTAGAATATTCGAATCCATCCCTATTTTTTATATCAACAGTTACATTGATTTAACCAATGTTGTTAAAATTTTATTTATTTCTTTAGAACATCAGATACCGCATCTCATTTATATAGAAGTTTCCATAGCTTACAATCTGTGTGTGTGTTTAAGTGTGTGTATGTGGAGCGAAGTGTATGTGTTGGTGAGGGGAGGGGTTGCAGGTACCCAAACTGTACTTAATCAGGCCCGTAGCCAGCTTGCTGGCTGCGGAGGGGCAGTGAAGTTTTTAGGGGGGGGGGGCACACCCGGCAGAGTCTACAGTAGGTATTTTAGAGCTATGGTTGGTAATTTTTTTTCAGGGGGGCAAAACATTGCATAGCCCCCGCTGGCTACGGGCCTGTACTTAATATTATCTATTATCCATTCGGCGTAACGGGGTATGGCCAACATGGTAGTTCAGGGTCAGCCTTGGGAAATATTTCTCCCACAGTCAGACTATTAACAGCCAATGTCTATATTAGTGAAATGTGTTATCAGAAATGATATGATGGCAGTGTTGCTCTTGTTTCAGCATATTGGCGTCCATTAAGGAGTGATACTAGACAGTATTTAACTGCTAGTTTCTATAACGTTATGGTGATTAAAGGTATAACTATAATGGGAAGTCCTGATAACACTCAGTGGGTAACTAAATATAAACTACAATACCAGTTAAACTATTTCGCACCCTGGTATGACTATGAAGACCCACCTGGACAGACTAAGGTTAGTTTATTCTTAATATTTCTTATTTAAAGGGGGGCTTGCACGTTGACCAATGGATTGATGCACGTTAGATCGTAAGATCTGTCATTGAGCCCAGTGGCGTAGTTTCGATTCACCACGTGTACTGACAAGGAGTAGGGAACAATAAACAATTCATGCATTTTTGAACTTTGATATTCATGGTTCGCATAGACACTTATGGGCCCTGGGGCAGGGCACCGGCAGCACCCGCCTCCCTCCCGTGAGGCCTGATAATAATCACTTTCCTTTGACCATGGATTCACTATCTCTCATACGTTATAAATATTATACGTCTACTTCCAAATGACATTTAAGGATACCATCTATAGGTTTAACTTTTATTTAGATATTTGATGGTAACAGCGATGGTATTACGACCTTTTCCAACTTCCTGTCATATCCTATAGAAGCTAAATCTATTAAAATTATTCCTGTCACTTGGAATATTGGTATTGCACTGAGGTGGGAGATATACGGCTGTATTGAAGGTAACTATCCTTTAGTTTGCAATATTAAAAGAGAAAGAGAATGAATTAGGTTCAAAATACAGATTTAATTTTCCTTATATACCAAGAAATAAAGCATTTAGAATGTAAGTTGGAAACATAAAATGAATAAAACCAGTAAGATTGTACGATAGACACTAGAAGCCCAAGTCAAAGTAAGTCACGAAGTCACTTTCTGGAGCTGCATTTTTTAAATTGTTTTATTTTGAAGAGGAATGCCGAGCAGAATATGGCGTTAGCGGACCACTAATTGTACAAGATGCCGGCTTTGCTGCTTCCAGTATTTTGGATCCCCAACATTCACCTCACGATAGTCGGCTTGTTCCTATTAATGCTAACGAACCCGCGGCTTGCTGGAAACCACAGGTTACTGACAAAGACATTTGGATTGAGGTAAATACATATCATTTGGATTGGGGAAAATACATATCATTTGGATGGATTGAGGTAAACACGCACCATTGGGATTGAGGTAAACACATATCATTTGGATGGAGTGAGGTAAATACATATCATTTGGATTGAGGTAAACACGCACCATTGGGAATGAGGTAAACACATATTATTTGGCAAGCTTACCAAAGTACGGTTCCTTCAAGTACGGCCATAGCCGAGGTTCCATTAGATCATGGAATAGGGCATATGCGGCGTCAGAACACAGCTGGTAGCAATTAAAGTTATGCTAGATGTCGAGAAATGTCTTGTTTGAACTCTAACGTCAAAGTAATTAGCTACAATTGGCAGTTTGATACTATTGAAAGGATGACGTCATGCCCGGCGGTTGTTCATGTTGTACTTGTTTTTCCAGGTTACATTTCAGAGATCAAAATTGATCCGTGGTGTAACTATAATGGGTAATCCAGATGCTGCAGAATGGGTGACGTCATACAAAGTATCTTACCAGATTAACGATGGTACCAAAAAATTCCATATTTACCAAGAACCGTACGGTACGGATAAGGTATAGATATAAATCTGACATACCGTAAATTAAATCCAAAATAAAAACGTCAATTTCAATTGATTTAATATATTGATTTGTTCGGTGATAAACAAAAATTAATTTGTCCGGTCATTAATGGAAATAACACATCAGATCAACCTAATGGAATAAAATATTGTGACCTAAATCAGAGCTGAGATCCTTTAAGTTGGGAGAGAGAGAGAAAAAGGAGACCCACGCTAGTTGACTAAATGACAGACCATCCCCCCCCGCTCCGCCCCGCTTCCCACTTCCATTAGAAGTGATGTGCTAAATTTATAAACATTTCACTTAACAAAATAAAATGTGCCATTCGGAACCTTAGAACCTTACATTAGCAGACTGTTTTTGTCATTGCATTTGATAATTTTCAGCATTACCCATTTTTTAGCATTACCCATTTTCTTTATAATAAATCTACTTTAATTGTGTTATTTATTTCTTTATTTATTGTGTTTTAAGGTTAAATTCTGTGAAGTTCTAATTTTATGACATGTAAATTGACTGCCAGGTAAGGTTGTAGTTGGTTAATTACAATGTCTACCAGTCAAGATTGGCAAGCAGTACTAAAACTAGAGCCCTGGACTATACAATCTTATCTTTTTTTCAGATTTTTCAAGGAAATACCAACACCAGTATACGTGTAACCAACATGTTCCTGTCTCACTTTCAAGCTAATAAAGTCAGGATTTTACCATTAACCTATAATGGTGCTATTGCTTTAAGACTTGATATCCTCATTTGTCCAAAAGGTAAACAATATTATTTGAAGATGTTAAACCCCTAGAATTTAGAATAACGTTAAAAGATGGTGCTAAAAACTGTGAAACGGGCCTTTTAAGACTGATTATTGAAAGGTATTAGAATTCTCCTGGTCTGTTTCGACTTGCTATAATTTTACTATATCTGCGTATACATCGTTGAGAAATAGATGTTTTAAGATTCTGCACGAGTCGTGTGTATTATGTAGGTTATACTAGTTTTGAGAAGTTCCGTAGATGCTCGTGAACAATACTTGTGAAGTAGGTTACGATTAAGTCCTCTAGCTTTTATTGTGGTCAGTGTTGGATGTAAAGAAACTGTATGCCTGACAAAACATAGAAAAACAGCACTGATTGAACAATTGATTAGCTAAATTAAAAACAGGTCTAATTAGTAACAATCTGATTAAAACACAGATCCTATTTCGTTTCGTTTGTTATACTTCAAAATTCCGTTTTACTTGTCTTTACTACACTAGGATCTGGAAGAGTTGTTATGTAACCCGCGTTCTGGATGATGTGAGAGATTAGCCAATGAAATGGTCTGTCACGGCGTGTTTTTGGCGTGAGTTACACGGAACTGTGGGTAAACCACTAGAAACGTCAAAGCTGATTGATTAATCAATGTCTGACGTCATAAGGTCAAAAGCCGCTCGTATAACACCTGACGCGACCTTCCACTACAATTGGTCAGATATCCTTGTAGTGTAGGTTATCGAAAATATGGAGAAAAAAACGAAACGAAATAGAGATCTGTATTTTGATCAGATTGAATTAGTACAGATTTTATTTCAGGTTGCCAAGATGTACCGTTGATCAACGGTAACTCAAAGATACCAGACGAACAGATAACAGCGTCCTCTCAGTATGATAACGACCATGGTCCTATGAGATCGAGACTAAACACGAATACCCAGGGTGCCCTTGCGTCGGGTTGGTTGGCTCAGTACAATGATAAAAAACAGTATATTCAGGTAACAGTGTTCTAGAACTCTCACCAGGTTAACAGCAGAATCAAAATACATGAATGAAATGTGTGCTGTGAATAAAATTTTCCCGGATAGCGGCGCTACTACCTACGCTTAATTCGAATTATGTGATGGATTCTATTACATGCACAATAACCGAAGTATATTGTTGTCGAGGTGTCAAACCTAATCCCATCACACACCCATTCATTTAGCCCCATTTCCTCACAATATATTAGATAATGTTTTTAACCATAATTATCTTTATTCAGGTAGATCATGTTTATAACAAGATCATATCTTTATTCAGGTAGATCATGTTTTTAACCAGATCATATCTTTATTCAGGTAGATCATGTTTTTAACCAGGTCATATCTTTTTTCAGGTAGATCATGTTTTTAACCAGGTCATATCTTTATTCAGGTAGATTTAGGGGAACCTATACAAGTTACTGCTATAGCTACACAAGGTCGTCCGGACAGAAACGAATGGGTCAGAGAGTTTAAATTAAGTATATCTAATGATGGAATCAACTTTAACTTCTATTATATAGGCAACAATGTAACGGTAAATACTAAATTATAAACATTATATACAACAGCATTAACAGGTGTTCCAGAAAGAGTGGGCACACCCTGCATCACACCCGCCACTACGTATAGTTTAACTGGTTTGGAGCTTTACTTTAGCAAACGAAAAGTCTTAAATCCATTGTCAGACAGGTGGTATATAAGTATAATGATCCTAGAAATATATATTTTAAAGGGTTTATTGGAGTAATACGTCTTCTTACTTTGAAAGTGTAATACGTTTTCTACGGGCATGATATGGGTGACTGGTGTATGAATAACGGAGGTAGATGTTTTGATTACACTTCGAATAGCCAGGAACGAGTTCACAAAGCATTTCCAGACCTAAGTTAAGAATTTACTCAAAATTGTTTGCATTATTTCAACTAAAATATAGCCCTTTATAAAACTTATGTTTTTTTTTAATGTACCGGTATCAAAACATCAACAGGAAACTATGTGCAAAGTGATATTTCTAATAAACAGTGATTGAAGGTTAGGGGTAAATTCTTAACCTAAGTCTGAGAATGCTTTGTAAACTCTTTTGAAGACATTTTCATAACCTTTCTTTGTTCACAATGTGGTACATGATTAAAAAACAAATTCAAGAAATAGTTTATCGTCATAAACAAAATTAACATTGTTAGAACACTTGGCTTTGTTTTTGTGTTTTGGGTTTCTTTTTTGTTTTTTGGGGGTTTTTTTAGATGTAATATTCGTATCAAATTTTGGATCAATTTGATAAACCAGTTCCACAACACAAGTTGATTTGGTAACAGGTGTTGTGGTCGAGAAAGGATATGCTTTGGAATATAAAATACATGTTTCTTGGCTAAAGAAAATACACAGCCATAAGCAGAAATAAACAGCAAAATATGCAACATTTAGGTACTTCTGAAGTATGAAACATTATGTCCACACAAAGTCAAGGAGCCACTCAGTGAGTACAGTGCACGCATTAACTAGCCAGGAGGTCTCTAGTTCGATCCTTAGGATTTCCCCCCTTGTCTGTGGTGCAGGACGAATGGACTGGTGGTAAAAGGTTTTAGTCGTTTGCATGGTACAATTGCGAATCGAAAAAGAAAGCAAAAACGTTGCTGTCTGGGCAAATTTACCTCATATGCCTGCCCGTCCCCGTCCTCATTACACGATTGGTACAGGAAAAGATGCGTTAAACCACATTTCATGTCATTTAACTAATAGATCTATTTCACTAGTAGATCTATTGTAGATCTATTTCACTAGTATGTCTATTTACATAACTTTTCAGTTATTCGATGCAAACTGGGATGCATTATCTGTACGAAAACAGTATCTTCCTGCTCCCATTGTAGCCCGGTATATCCAGCTATGGCCTACAGACTGGCAGAAGAGAATAGCTTTACGGTGGGAAATTTACGGTTGTCCAGGTACGTAAAATAAATATATCTACAATAGCAAAAAAATAAAAGAACCAATGAATAGTCTGGTAGTAAAAGGACTGAACGTTGCAGTTGTGTACATTTGGGCGTTTTGTAAAATATGCAAATAAAGTCCGACAATTTGAATATTCTGAAAACCATTTAAAGAAGCCCGGGTGGCATCACACATTTTCTTTTTTTCAAAGAGAGCCCAATAGGGTCTAGTAATCTAGGTTCCGTTCAAATTCTCTTATTATATTTCAGGACCCGCATCAAATACTAAAATTGGTTGTTATGCTGATGTAGCTGAAGATAGAGATTTACCTTTTGAAGCTTTAAGTGATCCAGAAACCGGATTGTGGCCTCCAATGTGTATACAGCATTGTTACTTAAAGGTAGGCCACCAAGTCCCCTACGTGTTACAACAAATCGTTTGTGTTATTATTTCAGAGGTACTTTTATGCTTGAGTACAAAACGGAGATAGATGCGTTTGTGTTGTTATCTGAGGGATATCATTATACTGGGGTACAAAACGGAGATAAATGTTTTTGTGTCATAGTTTCAGAGATATCGTTATTCTGGAGATAAATGTTTTTGTGTTGTTTATTTCAGGGATATCATTATGCTGGGGTACAAAACGGAGATAAATGTTTTTGTGTCATAGTTTCAGAGATATCGTTATTCTGGAGATAAATGTTTTTGTGTTGTTTATTTCAGGGATATCATTATGCTGGGGTACAAAACGGAGATAAATGTTTTTGTGGTAATTCTTATGGTAAATATGGTGTAGGATTTAATTGTTCTGTGCCATGTTTTCCTAGAAAACGTTTTATGTGTGGTGGTGAGATAGATAATTTCATATATAGTACAGGATTATGTAAGTATAACTTAGAGCCACACTCTAGACCAGATATTTTCCTTCTGATCCGTGGATGCTTCTTTCTGAAAAACTAATTGAAAGTTCCTTATTAATTTTTAAATTAAATATTTTTAATTTGGCAGTTAACAAAGCAGACATTCTGTGGTGCCCATATTACCATGATGACCTAAGCACGTGTTATTTTGCTGAATGGTAATCCAGTGTTTATTTCTTGCAGTGTCCATGTAGTTTGACTTATCCTCAGGCTTGTCTTGGGTTTTTTTGTGTGCCGCACTTACTACTATAATTTATATTTTATTTTGTCTTGTAGCATCATTGACTCGAGTTTGTAAAGCTGGCTGGAAGTCCTATAATGATAAATGTTATCTAGTTATAGAAGATATAGAGACATGGGCTGATGCTAGAGCAGCTTGTCTATCTGTTGGAGCAGAACTGGTCTCTATATCAGATTCACATGAACAAGATTTTGTGGCTAGTTTAACAGCAGATGGTAAGACTTGATGACTAGGCCCCTATAATAGTTATGGTGGTTCATTAACTAGCGACCCCCCCCCCCCCCGTTCGATCAAGGTTTTGGCCGAGAACGTTTCTTGGGATTTTTCAGTCTGGCTACCCCTTGTCTGTGGCACAGGACGGAGTGCCTGACTAGGAAAAACACCTAGTCTTTCGGATGGGAGAACAAACCGCGGTCCACTTGTGTACTCGTTGACCGTGAGCACGACAAAACCCAATGGTAGTTCGATGAAGAGTATAGACAGAAACTCGGCTATCCGGGTAAAATTACCTCATAGCACAGTGCAAGAATGTCCGTCTTTATTATCCCGGTGGGCGCAAAAACGTAAGACGTTAAGCCCCAATAAATGAAATGTTACTTTTAATTATATCAAATAGTATTGCAAATATTTATATCTCGATAGCATAGGAATGGGGTTTAACATCTTGTCAACACAGTACCACGGCAGTCTAAGGTCAATATATAGTTATTTCCTCTGCAGCGAGTGTAATACTATTGAGGAACTGTGTTACCGCCTACTATTAACCGAATTCCAACTGTTCGAGGCGGGGGCAACTGGTTAGCGTGTGCGCGTTGTATCATAAGGTCTGCCATCGGGTAAACTGGCGTGTTTTCGATGACCCGGTTGTGGTGACCAGGAGTAGGGTTGCCTGGCCAACCTCGTGGTTTTCTCCGGTTTCCTCCAACTTCTAAAGACCCCTACACGCAAGCGAATTATTGAAATAGGATTGAACCATGTATAAGTCCCCCCCCCCCCCCTAACACACCCCTCCCTCTCTCTCTCTCTCTCTCTCCCCCTCTCTCTCCCTCTCTCTCTCTCTCTCTCCCAACTGTCAGGGAATCTTTAGGTGCACACTAACAGTTAATAAACAGCTCTGTACGTGGGGTGGTATGGTCTGTCATGGAGTCAATTGGTGTGGTTTCGATTCCCTGTTTGTACGTGACAAGGAATAGGTTTTTTCTCCTGTTCCCCCGGTTTCCTCCCACTACTACAGACCCCTACGCGCAAGCGAATTATTGAAAGAAAATTGAACAATATGTTATTCCCGAAATTACCTATGTGTCAAGTGGCTGTTAAACTCCATTTCTCTCTCCTTCGTCTACCACGGCCGCTATATAAAACCGAACCGTTGTGTACAGTCAAAATTAATTTTACTACACATGAATAAAGTATTTTTGATCTCAATATTTTAGTACGAGCTGATATGTGGATCGGATTTAACGACCTACAGCATGAGTTGATGTTTGAGTGGTCGAATGATGAAGAGGTCCTCTACACCAACTGGAATCTGGGTCAACCCAGTAATCCTGCAGGAACAGAAGAAGACTGTGTTACTTTTACTTATAAGGTATTAATCAGAACGTCCATAAAACATTATATGTTATTTAATTATAACCACCCGAAAGAGTGCTTTATTCTAAAATTATTAATTCAAGAGGTCTGAACTAAAATGTCCCTTGATGTGTTCACATCTACGTTTTAGAATACATACATACAGCGATGACCAATTATGGTAGTCCGAAGTTGGGTAAATTAGTGTAAAGGTTTTTTAGGTAGGTCTAAAAAAACGCTTTGATATTTGTGGGACACCATTAATGCAGCTCACTTCACTAAATACATAATAGTAATAATCTGATGTCACTGCTACTCTCATCTCTATCTTCTGTCGCTGCTACTCTGATATCTATCTTATGTCGTTGCTACCGATGCTACTTTGATCTCTATCATATGTCACTGCTACTCTGATCTCTGCCTTACGTCACTGCTACTCTCATCTCTATCTTCTGCTACTGCTAGTCTCATCTCTATCTTCTGCTACTGCTACTCTCATCTCTATTTTCTGCTACTGCTACTCTCATCTGCTGTCACTGCTACTCTCATTTCTATCTTATATCGCTACTACCGCTGCTACTTTGATCTCTATCTTCTATCACTGCTACTCTGATCTCTATCTTCTGTCGCTGCTACTATGATTTCTGTCTTCTGTCGCTATTACTCAGATCGCTATCTTCTGTCGCTGCTACTCTGTTCTCTATCTTCTGCCGCTGCTACTCTGATCTCTATCTTCTGTCACTGCTACTCTGATCTCTATCTTCTGTCACTGCTACTCTGATCTCTATCTTCTGTCACTGCTACTCTGATCTCTATCTTCTGTCGCTGCTACTCTGATCTCTATCTTCTGTCACTGCTACTCTGATCTCTATCTTCATCTGGTTTATGTATGATTGATAGACTGGCGGCTGGCAAGATGAAGTCTGTGATACTAAAAAGAAATATATTTGTGAAATGGAAAAGAAACCGTCGGATGTAATACCAACAAAGCCAACTATTCCAGGCTGTGGTAAGGTAAGCCAAGAACATCAGTAACCCCAGTAATCTCAAATACAAATTTCGTCCTATGAAATGAAATGAAATGGGATTTAACGTCCTACTGTTCTGCTTCGGTCGGGCTTATAAAGATGGGCATACACCATACAGTGAGCTATGAGGGACTGCGCTTTACTTTGGCTGAATTTGTGTTATCAGTAATTTCCGCTAATTCCATTTAAGAATTTAAAGAAGCACGATCAAATAGACAACTGATTGTCGAAACAATATTGGCGTGCACATAAAATACACCGAAATGAAACTTAGTGTGGTGTTGACAAGCCTTTTAAAACTCATTCACTTCTATCTTTTTATTGATTGACATGGCTTTAGAAAATCATGATTGCTTTATATATTTACGGTTTTGGAGATGCGTGCTATTTGTGTATGTACGGTAATACCGGTTTATGTTATTTTATGTTATATTGTAAGATTCGGATAGTTACAGATGGTCATATTATTTGTTCATGTATGGTAATACAGGTTTATGTTTATATTATGTTTTAGGATTGGGATAGTTACAGATGGTCATGTTATTTGTATGTACCACAACCAAGAAGCTGGTCAGATGCAGCTAAAGTCTGTCAATCTTATTCTGGTACTTTGGTTCAGATTAATGATTGGTGCGTTTATTATACTTTCTATAGTCATATATAAGTTTTGTCATCTACCTTCATGGGGAGCCGCGGTAGTTCAGTGAGTAAGTCGCTGGCTCACTAACCAGCAGGCCCGGGAGTTCGAGCCTGTTGTTGGTCGATAAAGTCCCCGGATTATTACAATTAGGCTCCCCTTGTCAATGGGTGCATAACGGATAACCTGGCAAGGACGGTGTCTAGTTGATCGGATGGGACGAAAAACTGGAACCCTTTGTACACATTAACATGTACGTAAAAAAATCCACGATCGTTAGAATTCGAAGTAAGAGCATGCCATAAAGGCGTTGCCCGTTCAAAATTTCCCCCATAGAAGTACACTGTGACTGTATGTCTCATACACACTAAGGCAGAAGTACTTACTCTTGGAAAGCCAACTTTAGGATTTACAGCGGCTTATTGATACTCACTTGATGTCATGTTTAGTGTAGGGTTACATTTCGCGTTCTGGAAACCTGATGCCAATGGGGGAGGGTGGTACTCTCGTTGGTTAATCTTGACATTAACTGGATTAAATGTTAGCCATTTGTATTTCGTGTAGTTTTTTTATCGCTCCATTTTTTTTTGGTATTTGCTGACCTCAATGCGTTTATAAATCAACCATATTCAATTTTTTGTGGGAGGTTGGTTCTTTTTAAAATTGTATGAGCTATTTAGTCCTTTTAAGGAAACTACTTAGACGACTTGACTACTGGTGGCGTTTCGTTTCCTGGCAACGTATGTTTTTAATTCTAGAAATAATAAATTGCGATCGTGTTGATATTTTAAAGGAACGAAGCATCGTATATAAATAGTCAGCTTGGATCAAAGAAAGGTTTCTATTGGATGGATGTCAACGATAATGATAAGGGTGGTGTATACAGATTCTCAGATGGTGGTGCTAAGATTCCCTTATCTCATTGGGCACCACACAAACCTGGTAAGCATACATGGACAACTTTTTTTATATAAGTAATAATAAGTAAATCTATTTATTCATTCATCGCCTTGTAGGTATCTTTACACGGTGTTCTGTGGTTCATATACCATATCGTAAAATTCTAATTTCAATTTGCAAATCTCAAACAATAGAATGTTCAATATTCATCGTTTGTTGTATTTCTAACAAATTGCTATAGATTTATGTTCCCGGTCTTATGAATGTTATAAACAATTATGGTCTTGGATGGCAAAATTAAATCTTATTATCGAAACCAGGATGCAGTTTCTAGATATTTAACATAACGGTACGAAATTGCATTCTTAAAGGGACAATAACACTCTTGCTGGCTTAAAAGCTCCAGAAAATAAATAATATCTCTATCTAAGTACTAGATGTTTAAGTGTCCTACCTGTTGTGTAAATTATCCATTACATCCTATTTTACTTGTCCAGAGGGTTCGAAAATATTTTTAAATCGAAGTTTCATTTGAAAAGGTTTACTTTAGACGTTTGAAACCATTATGTTGAATTTTTCAATTTTTTTAAATAAAGTGTGTTAAGATGAAATTTGTATCATCAATTAATTGAAATATTCTAAAATAGTACAATTTGTTGACCAGAATAAAGATTGGGATATATTATTCAGTTACAACAAGAGTGGTATTGAGCCTTTAAGTTTCTCTTAGAATTTAAGGATTTTGATGAAGGGTGGTCATTTAAATTGTTTTTGATGTAGCAAACCATGTTTCCTGTTTTTAGATCAGAAAGGACATTGTGTTGCACTTGGTTCTGGTAAAACAGCTGGGTTATGGTATAATATGAACTGTTCCACACTAGCTCCAGCAGTCTGTGAAAAACAACGTGTTGGGTTTACTACCCCAATGCCTATTACAAAGATGCCATCTTTAATACCTTGTCCTACTGGTTGGTTAGGTGAAGGAGAATGGTGTTACCAGGTAATGATAGAATTTGGTAATTGCTGAATACAACTATGGTAGAATTTGGTAATAAACAACTGCTATGGCAGTAAATGGTAATTGCTGCTGATTACAGCTATGGTATATTTTTTTTAAAATTCCTGAATACTGTTATGATAGAATTAGGAAAGGAATTGGCTGGGGTTGGGCTGCTTTTTATTTCAATGGTTATGTAAGCGATTGGAGTGGGATGTATTTGTGAAGACATTGGCGTTAGCATGGTAGTACCTTTTTTTATTGCGTGTCATCCTTGCTATAATATGATAATTGTTTATTAATGAACCGCGACAGTATAGTACCTTTCTTATTGCAGGGCTCATTCTCGTCATAATTTGTGTATCGTGATCTTAGTTATTGGTTATAAATAACGTATCGTGATATGTTTAACCATGATGAGACAAATCCTATCTATCTATAACGTATCGTGATATGTTTAACCATGATTAGACAAGTCCTATCTATCTGTAACGTTAATAGAACACAATTTTTATGGGAAACAATCACTGGTTTATTCTTTCCCATAAAAATTGTGTTCTATTAATGTGTTTTCCAATCGCTAAATGCCACTTAAAGATTATATCTATAACGTATCGTGATATGTTTAACCATGATTAGAACAGTCCTATCTATCTGTCTATAGGTAAATAACGTATCGTGATATGTTTAACCATGATTAGACAAGTCCTATCTATCTGTCTTTAGGTAAATAACGTGTCGTAATATTGTTTAACCATGATTTGACAAGTTCTATCTATCTGTCTATAGGTAAATAACGTATCCTGGCATCTACAGAGAACATGGGCTGACGCACAAGATGATTGTATAGCTAAAGGAGCTAAATTAGCCAGTTTTCACAATATATCACACCTCCAGGATTTATATACATCTACTTTACAGTAAGTCTTACTCATTTGTGTAGCATATGCTCACATTTTATGTGGTAGTATATTGTTGTCACCCATGTCCACCAGTCCAAAATTTGTATTGCCCAAAAGGTCAGTTTTTGAAAAAAAACAATTCTTTTTCAACTGTTTTGAAGGTCATTTGTAATATTTTGTTCCAGAGTTACTGTCCCATATCATAATTTTAATTTTTTAAATTTTTTGAATGAAACGCCTCTAAGTGTGGTCAATATTATAAGAGAGAGGGGGTAAATTTATGGTCTTAACCAATCTATCTGGGGCTTTAAGTAAAGATTCCACAGAGTAATAGATCACATAAATATTCATTCATGTCTAGACACTTTTTTTATATGTTTCTTTTTCAGATCCGGAGGTGACCATTTTTGGATCGGATTGAATGACCTATCGGGAAAAGGTTGGCACACAATTCATATTAACACATTAATTAGTTAACATGTGTGTTATGGTGTAAATAATTGTGTAGTTTGTTCCCAGAGAAATAATGTTATTTCAATATCAAGATTTTATAAGTTTGTTTCAAAAGGTCTAACAACCCGGATAGTCTACAAATATAGCCCACGAGTCTTATATTTTCCGGTAAAGAATTTTATTAGATACTAATTAAGTGAAACAAAACTGTGACCTGGCTGGTGCAGAACATGATTCAAGAAATGAAATTTGCTAGGTTATTATTTTCTTAAGTATGGTCTCGGTAATAGTACATTTGCTAGAGTGTGATCTCGGTAACATTACATTTGCTAGAGTAGACCGGTAACATTAAATTTGCTAGAGTAGTTCTCGGTAACATTACATTTGCTAGAGTATGATCTCGATAACAGTACACTTGCTAGAGTGTGTTTCGGTAACATTGCGCTTGCTAGAGTATTACCTCGGTAACATTACATTTGCAAGAGTATGATCTCGATAACGGTAGATTTGCTAGAGTATGATCTAGGTAACAGTACATTTGCTAGAGTATGATCTCGATAACGGTAGATTTGCTAGAGTATGATCTCGGTAACCGTAGATTTCTATAGTGTGACCTCGATAACAGTATAAATTTTTAACTCGGTAACAGTAGACTTGCTAGAGTATGGTCTGGGTAACAGTAGATTTGCTAGAGTATGATCTAGGTAACAGTACGTTTGCTAGAATATGTTTCGGTAACATTACATTCGGGGACTTTAATGCACTGTTATAATTCTTCTGTAGGATATACCTGGAGCGATGGGACAGCTGTTGATTTTACAAGCTGGGCAGACAATGAACCCAATGACTTTCAAGGAACAGCAGAAAATTGTGTTGAGATCAAAGTGGAAAACGGAAAATTCAACGATCAGGATTGTTCTAAAATAAGGAATTGGATTTGTGGAATTAAAAAAGGTAAGTAGATTTTGGTGGAATGCAAAGATAGAACCGCCCTAAGTTTTACTTCATTAATACAATGATTGTCACCAGGTATACATTACAATAGCAATCGTAATAATGAGGAACAAATGTCCATATTGATTTTGTTGATTGTCAGTTACTAGGTCTACAGCCATAAAAATCTCTTCGCGTCTCTTCCACATGAATTCTCCAGTTCTTACATTAAGACATCAATGAATGTGTGCCGTCTCAGAAAATTTTGAAATGAAAGTTCTGTAGTAGACAGTGGTGTTTGTCCTCGTTTTCAGGATGCATAAGTCATTTACAAATATATTAATTAATTATAGTATCTTAAATGAGCTTACTAAATTTGTAACTTACCATACTGGCGAAGTTATAGATTTGATTTTCTTTTCAAGGTCAGCCACTTCAACCTGTTACAACCATTTTACCTCCTACACCAGGACCAGGTCAGTTCAGTTTTTATCATTCACTTATAGATATTTTTTATCAATAATTCCAAAAGATGTTTATAATTTGATGTAGGTAAAAAGGTAAACTGTTTAATTGGGTTTAGTGATTTGGCAAAAATTATAAGTTTTATTATATGTTTCTAATAATTTAGGGTGGGGTGGGGGCTCTTGTTTACTAATTTAAGTTTCATTTTTAGTCCATGGTTCTAGCACCATAGTTGCTTCTCTCGTTCTCTTTTATCTTCACTTCTTGCGGACAGTTCGTGTGTGGCCGCAACTAACCAATCATCACCACAACTTGGCGGAGTCGAGCTTGTTTTTAATTATTGCGTCGACAGTAGAACACTTTAAAATCGACGCTGGCTTTGCCTTAAGCGACAAAATTTATGCGTTAAGCGACAAAATGAACGTCTCCACGTTTTGTTTCTTTGATGTTGATTCACTCTTATTTTTACCTCAGCTAGTGATTGTGCTGCTCTGTCAGTAGATAACCAAACAAAATGGTCATCTTATAATGGTAACTGTTACCTAATTGTTGATGGTAGTGGTATTTCAGCACAAACATGGGGTAAAGCCAGGGATAGCTGTAGATCTAATTATCATGCAGAACTGGCATCAGTTACTTCTGATGAAGAAAATAGATTTATATTTTCACAGGTACAGTTAGCCAAGCGACTTTCTATAAACATCATAGACTGACATATGCCCCTTTGCGATCCGAAAGGCAAAATTGTTGTTTTTAAATATTCACAAACTCAGGGATCGCCCGGGCATTGTTTTCATTGAATCAGTTATTGGACAGTGAAGTGGCATGATACAACACTCCCATCGCCACACCACTGATCAATCAATTAGGACGAAAATTAGATTAATCTGTGTACACATTGGTAAGGGTGTATGTAAACGAACCCTTGACAGTTGTAATCGAAATAAGAGTAGACCGTAACATTTCTGTCGTGGCTCAGTCGTTGATGAAAGGCAGAAAGTTAAACCTCATTTCATTTTTATTTACATAGCTATATTAAAGGGGCTAAATCGCTAACATTCTGGACCTAGAAATTGGCACAAATATGTCGCAACGCATATAATGATGTAATATGAACGTATATCAACTGATTTACATTCAATCGTTTCTGTTTTTACTGTAATTTCTAATCTGTTTTGTTCAGCGAATTACGCCAGAATTCTCATCCGAATGACAATATCTAGCGTCTGGTTATTCCAGTCTACACAGATGGTATTTATTGCGCATGCTCTCCAGATAAGAATATGACGTCACCGTTTGGCATGCCTTGTGGAATATATCTAGCCTCGTTCTTCGAGTCCCTTGTTACAAATGGCGCTGACACGCATTATGGTAAACGAACCGTGTACCAATGGTAAAATGTTTATTTTGTCTTAAATATTGAATATCAAAAGCCCATCTTTTCCGGTGAGATCACAACATCAATGTTGATTTAGATTGACAAATAATTCGTGTTTTCCATGTCGAAGATTTTGGATGATTTTGAGTTAGAGACTTAGCTACTTTAAGTTTTAGTGTCAAAACTAGATCTTGTTATGCTTATTGTAGATAACTAATGTCACCTCATATTCATTGTGGATTGGTTTAAATGAATTGGATACAGGAAAAGGATACAAGTGAGTATTTACACTCTTTCCGAGAAAAAAAGGACACGGCGTGTACGTAAAAAATTTCGATGAAGAGTGAGCGGAAACGTCATTTTCCAGATACAAGTTTGTTAATAGGCCACAGCACGGCGTATGTTCGTCTACACTGCATGATAGATCAGCTACAAATAAGCAACTATTTTCCAACGACATTGAAACCTTTATTGGTGGGTCTTCACAATACAGATAAAATGGCGAACACAATGGAAGTTGTACCGGAATTCTTGGCACCAACCTTGTGTCGGAGATACTGTCGGAGATAAAATGTCACTAAATCCACAGAAATAAACCCGTAAATCTGTGTCTAACATATGGCGTGGTTCAAAGTGGTTCGGGCTATTGCCTCAACACTATTTTATCTATTTTTGGTAGCGATTGATACAAAAGCTTGTATCGTGTAAACTGAAGGGTGTGTGCTTGGTTTTACTGTATTGAATGTAATCTGTTATATATTTTTGTCAGGTGGTCAGATGGAAGCCCACCTAAATATTTTAACTGGAATTTAAATGAACCAAATGATTACTTGGGATTAGAAGCATGTACTGACATATTCGTTAGAAATGGTAAGTAACGTAAAATTAAAAATAAATTGAACAATTAAAAATAAATTGAACAATTAAAAATAAATTGAACAATTAAAAATAAATTGAACAATTAAAAATAAATAGAACAATTAAAAATATATTGAACAATTAAAAATAAATTGAACAATTAAAAATAAATTGAACAATTAAAAATAAATTTAACATTTGAAGAGCCCCGGGGAAGAACAATCAAAGTCACTTTTTCAACGAACTCCAGTTAATGGCGCCATCTGGTAGCAAATTGTATAAGCTTTCTGTGGAACAATCAATTTCAGGTAAAAACGAGTCACATCGAACCAAGGCCCTTCTGAAATGGCCTTCCGGACAAATACAAATCCATCTTACCCTTTATTTAACCTTAATTTGACTGAAAAGTCGAAGTCAGTTGTTGTACTGGTAATTATGATTCGTATTAAACATCATTTTGATGTTGTAATTAAACCCACTCGTTGTTCTGTTCGCGTCAAGCATTCTCGTCCAAAATTCTGTTTTGCCTTTTATGTGAAAAGACAAAAATGTGACTTAAATCGTTCTTCCCCTGGACTCTTCATTTAAAAATAAATTTAACATTTAAAAATATTTTGGAGTATAATCATTAAATTGAGCAGTTTATACAAGCAGGACTAGCCTTAGGAGCAATAAATTTAACAATTAAAAGTAAATTCAACAATTAAAAATATTTTGGATCACAATAATCAAATTGGGCAGTTTATACAAGCAGGACTAGCCTCGGTAGCTTTCAAATATCAGATACAAATTTTGTTTTAAGGTAAATGGAATGATGATCATTGCGATATCAGACAAGGTTATGTTTGCAAAAAGAACTTAAAGGCGAAAACGTTACCAACAATACTACCTGTTATGCCTGGTAACTGCCCAGTTGGATTCTCTGCTTATGGTAACAAGTGTTTCCAAGTTTTCGGTGGGAAACGTAAATACAGCAATTGGACAGCAGCTAGAGCAGCCTGCGAACAACTTGGTGATGGCGATTTAGCTTCTATATCAAACTATAAAGAACAAGGTAAATCAGTTACCTCATCCGTTTATCCAGGGCCAGGGGCTAAGTGGTAGAGACACAATGGTGTGCTGTTTTGCTTCCCTTACGTGACTTCAATGGAGTATATTCAACGCTATTGGGACGCAATTGCCATAATCCTGTTCTATCAGATGTGAAAGCACTAGTTCATAATCACATTGCTCAGATATGCTACCACCAATTGACTCTAGCATGTTCGCCACAGTGGATTTATGTGACACCATGGGATCTTATTCTTCACGAAATGTCATCGGTCACCATGTCACTGCATTATTCTTTCTCATCTGTATCCCGTTTCACGAGATTGCCCTCGGGATTTCTTGGTAGGGTCAATGTCCTCCCCCGCATCTTTCGTGTCATATACAGTCGGTATGCTTATAAATAAAAGCATATAGATCGGTCATTCAGGCTATTCACTTTAAAGTCTTCCGCTCACTGAAATAGTCCCTTCACAGTTTTTATAATCCACAGTTTTTATAATCCAGACTAGAAAATATCTGATTGTAGGATTCTCTGTTTAGATTAATCGTGTGATAGTCCAGATATGTACACATCGTGTGTATGATTTAGGGGGGAATTCGGGTAATTTCAAGTGAATTTCGGTAATTATGGAGTATCCGGCATGGTTATTCGAATCTTGCTTTTATTGAATAAAAATACTTGTATTGGATCCTTGAAATTAGACTTAACATGGTTTAGTTGTACGTGTTTTTGTGTTTAGCTTTCCTTACAACTCTATTTCTAAATGTATGGTGGTCTGTATGGATTGGTTTGTACCAAAGAAATGGACAATTTGCATGGTATGACAATGAGGAAGCAGCATATTTTAACTGGGCTCAACATGAACCCAGCCCAAAGAAAGGAGACACAAATCCACAGGTAAAAAGAAAGACTAGTCTCGTTGCGCCTTAAAGACTATAATCATTTTCTTTATTCAAATTTACCTCATCGCTTATATGTTCTTTAGATAGTAATATAGACGATTATTAAGTTAGATATCATTGTAGGGGTTGATATCACTAGATATACATGAATTATCCTTCGGGCTACCAATACAAATCAAGAGAATTTAAGATGACAAATGAAATGGGTTTTAACTACTCGGCATACCTCAGCAGGTTCCAGTACTCTACATCTAGACTCGGCTGTATGACGAATTCCGCCATTGGAACTACTTTCAAGGCCCCGGATTACAAATGCCCAGTGTCTGAAGCTGTTTTTCTTTCAAGTTTATCCGATTTTCTTTAAACGAAGGACAACTTTGCAATGAAACCTCTACACGCCCTTCGAACAATGCCATTTTTAGAACTTCTTTCTAAATAAACCGATAGCCGCACCGCAATTGTATGGGTGTAGGTAGGCAACATATCACTTACCGTCATACAGCCGAGACTGGATGTAGGGTACTGGAATCTGTCGATATTTTGCCCCGACAGCGGCACTACGGTCTACTCCTATATCGAATTCCAACTGTCAAGGGATCTCTAACGTACACCCCAATGTGTACACAGGACCCCAGTTTTCCATCCCACCCGAACGACTACTCGTTTTCCCTCGCCAGGCCCTATGTCCTGCACCGATGAACTTTCTCGGCAAACGCAGGGATCGAACACGGAACCTCCAGCTTAGCGAGCCAACGTCTTACTCTCTGAGCCACCTTGGTTCCAAGTTAAGATAACCGTGTTTGGGTAGATTTAAAAATATTTGGACCAGTAATCTTTTTTTTTAAAGACATTTTAATGTGTTTGATCTGACAGTCTATATTTGGCTTTTAGCCTGGGTATATTATACTTTAGTGATGACGTCAATTCTATTGCAATAGTAAGTGCAGAAGAATCCCATCACATGCAAAGCAAACCCGATAAGACAAACCTGTGAACAGGACAAACTACACAGACATTGTAAGGAAGAACAACAAATATCAAATCAAGTGAATGGATTCGGGGTGCCAGACGTAAGCCTCCAATGCACTGAACAGTCAGTCCCTGGTCTTCACTCAAAATGAAAAACAACCCCAATGATTTAAAAGATAGACGTAATGCCTCCGGTCTTGACAAAAGTTTCCGTTTTAATACTCGTATATGGTCCAATTGATTATTTTCGCATTTTTGTAAATGTTTCTTTTACAATACCAATGAATTTAATTTCAGTGTGGAAGTGTTCTTGTTGACCATTCTAGAGTAGGACAATGGCGGGAAATGACATGCACGTCTCTAATGGGCTATGTTTGTCAGGTGCCTAAACGTGAGTAATATCAAATCCTAAGCTAAAAGGGTTTTTTTGCAAATTATGTTCCTGTGTCACATGCTATAGGTAATACCCCCACTCCCTTTCGTCCAGCCGTGTGGTCAGGGCACTAGAATGGGCTGAGGCGAACCTTTGGGATTTTTCAAGCACAGCATTAATTTGTGAGTGATGATGCCTGCTTGGTTGACAAAGATAGCGTGCTTACTTGTCCGGATTGGGCAAAACAATGTCAACCCGGGGTTTTCGGGGCATGGAAATCAAACGAATAGTCGGAAAAAGTTCCCTATCTCGCGCGTAACAATAGAAATAAAAATTACCAAATAGATCATATTGACAAGATAGAAAACTGCATTCTATTCTTTACATTTCAGAGGCGACGCTACCAACACAACCACCAATACAAACTGATTGCGATTCCAAGAATGGTTTTAGACCAGTCGGCAGAAATTGCGTTAAACTGGTCTCTAATGCCATGACATGGATGGATGCCAGAACGTATTGCCAGGGACTAGGAACTGATTTGACCAGTATAAACACGCCGTATGAACAAGCTGGTCTCATAGTATTAGCAAATGAGAACGGCAATACAAAACCTATCTGGACTGGGTTTAATGATCAGGCTGTAAGTAAAATTATATGTATACTACTATAATTTTATTCCAATATTAGGTGACCAGTGGGACATGGTTTGGTTCATTATTAAACAGGAGGTACGATATAGGATATGTGAGATGATTCTTAGACAGACAGTGTGTTTAAGTTCCTTATTGGGTGATGGATAATAATTGAACTTGTTTCGTAAATAGTGTACTTTCTTGTGGAATAGAGCGGTGTGTAGAGAAAGATATCTTTCTGTGAATAAGACTGATTACTTCTCTCTGGGGGGGTGAGGGGATTTAAACCTTCTATTCCTAGTCCTAAGCAACTACTCGAAGCCCTGTCACATGTTTTACGATTGGTTTGTGTACTTAAATGAGCTTTTTATTGAGGTACACTGTAGGTGAAAATGACCCTGGTACATCCTTTTTCATTTTTGATTTTTGCTTCATAATTGCTGTAATTCAAGCCTTTTCTTTTATCTCAGCATAAAGGCCAATATTACTGGTCTGATGGATGGCCAGTGGTTGATTCTTTCTGGGGACCAAATCAACCTAACTCGTCTGTGTCTACCGGATGTGTTTCTTTTCATGTTAATGGTAGCTGGTTTGATGAGAGTTGTAGCCAAAAATATTCCTTCTTCTGTAAGAAAACACTAGGTAGGTATGGCGGATAACTCATAGTGTCAAACCCTATCTAAATTATGTTCTCCTATATATACTCTTCAGAAAAAGGAGGGGATATTCAGAAACAATACAAAACTGCGGAAATGCACTGCTGTTTTTATTAGAGGTAACCAGTGTATGTTAATAACAGGCCAATTGTCTACACATGAACATAAACAGTTCATATGGCGGCCCCATTTCACTCGCAAAGAGATACACTGTCAAAAGTGAAAATGGACGTTTTTGATGTTTGTCTTAATAATGAGTAATTGCTCCACCAATCCTAGACATTCATCAATTCGTCCTGGCATGCTCCTAATCAACCGTCCAATCACGATTTGGGGCCATCTGACCCATTCCTCTTGCAGTGCCACGGCCAATTCTTGCAGTGTTGTCGGTTGACGTTGACGTCGACGAACACGTCTCCCGATCATCGCTCAGGCATGCTTTATAGGGGAAAGGTCAGGACTCGTGGCTGCCCAAGGCATATGGACAATATGGTGACGCTGAAGGTAGTCATTCACGACACGAGCGCGGGGGGCACGGACATTATCATCTTGAAAGATGAAACGTCGACCTGCGCGTTGAGCAAATTGCAGAATTATCGGTGCCAGGATGTGGTCAGGGCAGTACACACCAGTGACCCGTCCTTGAACAATATGCAAGTCCGTTCTGCCAGTCATGGTGATTCCTCCCCACACCATAACAGACCCACGTCCGAACCTGTCATGCTATCTGACGTTAACGTTAGCATGACGCTCATCTACACGCCTCCATCGACGATTGCCCCAATTTATACGCTGCCTACACCATTGGCGCCTGTTTGCCATGTGCTGGCGAGTTAATGGAGGCACAACACGCGGTCGTCGCGAATGCAAATGGGCTGAATGTAGCCGATTTCTAATCGTTTGGGGTGTAACTCGAATTTCTGTAACTTGGTACAAGTTTACAGAAAGCTGATTGGCCGCTTGTCCTCGATTTCGCAGGACCTGTGTACGGATGTATCGATCCTGGGCTTGTGTGGTTGCTCCAGGACGACCTGAACGAGGTCTATCATCAACGCTGTGTGTTTGTTGGTACCGGTTCCACAGTCTGCTGATCACAACCCATTTGAAGCATGGCAATAGCACGTAGACGTTCATCATGTTGAAGACGTCTCACACACTAAAGCAAAGATACGCTAAACAGTAAATTTTATGCAAGAACCGATAGGAAAGCAAACATGGATGGGATAACCCAGCACGCGGCAGTTTTCATCAACCCTTCCTTGAAGTGTCAAATTTGACAATGAACCCCTCCTACGTGTATGGCGCTATTGCATGTCGCAGGTACAGCTCAATGGTTCTGTGAACATACTCTTAAAGCATGGCAAGTGTCCATGACTATTTATCATATCACAACCTGCATAGGTATTTGCATTTCAATATCCCCAACTTTTTTGGAAGAGTATATAACCCTTCGGAACTAATTTAGCGCATTGCTCAATCCAAATAACTTTGTTATATTTATGCAAATCAATTGCAGGAATAAATCCATTTATATTTAGATATATTTTTAAACAGTAGGTGATATATTTTTTTTTTATTTTGCAGGAACCCCACCGGTTACACCTGCTCCAGGTACAGGACAATGTCCAGGAGCTAGCTGGCAAGCTATTGGCTCTGACTGTTACAGATTTAATGTAAAGCAGTTTATGACGTTTGGCGATGCAATATCGTACTGTAATGACCAAGATGGACAGCTTTTATCTATTCATGATAATGTTACCAATGATTTTATCTACAACACCGTCAAAGAAAACACGGGATGGGCTATTTGGGTTGGTCTGCATAAATCTCAAGATTGTGAGTAAATATTACTTTAGTAGTAAGTTAAGAAAGACAGAGAGACATTTGATTCGATTAACCATAGTGCCAGTCTCTTTTATCAGATATACTGGCATTTTTATTGCGTCATTAAAATAATTTTTTTGCACAAGATTCAGTTTAAATTCGTTCTGTTGTTATTCTGTACGTGACAGAGAAAGCTTTTCGTTTCTTTGTAAACTTAACAAACGTGTAATTAATAATTTTTTTGTTCTTTTTTGTACCTGAACGCTGTAGCTGGATATAAATGGTTGGATAAAAGTCCTGTTGACTTTTTTAAGTGGGATAAATCCGAACCGAAATTAAAGGACACAGGAGGGGAACCTTTACAATGTGTACAGATGTTGTCTTATAAACAGGGTAAATGGAATGCAATTTCCTGTAATAAAGGTGCAATGGGCGTGGTCTGTAAGAGACCAATGAGTAAGTATACTTAAAGACAGTATCAGTAAGTAGTCTAGCTACGAGAATGTTTTTAAGAACGTAGAGTTTTTATTTGATGTGATTGTTTTCAGCTATGATTGAAGCTCTTTAATTTCACTTTGGAAACTCATTTTCTTTATTAAAGCCTATATAACGTTTCGAAAAATAAGATAATTATGTTCTATTTTACTAAAATAACTAAATTATCACCCTAGTGTCAAAACTTTCGCACAACTACAAATATTATCGTTGAATCTAGTGGCGAAATTCACTTGGGCAGATTACTGTCTGTAAGACTGGATTATCCCCGTCTTCGTGTTGCCCCTTTCGTATTCGAAATTTCTATCCGCTTTGATTAATTCTGTGATTGTTTGTGCTAATTGTGTCACGCAGGATTATGTGATTAATTACATTCATGTGCGTAGGAAATTGAATAATTACAATAATCAATCCTTGTTTTAAATTTTTTTAAAATGTGATAGTTCGTGTTTAAGCTATTTCGGATTGATTCAGATAGAACTGTATAGATCCAACACGCTTCACGAGTCAGGGGGTAGCTTTTCTGTGCGTAGCCTATTTGTAGTGCACTTGATGGAACGTCGGTTTACCATAGAGATGGAAATTATCTTATTGTGGTCTCAGAATTCCACAGAGTTCTGATTTCTGCTGCTATGATTAACAAGACATAAACATATCAAATAAGTACATTATCATGAGATATTTACTATTTCCAAAGATTAATGTGACCATAGGTGACACATTGTTCTTGTACTTTTGTATTATGGAAGCTAAATAAGGATTAACTTAGTACTTATTGATATGTATCTTTAACATAAATATATATCAACTGAAAATCCAAACTACCAAAAGTATATCGTTCAAGATGCACCAATGAGGTTTAACCTAGAACTAATTACAAATAGATGAATGGCCCAAGTGGAATTATAAACAGCTTTTAATAGATACAGGGTGATTACTGGTCGGGAAGCATGTCTTCTACTTAACCTGATAACTTGACTTGGAAAATCTTTGATAACGAAAAACAGAGAGTTATATAGTTGCTTTGGACTAGAGTATAGGGTTATAACAGTCTCCAACGCCTATTCTCTATAGAATATATCTGGGATATATTACTCTGTATTTTGGTGTTTGTAAAACGCCGTTTGTACTACAACTAATAATGATAAATTTGTAATGATACTATTGATCACGTTTTTTTTTTGCAGGTTATAATACCAATACAAAACCTCTTCCAAATATCGGTCCAATAGTTACATCCCGACCTTTAACGCCATCACCCCCGTCATCAAATCCACAAACATCTATTCCACAAACTCCCAAGCCACAAACACCCAAGCCACTAACACCCAAACCACAAACCCCATCAAATCCAGTCACACCCAAACCTCAAACCGCCAATCCCATCACATATAATCCCAAGACCGCTAACCCAAGAATCACTTCTGGTCCGTTTATAACCAAGGCGGCTGGAAGAACAAGTGGATCACCGAACAATACGCCAGCGCCTTTAAAACAAGGTTCTCCAGGTAAGTTTTAGCGTCTATTAGTTCACCTATGACCATCTGAGTTACGGGCATGGGTTCCAAACAGGCTGAATGTGTATTTAAACGATTTTGATCAAATGTGAATCCGGATACTAAGCTAAAATTATTGACGGAAAATATAGGAATCTGTATTGGGATGCTGATCAATCACGAACATCAACACAAAAATATGTTCACTGAATTCAGTTAGTGATCAATCGAGCACTTTATATGTAAAAGACGTCCACTGAATTCAGTTAGTGATCAATCAAGCACTTCACACCTAAAATATGCCCGCTGCTTTCGGTTAGTGAACAATCAAGTACGCCCTGACTGAAAGATGTCAGCTGCTTTCGTTGAGCACGTCCTGGCTAAAAGATCTTCGTTCCTTTCGACTGTTGATCAGTTAAACACGCACCGACTAAAAGATGTGCGCTGAATTTGGTTAAGTCCCCATCATACCAAACAAATTCAAATAAGGTCTCAAACACGCCCAACCGCGTCCTAGAAAATATTAAAACGGGTTGTGGTCGGATTAGAATTTTTAAATAATATCTATAATACGACCCTAGTTCGCTCATAAACAGTCTCCAACACGTCCGTCTCGTCTGTACCCTGGCCTCTATGAGTTCAGATCGGGTAAATTTGCCATTTCCAAGCCCGTCAGTAGTCTCATTCTCGTTCAACCTTCAAGCTATGCGGATCAAGACATTCAAATACACTACACACTACTACAGTTGCCTCCTGTGTTTCATCTTGCATCCAGAGGAAGTGCGAGAAGGGCTGCACATCGGAAAGCAGACACTAGCACTGCCTGAAGATCCCTAATCTCAAGTAGCCTCCGTCCATCTCGTTTTAAGTACGTTGTCACTCCGTCTAATTGTAGGGTGGGGGATATTTTGAACAGGCTGAAAGTTATAGAGCTCCCGCCCCACCCAAGACAGTCCGAACCCATCCATGAAGTTCTTAAACAGATCGTAAACAGCTGCTACTACGTTCGCACACAGTTTGAATCCGTTTGACAACATTTTCCAGAACGTAATGAGAACTAGTTTGGTGTGATGGCGGCTTTAGTGATCAATCAAGCACGTCCTATCGAAATTTGTTCTTGTTATTTCAGGTACTGTGCTAGGGGGTGGTGCTATCGCGGGAATAGCCGTGGCTGCGATAGTTATCGTTGTTCTCGTTATATTAGTTGTAGTATTGTTCCTAAGAAAAAACGCTGGGAGACCACTGGGCTTCTCTAGATCATTTTCTAACGCTCTATACGAATCCAGTAGTGCTGCAGGAGGCGAGACCAATGTTTTGAGATAATTTATAACGTCTTATAGTTTATTATGTAAAAAAGTTATTTGATAATAAAATGTTTTTAAACACCTACATTTTTAATGATCGCTCATCTCGTGTTCGATATCCGTGGATCAATTCACAACTAGACATAAGGCTTTCTGGAATTTTATGGTTTCATGACAATATCACCAAGATGGCTTTATCAAATATCCGCATCTTTTGATAATCATTCAACAACACTATTAGCTCACCCTTTTCGATGTTTATCCAAAAACCCTTATAATCATATCCAAGTCTCGTGCTTAAAGATGGATTCCCAGAAAAGTATTTATCGGGTGGTTATTTCCAATAAAAGTATGGTACTTTTGGTATATATGGACAGTAGAGATATCCAATCTTACGAGAAAAATACTGGATTCCCCGAAAAACACTCATGGAGCGTATACAGGACAAAAATGGAAGGGTTCCCCTTATCAACAGCCCGACAATTAGGAATTTCTGCACGCGTGATGTCAAAGGTCACACGCGAACATTGAGCGCTTGATGTAAAAGTTGATAAACTTTATGAAGAGTTAGACATACAACACTTTGAGATAAAAATGACGGAAAAGGACGCGGGTAGTGGATAATTCGATATTTGTAATAAATAGTAAGCGATTAAAGACAACATCGTCTTATGTATGCAATGAATTCTCCTCTGACTTCAAAGAGAGGTAAGCCACGTGACGTAAACATGACCTGGTTTGATCGAATTTTAATAGCAGGACATTCCTTCGCAATTACAATGTTTGAGAAGGATTTGAAGCAAAGTTATGACAAATTAATTAGTTTGAATATGTTTTTAGTCCATATATACCATTAAATCACCCAGTTTGTACGCGGGAACCCATCTTTAACACAGCTAACGTCAGCCGTTTCAACAGCAGCACTTGTGAATACAGTGTGGAAAATCAGAGTCATAAGGTATAAAGATTAAGACTATTTTGAATTGGATTGCTATGAAGATACCCTTAACACAGTTTAACCTTTACAACAACTGGTAACAAGAGATGCTCGATTTAAAACCAAGGCATTATACTAGTAATAGTTTATTTTAATATTATATATGTACATCAATCAATCAATTATAGCCTAGTACTTGAGGAATTTTCTTTTCTAAATATACAAATAAGAATATTGCATAGCATTTAATTAATGAACTAAACATGAACAAAACAAAACAATATCCTTAATAGTTTTAGATACATGCAAATTTGTCCACCTTTTGTTTCATGACAATTTTCATACACAATAAATGTTTTGGAATAAGTAGGGCAGCAATATAAACCTAATGAATATATATATACAATATCTGATGTCATGATAAGCTTTTATTATTGAAATGCCAATGATGCTATAAACTTCATTAAGTTATGGAACTTGCTTTTATATACCAAAAACTTGTAAGAAAATAAGAAATTGACATGGTTAATATTACAAAAAGACATAGTGATAACATAAAAAACATAGTCTATTACATCATAGGTTTAGCATATAATATTAACCTCAGTTAAAGATTAGGTTTTAATATTAAGAGGAAGAGATATAGAAACAACCATGTGATATTCTAATATCACATGTTCCATTTTGATATTCAACAGTTATGAAATTTATTTCAAGTATTAATTATAGATTAAGCCTAAAACCAATGCATATCCAGAGATTAGTTGACTCAGTTGCGGGTGGTATACAGTCTACTGCTGGTTTTGTTTCAATTAAAAGTAGAAATGGAATTTCAAATAGTGAAGTTATATTTTCTCTCTTAATTAAAGATATGTTTGTATATATAGACCTAGGTTATAATTATAATTTATTTATTCATTAAAATCCATTGCTCATACTTATCAATAGAACTTTATTTGAAATTGTTGTAATTCATGTGTTGTACTAGGGGCAATTCTGCCTCTAATACTTGACTACAGTTATTATTTGCTAGACCTATATTCCATTTTATTTTTCATAAAATTAATTTTTAAAAGCACTATTTCAATTTTAGATTGATATCCCTTCAACGGGAAATAAAGTGATTAAAATGGCACATACTACAGATAAAAAGGTCACTTCACTTCTAATCAAAATCAGGAAGTCCAAATCTTTGTCTTGTTCAACCATAGTTCAAAGATGAAAGCAAAATTCTTACATTGGCTAGACCTCTTTCATTTGGATAAAAAAAATTAAAATGTCAATTTAATTATCTTTGTCCACTGTTTTTGGGGGGATGATTATCTGTTTTCCTTGAAAAAATAAATTTAAAGTCAGGAAATATAAAAATAAGCTTCGTCAGTTTGTGGCTTCCGGCTTCCGCTTAATCTTTCTGACCCAAAAATTTAATCTTATTCCAATTCAGAATTTGAGTTTAACATCAGAGAGGATTAGCTAATATAAGTTTAAAGTTTTCAAACGAACTGTTAATTGTACAAAATAATTCAAACCCCTGCTCCATTACCAATAACTTCTTTACTACACTGACTATACAAACTGCACCAATATTTTTTTACATATATAATAGTAAGCTTATAAATGGTGGGATAAAATCAAACCTCATGGAGGATATAAATTTCCCCTAAATTAATTTTATGAAACATTTCATTTTTTTAATTAAAAAAATTTTCAAAACTGTACATGGTTTATTATTTACATTAACATTCAATAACACTGTATATTTTACACAAAAAATTATGATTGTTTCACATGAAATATTATTACAATATATGAATTAATATTATTAATAGAAGATGAATGAATAGGATGTTAATATGATACATGTGATAAGAGTAGATAATAAAAACTTTCATAACATGAATATAATATAAAGCTTGCAACATATTATAGTTCTCAATTCAAACATTTTACAGGCATTAAATCATATATTTGGTGTACAGCAGTTAAGGCAGAAAAAGATTTATCTAGAGAGAAAGAAATGTGATTTAACTCAAAAGGTCATTTTGGGACTAACATGTGGTGTATCTTTATTTCAATAATAACTCTGTTTACAATATAATCCGGAGTTTATGGTCATAAAAAATTCTGGGATCAAAACATGTGAATCAAAAAAACAGACCTTACAGTCTGGGACCACTCAGCCACCAAATCCCAATTTGTCTAGGAAAAGCATTTAAGATTTATACATGTAGATATTACAAAAGTTATGTTGTTTTGTTGGGGTTTTTTTTGGGGGGGGAGGGGGGAGGGATGCTAACATAAACAATAATTTCAAACCAAGGTCTATCTTAAGAAGCAACTGAAATGTCTGAAATGAGAGCTGGGCAATATATCTATCATAATTAACAATTAGCTGCTGTCATAATTTATTGTGGTGTTCTGTTCATTCCTCTTATAAATGCTAGTTAATACTACTAGATTTGTCATTTACTCATTAAATTTAAGGTAATAATTTGATAATAAATGAATCATCATGTAGTATGCTGCAATTTAAACCGTACAAGATAATAGATAATATATTGAGTGAACAAACAGTACATCAATATATCAACTAATAGTATATCCAATGAACAGTACAACATCTCAAGAGATAATATATTGAGAGAACAGTATATCGTGTATCAACAGATGATAATATATCAGTATATCAATATTAATACATCGAGTACACCAATAAATATATCAACGGATAATATATTGAGTAAACTATACACCAATATATTAACCAATAATATATCAGGTAAACAGTACACCAATATATTAACAGATAATATATCAAGTTAACAGTACACCAATATATCAACGGATAATATATCAAGTTACCTGTACACCAATATATCAGCGGATAATATATCAAGTAAACAGTACACCAATATATCAAGTAAACAGTACACCAATATATCATGTGAACAACCAAATTGTACCTTCTAGCAATAAACTAAGGTACGATAAAAGAATAAAATGATTTAATGCATGCAAGCCTTAACAGATAAAATAATCAGAATAATCCTTAAAAGAAATAATGTTACTATAGATCTTTCATTTACGCCAAACGAATAATGCTAAATAACCCAAAGCACCAATTACTCCAAAATAAGATTTGATCAAATGACGATATATTATTTTTTACCAATGTTTAAACCGATTTTCGAAATCTGCTATAACCTAAGATTTCTCCAAACTATTTTATTTAACATACAAATAAAACCTGCTTAGATAAACTTTTTATTTACCATACAAGTAAAACCTGCGTAGATAAACTAACATTTACTCTTCAAAAAATCTTGCCTCTAACCTACATAAAATTCACATAGTGAAAGACTTTCATCACACATTATGACTAGAACAATTAAAATATATATTTCTTAACTCATGTAAACAAATTTGATGTCATTCCATTTGTAATTCGAAATCAGAATAGAAATCTGTCTGAATGTTGAAAATATAATATATATCATTCCTAGTAGAAATCTCATCTCAACTACCTTGTTATATAGTAGGCTACAATATATTATGAAGGCAAAAAATTTTTTTTAAATATATCCTTTATATGCTCAGCAAAAGCAACCTATTATTTACTTCATTTGTTATTTATTCCTCTAAATTAAAATAGAAGTAGAAATTTTTGGTAAAATACTAATAACTCTCTATATTATTTTACCGAAGCATTTTAACTTTTCTAATCTGGAAAATAATGACGTCATTTATTTATTTACTCATTTAACCATCTGAAGACCTGTTTAAATATTCTAACATTACAACACCCAGACCTCAATTTTACTGAAGTCGCAATGTATCAACATTTACAATTATTTGAGCTATAGACATTTGAGCATACAGTATATTATCAAATGAAATGCAATATGGAAATCCATAAGTCTCAGGGAGCAACGTTAGTTTGGCAATGGTTGTAATGTAAATGAGAAAAGATTTATTTCACAAGAATTTTATCATAAAATTTAAGATTTAAAAAAAGATTTCCCTAAAAAATTAAAGACATTTCCATTCATTTATAAGAGATTCAATATTAAGGCTCGGTAGAGCATGAGCAGATTTTTCATTTTTATGATGATCTTTATCCAAAATAATTTAAAAAAACATTATTTGAGCATATTATGTGAAATCGTAGTAATATTATGATTATAAAAACCACAACAAAAGATACTGTAGTTTATTAGGCTAAATAGTTTGCTTAAAACTAGTTTCTATCTAAAATCTGGACTTAAAATCAGCCATTAAAATCAGACAAATAGGTATTAAGTCCAATTTAAGAGATTGCCATAAGCATTCTTAAAATCAATGTTCACTAAAAAGAAAGCGTAAAGTTTACTATGGAATTTTAATTTGTGACTTCATGAATTTTTGGTTATAATGATTAACATAGATGAACAATAACAAAATAAACAAATAAAAAAACCTTAAAATGCTAAAATCAGCATTTGTTATCCAACAAGCGCTGTGCGAAAAATATTTGCAATTATTATCACACTGGTTCATTTTGATTTCAAATTTAGAATTGTTTAAATCTAGGCCACACAGAAAAGAAATTTTCTCGAAATGATGATTTTTAAACCAAAATCTTGGATATTAGTCAATGTTTTTCAAAATGCTACAATTTTACATTCTATGGAATTTTAACATAAATTTGATAAAATCTCAGTAAATTTCTTTATTGGGGTATGTGTAAATCTAATTATTTTTTGAACTTAGAAGTGTTAGCTTTAGCCATGAAGAAACAAAACCCAAGTGTTGATTTCTTTATAGCCTGGCCTAACAATATTTTGATATATATTTTCGTAAGTCCTAAAGCTGTAAATATCCCTGATTGTTATTTCATTGTATGTTAATTGTTAAAACTCTCCAGTCTTTTCTATTTAGAAAAAAAGATTTTAACAAAATATAAAAACTTGACATCAACAAAATGACGAATCAATATGTACATTATCAGTAAATGAAAATTCATGCAATAATCCTCATCTTATTCAATGACAACATAAAAGTTTAATATTTAATTTCCCAGAGATTCTTGTAGAAGGAATTTTTACGTAGTTATTTTTTGATATGTCCATAAATTATATAGATGAAAGCTGTTGAATAATTGTTATTATTTACGATACAACTAATTAAAGATTAGGTACATCTAAGAAACCTAGGATTTTCCATGGCATCACATTTTCTATAACTGTATCAAAATTTGGCACTTTTTTTTAATATATAAAAAGTTTGTGACAAACTTGAAACTCAAGACAATTTATGATTTTATAAAAATGTTGTACATTGTAATATACGGTTGAAGCTTCAACAAACAGACTTGAGCCATTGTCAAGAGTTTCGATTTAGCACTAAGCTTATCATTCGTGATATACATTTCTTTCTATCGGCTTTACCTGTACCTTGTGCCTTACACCTTTTGCTTAGATAATAACAATTAACAAATGAATTAATTCTTCATTTTCTTGTATTACTAATCAATAAATTCGACATAGTTTTCTGGTAAGAGTCCTGTCTTCCCACACGACGTTCCTTCTAACCAGCCTGGTTCTCTTGACGGTCTTACTGTTGTAAAAATAAACACACAATAATTAATTCCAAAACAATAGCCTTCTGGATTAATGTAAACTATCTCTGGACTAGAACAGAAGCCTTCTGGATTAATGTAAACTATCTCTGGACTAGAACAGAAGCCTTCTGGATTAATGTAAACTATCTCTGGACTAGAACAGAAGCCTTCTGGATCAATGTAAACTATCTCTGGACTAGAACAGAAGCCTTCTGGATTAATGTAAACTATCTCTGGACTAGAACAGAAGCCTTCTGGATTAATGTAAACTATCTCTGGACTAGAATAGAAATGAAATGGGGGATTAACGTCCTAATTTTCTGCACCAACCCAGGTAATGAAGACCGAAAAACGCCATGCAGTGTCCTGGGAGGTTAATTTTGTGTTGACGAGAGGTCTTGGTTTTTATCCCATTTGAACAATTAGATACCTTTCCTTACCAGACCCTCTGTCCTTCATCAATAACAAGTGGAAACTAGGTTTGAATATTTTGCAGAACTTCCTCGGCCAATACTGGTTTTGTACCTAGGACCTCGTTGTTAGTGAGCCAGTGCCACTCAATGAGCCACGGTAGCTCTGTTACTAGATTGTTGGCTGAGAAGATGGAAATGATTGTTTTTCAAATGTGAAGGAATAAAATACATACCATTATGAATAAGTTGATTAGCTTCAAAGGATAATTCTGTAGGATTTTCTGCTTTACATCTATATAATGCTCTAGCTAACCTAAAGCAAGAAAAACATTACCACATTATACCCATCTGGACCAATGCCCATAAAAATACTTTTATATTAAAGTAAAGATGCAGTCTATAGAGGGATTTTAAATCTTTTGATTATGTTGAATCTCTGAATTAATTACCAGCCCAAAATGGTTCAACCCTGTTCATTATTTATAAATATATGATGAAATGAGGATACAAAGTATCATTAAACAAATTCCAACACGGTCAAAGATATACTATGATATTGCCGAATAGCTTTCACACAACCTTCAAATAGGTCAATGTTATTGAGACAAATACATTGTAATTTTTTTTTCTAATTTATCTAAAGGAGGAACTCAGAATTTTTTTTTTTTTATCTTATTAGTAAGACTAGACACACTTTCTGGACACAAGTCTGAAGATTTTTCTTAGATTTAAACCAAAGACAAATCATAGTCTAGAGTTGAGTACCATAACCATTTGCCAACCATGGCCCTGCCCAGTCAACAGTAATTACACAGGATCCACCACTGACAGGTTTGAATCCTAGGTAATATTCTATTGACTGTTCCTTCTCTTTAAATGATTGCTGTTGATAGAAACGTACCTTTTAGGTTTAGGGCCTACACTACTATTAGATAAACCACCAACACTCCCTGTCATACTTGACTGCATGGAAGAATTCCTACAAAACAAATAGTTTAATTACCAGAAAAATAAATTTCAGAGAAAACAAGGTTCCCAATTAATTATGGGTTAGATTTTAGCATTACATAAGGACAGTATGGTAATGTCTTGTCCCAATGACTAGGTTTACTTTCTTTGCCAATCTTCACCCAGGATAGAGGGCCTGGCTAAGGAACGGTGTATAGTTGTTGGAATAATATGGAAAAACGAGGTCCTATGTAGAAATTGGTGCGCATTTAAAAGAACACTTGGCAGTCAGAATTCAATAAAAGAGTAGGCCGTAGCGCTGCTGTCTGGGCAAAATTTCTCTCATAGCACACTGTATAGTGTATGCCTGTCTTCAATAGTCTTGTTGGAGCAAAACTGTATGGCTAGTGAGAACCAGGTGTGAAAAAACCTGAAGAATCTTCTTGGTCCACAGCAGGATTTTAATCCAGGACATCCCAATCAAGATTTCGGTGCCACTGTCTGTCCAATTACATTAGCCTCATCGATACAGCAATGTATCAAGTATAACCTTGTTAAATATCTATACTAAGCAAACTACTCTAACGAGTCTGATATAGTAAAATCTATATTATATAAACAATTGGAATTACTACTAGAATATTAATAACCAGTTTTCACATTATTTAAATTTGAAATACTAGACAAAATGAAATATATCCTCTACTTACATTGAAGAACTAAAATCATTTGAACTTCTTTTCTTCACACTTCCACTAAATAAAGAAATAATTATCAAAAATGTCATATTAATACAGGAAGTGAAAATATTGACTTGACATGGGTAAAACTGTATTTTCAACAAATCAACCTGGAACCCAATAGAATATATTTGTAATTTTCATCATTAAATTTTTACCCTGGCTCTTTTATTTTATATGAAACATGTATAAAAAGTAAACTTACAAAGTCGGTGATTCTGCACCGGCCACATTTAAAGCGTAACGATTTGCTGAAATAGAAGAGACATACATTAACAAAACAATACTTAGAATAATTATCAACCATTTTATTGTTTGAGACAAAATTTTCCAGTATTGTCAAATCAAACAGAAAGAAATCAAACAATATGATATATATCGTAATGGGGCAAAAAAATAAGAGTAACAACAGACGAAAGCCACACCAACATAAAAAAAATTTGCTATTGACTTGAGAAAAAAAAAGCTACTCAAAAGCCTTTAGTTTTAAATTTTCAGATAGTTCACGAGACTCAAGTTGCTATTTTAAGTATTTATTTATCAGGAAACAAAGAACTAAATTGGTTTGTCCTAAGCAATTCCTACCATAGTAATGATTATTTATGTAAATGAAAATAAAGGTTAATCAAAGTAGTTTTTATTTAATTATTTTTGATTTGTTGGCCAACTTAAGTCGATAGGTTTAGTATCTAGAAGTGACATATGTGTAAGTAGAAGAATTAGTAAAATTAACAAGGGTTGAAGTTCCCCGCCCAGATTGTACCTGGATCTTTTTTCATAAAAACTTAAATCATTTAAAATTGATTGTCACATATGAACTACTCCAAAAAATCGCAGGTCTTGATGGTAACTTGTAACAAATTCGAAATTACCAGTAAAGAATGTACGTATGATTTTGAGTTGATGGAAAATATTTTTTTGTGGTGTATTTCAAATAAGGGGCCTGTATATAGCTAGTCACAATAATTTGCTTTAAACATACAGGTAAGTTATCTTACTTCAAAATGGTGGAATTCAAAGTTATTGACCTAAACAGTTCTTTAAATTACGATTATCATTTTTAATTTTAGTGGAGACATCAAAATGCAGCAAATGTCACAACTCATTTTAAGATATTTTGGGTTTTATGAAAAAGGTCCCAGGGGTAAAAAAAAAAAGGAAACTGAATGAATTGACTCAATCATACAGACTAAGATTGACACCACTACACTTATAGGATGCATCATAGTCCGTACAAATTCTCGGCATATTACAACACACCTTTTAGTGGAGGACCGGGAGATGGTCCCACCCTTGCCCATACAGGTTTTTCACCTGTAATAAATAGTGACATATATACAATTGTTTATTCAAAGGTTCATAACATTATTGTTCATTGGATTTAATTAGTCATATTTTAATTTCAGCAGTTGCAAAGAAATATACATCACCATTTAAAAATGTGATGCATTTCACCCACTAAAACGATACTAGTATGAATTTTATCATTACACAACTTTGCAGCTCACCATATAACCACCACCACAATTTCCAAAACTGGCAATGACAATACACTCTGCCCAAAACCCTTATTATTCATTGTGATTACAGAAATCCTATGAGCCACTAGAGATATTATTTTTTTAGTGAATAAAACCCATAAGATCTCAAATTGACACTATCCCAAAGTTCCTGGATATCTATATCTGCATACATGCCTAAATTAAAGTGGAATGTGATTTTTTTCACTTTTATAATCACTGATACAATTTAACAGTGGAATTTATCAGAGTAGGTATAAGACATATTTCTTCATATTTTGGTATTTAATTTGGTTATTTATACCCATTTTTATCAAGTGACATCTTGAACCTCACCGTTACCACCTATTGTTAATATTGCCATGCATATCAAACAATTAATTAAATATACAGAAAAACTGTCAATATTGTGATTTTGTATAGTAAATATATTTCAACATCATTTATTTTAAACCAATTACTAATAAAATTATAAATAAATATGTCATTTCAAAACTCCATTAGTTTGACTTTTCCATTATAATTATAATTATAGTTTATTTCAATCAGATGTATATGGCCAGTTTCCAAAATTTAAAGCCCCAACAGGCCAGGAGATATATTTAGAGCTTTATTTAAAAAAAACATTATTTTAAACAATCTATTCAAACTTAATTTTCTTTAACTTCACATTGGTTTTTGTTGATTATACACGGACATCTTTGTCCCTCTTAGTAAAAATAGCAATAATAATTGTGGTATCTTTTTCATACAAGTCAGCAGTACAATCTTCTTCATTTAGGATTACATCATTCTTAACACATTTTTAACTTTTGAAATATTTTTAACTATTTGACCTGACCTGTGCATTTAGCAGCATGCAAATCTTATTAGTAACAAGACAAGTTAATTTTATCCACACAAGCATATATTTAGTCATTTTATTAATACATATATATACACACAAGATGTTAAAATTTATTAGCGAACGAGTGACGTGCTGTGTTTGTTAGTGTTGGTATGTTTATAAAACTATAACCTGATGGTGATAATGGTGATATTGGTGATCTGGGTCCATATTCAAATATCTCTGGTATTCCTACATACACAAATTTATAATATAATTAGACATTAGATTCGTGTATGGCTAACTTATCTATCAGAATACAGTCACATGTACAGACATTAATTAAAACACAGAGCCTATACCATACGGATCAACACCATGGCAGTGATATCATGTTACTTGATATTCTTTTGGTAAATTATGGAATTCCTTGATATAAAATGTGTGTACTGCTGATTAATTCTATTCAATGTGTTTTGCTTTGTATGACAAGAAGTATGAAGAGAAGCATGAAGCAATGTAGAATTGAGATTTGTGATAAGTATTTCTACCTTTTTTCCAATAATCTATCAAAGTTACATGTAATGGATTTATAGCAGACGCTATACCCTGTCTAGAACATCTGATACCATAACATTTTTATAATCATCCAATATTACCCCAACATTTAAAATATAAATTTTCCTATATCTGCATAACTTAAAAGAATCGCAGAGATATATCCACTAAAAACTTTCAACTTATGAGTTGTACAGATTCTTTAACGTTTTACAAATAATTCGACAAATGTTCAAGAGAAAAGTCCAAGGAAATTTTGAAAATGACATTCAAAATTAATAACATTTATTTTTTTGTAATACCCCTTTAATTATCCCTATATATTTGGGTAGTGGCCGTCTAGTTCATATGGTACGATTATTTCAGTAAGTCATATGAATCCAGATCTGTAGCAGGAGGAAACATAAGAACCCGGAAAACCTGATGAGATTACGTAGATGATCCTGTGACAGACGTTAGGATCTATAATATAAGACCCCTCGGCAACCCAATTTGTCTATTATTAAGCCAGAGAAGTAACAGCCATTATCGCAGGAGAGCCAGTGAAAGAAGGCATCGTTTTAAAGATGTTAGTTATCTTACCTATTGCACTAATATTAGAATAAAGCGGTGTACTACTATTACTACCCCGTCGTCGTGAATCTAATTGAGGTGATGTAGCTGCTTGTCGTGGATGATGATTATTCTTAGATGTATTCAACGAATCCGAACTACCGCTAGTACTACTATGAGTTTCAAATCCTACAGGGAAAAAAAATATACAACATAAATCACACAAACAAGCCAGACTACATACCATTTGTCGGGCTGTATAAAGCTTTCTTACCCAGAATCTCATTTTAGCTAAAGTTGAGCTTTACAGAAATATTACGGCGAATTAATATCAACTTCAAAAGCAAATTGAAAAGAATTATCGTTTTCCATATTAATTTTGATGGTCATTAATATACATCTTACCATGTGGGTCAAAAAATGTTACACATTCTGTGTGTATGCTACTTTTTTAAATCTGAATACTTTAATATTTTTTATCAGAAAAATGAAAAATGTCATCCCCCACCTCATCGCCAAAATAAATAGAAAATACTTGTTAATGACTTGCACATTTATCTTTTGATAAAGCCCCAAGCAATCAAACTGTCTTTCACTCTGCTTAACCTCATGGACCACTAAAACCTTAATATTTAAAATGTTAAAGTACAACTTTAGCTTGAAAGTAAGATCAATGCATACAGCTGTTTGTATATAGAATTCAACTGTTTGTATTGTAGCAAGAACATATCAAAAAGCATATTATTGGGGCTTCAAACACAAAACAGATTTTAATATATACATACAAGGACATTCATTTATTCATTTCATTAAAAGAATATTTGGGATAAAATGCAAATGTTTTCAGGGGATGTCAAAAGTCTGTAACTCTGGACGTAATTTCAAATTTTTTTTTCCCTGTTAACTTGAAACATGCCACAATCATTTGTGTAATTTTATGTATCAGCCCCACCAAGCAATTCATTTCAAGCTGCCTATATTTCAAACATTATTCTAATATCATAAAAGCCATGATCAATGCTCCAAAAACATTCAAATATTTACAATAGAACACAGAATTTGAATAAGCAGGATGCTTGCACAAAAATTTGGACAAGTGGCAATAATTTTTACAAGCCACTGGTTTTATCTACATTGCTGTTAATACATCCAAGTCTTTCACAGAAATAATGAATAATTTACATGACCCTCTTGCCAATCGGAAAGAATATAAAAGAGGAGGTCACTCTAACATATCTTACCACCGGTGTTAGCATTATAAATCTGTACAGGTCTAGTGGACCGACTTTTTGCTGAGGGATGTACTGGTGCTGAATTAGAATAAATATGTCCCCCAATTGCCCCCTGTTCCCTTGATAATACTGGTGTTGATGAATTAACTGGTCGACTGTTGTTAGCTGCAGAACTGTTTTTAGCTGCCGTTGTTTTTTGCGATGGGTCATAATGTTTACGTAGAACTTTCCGACTACTAGGATCAACATCTTCAGGCTGTGACCCAAATATCTGAAGTAAATGGTTAAAATATATTCAGTTTTTAATAGACTCCACCAAAGATGTATTTCTTTATTTTTTTCCTTATTATATCGGTCCATTTCCAAATTGTTTTTCAAAGGATCGTGTGGCTCAATAATTATCCTAAATATTACATTTCAAGGTTCTAGAATTATCACATCCACCAATTTATTTACAAGCAATAATTAATTGTCATCTTCGATTATAACATATCTTCTTGTTCTTGTGGATGCTGATTCATGCTTCCATGGAGTCATTTTAAGTTTTGGGTTGAGAAAAGTTCAAATTAATATCAAGTAGACATGCCGCTGAGTAAGTGTTGAAATATTTATTTTATATAGACTGTACATTTACATAAAGATGTTTAAGAGCTAACATGAATCCAACTAGACACCAACTAACTTGTTCAAAATTTCGACTCTTAATTTCACTAGTACAACTTACATGAAATCAACCCTATGACATAAGTTGGGGTTTTGAGAACATCAGTGCAACAACCCTATTACTCAAACACAAAGCTTGAAATGACCCCCCCTATATCCCAGCTGAATTACTTACCTCATCATAATTATTGATAAGAATTTCTACTACAATGTTACAGAATTTGATATCCATGATGGCTGCCATCGTCTCCTCTTCTGGTCGCATTAACGTCGGACCAAAACACACCCCGAGATTAGCAACAGTCATCTTATTTTTATCACTTTCACTAGCTACCCTACAAATAGAAATGTATAACACAATATGAAAGTCAAACAAAATCAATCCTAACTTGAGTCAATATATAATTCATATACTTTTATTTAAATTGGCAAATATATGAAGTTTTACCGACTCATTCATCTCTATGAGTAACTGTGTGTTGAATTACAAAATCTCTGAATGACATTTGATAAATATAACAGCAATATGGACTTGTATAATATCCAATATATCAACCCAAAACAGACTGCATGAGAAATAACATACAAAATTTAAAAAATTACCTTGATAAATGTCCTATTAGTATTTCTAACATCTCAAACTGAGCATCAGGTAGTTTGTGGACTAGTTTATGAATATCTAATATCCGTAACCTTTTTGATTCATGTTCTGAAAAAGACAATAAACGATTACTTTATAGAATTAAAACAGCTGGCAATAACCGACAAGTGGAAACTGGACTTGTAAAATACTGAGGATCTTCTCGATTTGAATCTGGGACATTCTAGTCAAGTCTTGAATAGAAAAGATTACAGAGTTATTATTATTATTATGAAGAACATTGTGGCATGAAATCTGTAGAAACTAACATAAAATTCAAAATGGCCAACCTACCAATTCCCAATTACAGCTGGATAATGTGAAATACAAGGACAAAGTGTGTCATGTTGTCCCTATAATGAATAGATGTACTAGAATAACAACTTACTTGCAGCCTTCATAAAATCATTATGATATCTAAAACCCATTAAAGGTTCGGGTAAAGATCTGAAATAGACAAGATATGTATATATTTAAACAATATTAGACAAAGTTTAAAAAGTTACCAAAATTAGCAATTCTATCTTCCATCACACCTTATCTATTACCCCACTAACATTTATCTATAGCATGGGTTGCAACTCAGCCATATATGCCGGTCTTGGAAGATCTAAATAGTACCTCTGACGGCTAAAAATTGTACAGACAATCAAAGCCTTTAAAAAGTTATTATGGAATTATGTGTATCCTGGGTTTTGAAAGGTAGGTTGATATAGAAATTTAGAAATAGAGTAAACAATCAGTTCTCGAATAGATTAAACTACAATTTTACCTGAGGTAGCTTTTAACAGCACTTGTAATAGTTTTAGTTTCCCACACACCAGGGTCTTCAAACGATAATTTATCTCCTTTTTTACGATCTGGTTAAAAAACAACATAAAACACATTTTAAATTTTAAATATTATAGTCCCAATTTACCAGAAGCACTATTTGTCCTTTTCCTTATTTTAACATCAACAAAGGCAGAACTGATAATAATCTAGATGATTAATAATAAAAAAACGGTTTGATTTGGATCTCAATCACCATGGAATAGTAAACAAGTCCGGCCATAATTCAGGAAGTTACAATCCGATATGCGCAAATATCGAACGGAACCAAGATCTTTGGGTTATAAACTTACATTTCAAGTTACATCAAAATCGGAAGAAAATTGTCACTTCTAAGTTCTAGAGGGTCCACAACATTCATATACCTTATTTTTACCCTATTTGAGTACGAGGGGCGGCCATTTTGTCTGTCAGTTTTGGTCCGATTTTTTCGAAATTCGAATTCAGCCATCCTTAGGGTGTAATGGTGATATAATCAAACGGTTTTTGAAATCGGATAAAAATTATAAGCTCTATGGGGTCCACAAGATAAAAACACGATTCAGGAAGTTATGGTCCGATATGTGCGAATATCGAAAGGAACCGAGATCTGGGTGTTATAAACATACATTTCAAGTTTAAACCAAATCGGATAAAAATTGTGCCAATATCGAAAGAAACCGAGATCACAAACAATTTTGGACGGACAGGGGCGACAACAATATACGTCCAAATGAAAATGTGGGCGTATAAAAATAACATTGTGAAATCAACAGAAAATAATAGGACTTTACATGGTCATTTCTCATATTGCGATTGATGGAGTTTAATAATATTTGCCCCATAACCTTTCTAATAATACTGTTTTTGGCTGTCTATATTTGCCTTTTAATCTGGAATAGTGTGTCTTTAAGAGAATAAAAATAACATCTTGAATGATCTTTTTGTTAAGTATATAAAAAAGAACTTCAATTAGTAAATATATGAGTACTCACCTAAACCTAGACTAATTAATTTCTGTACTTTAGAATTAACACCTACTACCCTATATAGTCCCTGTTCATGTAAACCTAAAAAAAAAAACACAATACAAATCAAGTATATATTTTTGGTGTACTTCATTGTCATCTGACACATTTTCTTTGTAGATAGTTTTATTGAAAAATCAAATTGACTGTAATGGTATATAGGTTTTATTTTGTGGTGAATTACAAGAATTTTAAAACCCATGAGTACATAAAACCGCGATTCTGGGTTACAATATGACTGGTGTGTATACACAGAACTGTCAGAGTATGGTTCTGATAAAAAGTATGTTAGATATGATACTGCAATCTAAGATGTGGAATTATTTGAGAGAGAGAGAAATGGGGTTTAACGTCCACTCGACACAAACTAGGTCGTTTCGGTTTAATTTTATTTACATACTTCGCTTGCACGTAGGGGTCTTTAGCAGTGGGAGCAAACCGGAGGACCCGGAGAAAATCCACGAGGTTGGACAGGCGACCCTACTCCTTGCCACGTACAACCGGGGATTCGAAACCACGCCAGTCGACTCAATGACAGACTTTATGATATAGCGCGCGCACGCTAACCATTCAGCCATCCAACCCCCCGTGGAATTATGCCCCTTCGGTCAAGGCTTCTAATCACAAGAGACAGTATATTCAATAGTATTTTTATTCTTAATACAAACAGAAATAAATAAAGCTTACCTCTAGATTCTATAGCTGCTAAACATTTCTTAATAAATACAAAACCGATATCATCTAAAAATGCTGTAATAAATATAATCCACACTTAATAGTTATATTTTTAATTTCTTTCTAAAGAACAATTTGTACGAGAGAGAGACGAGGTTTAACTTCCACTCATCACCAACCAGGTCAGTTTTATTTTTAAAGACTTTGATTAACATGAAATCAATCACTACTGATTATTTTATAGTTTTGAGGGGTGTTAGGTTTAACGATCCTACTATACCTTATTTTGTTAAAAATGTAATTGTTAGAACAGAAATACGTTTTAAATTAATGGGATCAGTGGTAAATTTATCCTTCCTAATACTGCATGTGACTAAATATACCATAACCACATGTTAGTCTCAAAATGAACAAGGTATTGTGTTAATGATGTGTTCCACTCAATTCCTACTGTTTCCTACATGTTCTATAATGTTATCGATATTGCTGTATCTAAATGTTCTGTAATGTTATCAATATTGTGGTATCTATATGTTTTATAATGTTATCAATATTGATGTCCTATATGCTTTACAATGTCATCAATATTGCTGTATCTATAAAATACATCATAATAAGAGTTTAGGTATAAATATAAAAGTAATACATACTGTCTTCTGATTTAGCTATTGATGGTGGATTATAAATCTGAAATAACAATATAATTATAAGATATCATTATATTTAAGTAGCCAGTGAATATCACATCTGGGTAATATAAAATAAATCAAATTTGAGTATACTGTTGTCAATTTTACCTTCAGGTGAATGGTTAATATTAGATTAGACTAGCTTCCAGTCTTAGAAAGTTCTAGCAATCTCATGATATTATACTAATTTGATCTTTCTGTCCTTTTACTATCCTAAGGCAGTACCAGGAGAGTAGAAATCTAATATTTAGCAGCATTTAAGCCAATCAGAAAAGATTAATTTCCTTAGTAAAAACTTGCAATAGCAACAGTGGCTCGCCTTCAGTCCATAATGAAAACTTAACCAACAGAATATTTTTGGCAAGACCTCAACAATAAAACCCACCACTTTTCAAAGATCCAGTCATTACCTTGACATAACAAAGTTAGAGAGAGTGAAAAATCATGGTTTACTGCCTACTTGACACAAACAGTGTCATTTCTGAACTAAAACATGGTTCAATTTTATTTCAAGAATTCTTTTGCTCACAGGGGTGCCACCCAAACCCTCCCCTCTAATAAAGTGAGACTAGAAAATAGAATAAAGTAAACTAAAGAAGTATCAATAAAATATGCAAGGACTGAATACAGTCTAGGTTAATATCTTTAAATAATAAATAAAACTTACAGGCTCTTTACCATCCATAGCATCTAACCATAATCTTCTATCTTCCTCTGATAAAGCTTGGAATGTCATAGTCATATTCTGTCTATAATACAAGAAGTGAAATGAAATTTAACGTCCTGTCCTACTGTTCTGCTCCGGCTTGGCTAATGTAGATGGACATACGCCATAGAGTGTGCTATGAGGGAAATTTTGCCCGGACAGCAGCGCTACGGCCTACTCTTTTATGTGCATGCCAATTTGTACACAAGACCTCGGTTTTTGGTCCCTTCCGAATGACTATGTTGTCCTCTGCCAGGCTCAACACCCTGGAAAATCCTGATTAACTTTTTCGGCTAACACAGGGATCGAACACTGGACTTCCCGGTTAGTGAGCCACCGTGGCTTCCTGTCTATAGTACAAATAGTTAAAACATAAATTATATCGAGACAATGTAAACATTTTACAAATTCCAATCAATTTATTGGTTCATATAAACATTAAAGAAGAAGGTCAGTAGTTTCAGATTCGAAGAGTAGCTGTGACTGATCAATGCAGATCATTTGTTCACAATCAGTCAGTAACCCATTCCTATAATTTGGTTTATTTACAAACTTTTCCAGATCCTACTTTCATATCATAAAGACTAAAAACTTTGTGTTATAAATAAAAGTTGAAACGACAAAAAATAAAACAAAACATGATCTGTGTTTTAATGTGATTGTATATTAATCAATATCTAAATTAATAATAATTCATACTTTTCTTTCACAATTACATCAAAACAAAATCTCTTCTCTATGGACTCAGAAGCTCGTCTGTAAATAAATAATATTTAATATTAGATTGATTTATTCACAAAGCATCAGTAAACCGGGCTGTATATATCCATGTTTCAGTTAGAGTTCTATATACAGTAAACCGGGCTGTATATCTCCATGTTTCAGTTAGAGTTCTATATACAGTAAACCTCACATAAGTCGGATTCGTATAACTCAGATCTTCGCTCAAATCGGATAAAATCGTATGGACCCTTTGTTCCTGCACGTTTTTCTTATTAAATTTCTGCGTGTAACTTGGATTTACTATGTTGGATTTTCGCTCAACTCGGATCCAAATGTTCGGTCTATTTGATCTAATTAAGGCTTTTTTCCTTCAACTAAGTCGGATCGGCAGTATGTTCAGAATTTGACTAAGTTAGTTTCGTACCAATGGCCTAAAATGTGGTAAGGTATTCCATGCACAGAGCCCCAAAATACTTTCCACTATCATTTTGCCTCAAATCCGCATATTTGACGCGATGCAATAATAGAATTTTCCCTGTCAACAACGAACAAGATAATTTCATGGGCATTATAATACATGGACTGAATGCCCTCAAAATTCCTTCAGTATAAATTAATTTTAAATCCAGTTGTAATTTATTATTGAATTCACAATCAGAATGTGCCGTTACTGTGTACGAGACAACGAATAAAAGAGTTCCCGTCATTACCAGTCAGGAGGATCTTCTATTCGCCACCCCCACCCCTCGGAATATGTTGCTGCCTTTTTAAATGACATGTGTTTTTTTCTATTTGTTCCGTCTTCTGTGGCTTCTGTTGTTGTTTTTCGTCAATATGATTATCGCTATATATGTTAAAATATTATGTACGGAAATTGTTGTACTAGTCAATTGTAATCTATTGCCGGTATTGGATTTTTAATTAGCAGTTAAAGCTGTAGGGGTAAGTAATCATGGCTCAAAATGTTCGCCTGTTTACTTGTTGCCGACAGGCGATTTTTTCGTCTGACAGGTAGCAAATAAAACTACCCGTTGCTTGCGACAGGTGGACTAAATTTTACTTGATGTTTAGTAAATTGACCACAATACTCACGTCCACGTCACGTACATTTAATTAGTCGTTTCTAAATGCAAGAATTAAGCACGGAAATACCGTGAAAAGCCGCCATTTGCACTGTTGACATTTCGCTCTATCGTAGGCTACAGTTACTCACACAGTTGGGAACTAGACAATTTTATAACAATGAATTTCACCCCATCTACGGTTGTTTTCATCTGCTTCACCACACTATTTATAGCATTGTGGAGTATTACATGTATATCTAAATTAAAACGCACCCCCAAGTAACCAGAAATAATTCTACCGTAACTATACCACAGTAAATATAGTGGTGGTTGGAATGGAAATGCACATGGCTCGTTGCTGGGTGTATTTAGTTTTAAAAAATTTCCATAAATAAAGGCCATGGATAATTTATAAGACAATTTGACAAAATCAAATAATCAGGTCGGAAAAATATTTCACATATTTATAAATATAATTTGTAGCGTAAATATAGTCCGGATATGTGAGAAGTGAATTCCAGGTGGCGTTATCTGTCCTTCGCACGTGGTACATGTAAATACGGTGCCATGCACAGGTATGATTTGTGTTTTGATGTTCAATTTATTACGGATATTTTAAAATCTGAATTCGACAACTCAACGGCGAAGTATTCGATTTAGTACGGAAGTGTAGTACCATGATAATGTGTGGAATTCATAGAATTGTACGAATCTTCGAGTCGCTGAGCCAAAGCAGATTCGCCTACTTTCAAGAACTTTTAGGTATTCCGATGTCGAAGAAATAAAAAGGTTTCATATTACGATATTTATATGGAGCAAAATACATGTATGTCGAGACCTAAACAAAAGTGTGTGTGTGAATGTACCTACATGTATGGATATGTGTGATGTGATTAGTCTTTGAGTTTGATAATTGAGAGTGACAGGTTATTTACTGAAGTGACAGGTATGACATTTCAAGGCCTGGGTAAGTTAGAACACGGGAATCTCTTACCCAGCTCAATAATATACAATGAGATATTCAGTGTTCGGGCATCATTTTATAATTTACTTATCAACAAACAATCCGATTAATCGGCACTACATTGAATCAGTTATTATCCGGCTCTTGCAGTATATTTCTAACTGAGCTAAGATTGAATTTCGATCTTCAGCTAACTCGGATCTTCGCTTAATTCAGATAAAATTGGTCAGTCCACTTAGATCCGACTTATGCGAATTTTACTGTACTGTGTATACACTGTATTTTACTGTACTGTGTATACACTGTATTTTACTGTACTGTGTATACACTGTATTTTAAGTGTTCTAAAAATGACAAGTAAAAGGACATATTTTTATTTCAATAATTCACTCTCGGTTGCTGGTGGTGTTTAATGTCTGCTTCCACAATAATTCACTTAAGCACAACTGTGTTTTAAGGAGGAATTGAAAGCCTGAAGAGAGCAAACAAGGTTTGGTATACAACCCCACTCCTCTTCACACAAATAGGGGATGTAACTCACAACTTTACTTTTATTATTTAATCAACAAGTAACTGTCAATTGACATATTTTAACAACATACCTAATGCACTGATCAAGAACCATTTTTTCTGGGACACTCTAAATAAAAAGATATTTTTCATTATTATTATATTGTTCAAGAAACCATGAAAATTTTAAATAATCGACCAAATAGATACGCAATAACCAGGGTTTGAGAAGACCATGAAAACATTATTTTATTTTATGATCAGTAGTGGAATACCGCGTTTTATCAGTGAAATAAAAGTGTTATTCCACTGGCTAGCAGTAGTCCATGTTGTTTTTACCTAAAATGATTGTAAAATCATAAAATAAATAGAACATCTGTCGTTTTGTCGTGAATAACATATTTTATTTCATCTCTAAGCAAGAAAACGTTTATATTTTCACTTATGCTACGCATTCGTGAAAATATAAGTTTTCTTGCTTCTCGATGAAATAAAATATGTTATTCACTCTAAAATGACAAATATCCTCTATTTATTTCAACCGATATGCACTAAATAAGTAAATATTATTTATCAGCCTTATCAAAGTCTCGAATTGTGCATTTTTTCAGACATTATCTAGTATTTTCATGACCTAATCCACAATCATCTAATATTAATTTACAAAAATAAAACCAAAATATCAATGGTAGATAATCTCATAGCTTGGATTCAATCAGATTTTTAAACAAGCGGTTGCCATACAAGATTTGCCCACATTTTGCAAGAGATGGACAGAGAACAAGCTCAAAAAAGGAAGTGATTTTTTCGTACAATCAAGAGCCATAATTCAGGAAGTCATGATCCAATATGTGCGAATATCGAAAAGAACCAAGATCTTTGGGTTATAAATATGTATTTCAAGTTCATCAAAATCGGATCAAAATTGTGACCTCTATAGGGTCCACAACCTTGATATACCATATTCTTACGCTATTTGAGAACGAACGGCAGCCATTTTGTCTGTCAATTTTTGGCCGATTTTCACAAAATTCGAACTCAGTCGACCCTAGGGTGTAACGGTGATATAATAATACATTTTTTTATATCGGATAAAAATTATGAACTCTATAGGGTCCACAAGCTAAAAACGCGACTTTTCGTACAATCAGGGGCCATAATTCAGGAAGTTACGGGCCGATATGCGCGAATATCGAAAGGATCCAAGATCTTTGGGTTATAAACTTACATTTCAAGTTTCAACAAAATCGGATAAAAATTGTGACCTCTTTAGGGTCCACAACCTTGATATACCATATTGTTACGCTATTTGAGAACAAACGGCGGCCATTTTGTCTGTCAATTTTAACGAAATTCGAACTCAGTCGTCCTTAGGGTGTAACAGTGATATAATAATACGGGTTTTTAAATCGGATAAAAATTATGACTCTACAGGGTACACAAGCTAAAAACGCGATTTTTCGTACAATCAGGGGCCATAATTCAGGAAGTTACAGTCCGATATGCGCGAATATCGAAAGGAACCGAGATCTTTGGGTTATAAACTTATATTTCAAGTTTCAACAAAATCGGATAAAAATTGTGACCTCTATAGGGTCCACAACCTTGATATACCATATTTTTACGCTATTTGAGAACAAACGGCGGCCATTTTGTCTGTCAATTTTGGGCCAATTTTCACGAAATTCGAACTCAGTCGTCCTTAGGGTGTAACGGTGATATAATAATACGGTTTTTTAAATTGGATAAAAATTATGACTTCTATAGGGTCCACAAGCTAAAAACGCGATTTTTCGTACAAACAGGGGGCATAATTCAGGAAGTTACAGTCCGATATGCGCGAATATCGAAAGGAACTGAGATCTTTGGGTTATAAACTTACATTTCAAGTTTCAACAAAATCGGATAAAAATTGTGACCTCTATAGGGTCCACAAGCTAAAAACGTGACTTTTCGTACAAACAGGGGCCATAATCCATGAAGTTTCGATCCGATACATGCCAATATCGAAAGCAGCCGAGATTTTTTGGGGATAAAGCTATATTTCAAGTTTCATCAAAATCGGACAAGAATTGTGACCTGTAGAGAGTCCACAAACAAATTGTGGAAGGACGGACGGATGTCCGGACGGACAGGGGCGATGACAATATACGTCCACATGAAAATGTGGGCGTATAAAAATCCACCATTTTACATTTTAAGATGAATAAAGCACAACTCCAGCGAATAACTGTAAAATAGCTATGAAAAAAAAAGAATAGTTTACCATTTTTCCTCCAAGTTGATTATATAAAATCATAAAGAACTCTTTGTTATCTTTTTTATATTGACAATAATACTTGGTCCATGTTGTTCCTAGTGCCTCTGTAAAATATAAACATATATATACATATAGAGCAGAGAAACCACCCAACCATAAGTAAAGCCTTGACATATGGATAGAAACGTTATGTTCCATTTTACTGTAGGTTATTTGATTTGGCTTTTTAATCAAGATCAAAGATATTATTATGCTGTCATTACATGTTCAGAATGAGCTTATACAAATACATAAACAAAATAAACTTGTTTTATCTAGACTTATTGAACCCATACTGAACAGTGCAGAACTTTTAACAAATGAAGTTCACCGACACTCAAGGCCAGCAAATAAATCTACAATCAACATTGAGATTTAATAATTAACTTACTTCGTTCCATAAGATAGAGGTAGCCCTGTCTTGTAAAACCTTTAATTGTACCAGATTGATCCATAGGTTTCTGAAGGTGAACATAATGATACAATAAATAATTCTATCTATACAGTAAACACTGACATATATTGTAACAACTTGGTATAAATAAATACCTGTCATGTATCAGATGTTACAGTCCACTCAACACTAATTAGGTCATTTTGGGACTAAATTTATATAATAATTCACATGTATGCAGCTGCAGGTATGTTTAGAAATAGGATGACACTAGAGTACCTAGAGAAAACCCATGAGGTCAGACAGGCAATCCTACTGAATAGTAAGTGCAGGAGGACAGCACTATACGCAAAACAAAATCTACAAGAACGACCTGCGAACAAGACAGCATACACAGACATTTACAGAGATTCAAACCCATTACAGACCTCCCCCCAGTCATCAAATATGAGGTTCGTTGACAAAAGAGAAGGTTAAAACAGTCTAAAAGACAGATATATGAACTAAATACAGGGGCCCAATTCATGATTACATGACTAATATATTCTATGGATGTGGCCTTTTCATTTGTCAAGGTTTAAAATCCCAGCACCAATTTTACCATTTAGCCAACAAAACAAGTGCATTCCTAAGATATTTTAGCAAAAGTTTTTGTGAATAGTTCAATTAGATTTTAACATATTTATTAATCACGTTTGGTATTATATTTTTAACATTAAAAATTTCCCTTTTCTCTAAAGATTTACATAATATGGACGAATATCAAAGATATTTAATTGAAAAAAGTATATATATAAATATATAGGGTTCCAGTCAAATTTCACTCCAACCCATCCAATTTCCATAATGCAAAAAAAACATTCAGTTTATTGATAAAGAGGGGTCTTTCAAGACAAGGATGAGGCGTTCACCTATACAGTTTTTTTGTGGGCTCAAACTTTTTTAATCTGCATTTCTATAGACATAACCATCAAACATATTTAAACAAATGTCTCTTTCAGTGTTTCAATATCAAACAAAGCATCTATTGTTTTATATTTGAAAACTATATCATAGATATATTAAACTGCTTCTTATATACAGGCAATGCTGTGATAAATACAGAGCTCTCATTTACGTCATATCTGACTGTCAGCGTCTGTTGATAGAATCGACCAGTTGGTGGAAAAAAGATTTTATTTAAAGTCTGTAATTAAATTACAGTCAAGTTCTAAATTAGTTTAGCACAACTATACAACCCACTTAAGAGTCTTATAAAACCCCAAGAAATAAATTAAAGAACTAGTCACGTTTATATGAGAGCCCTGTCAGAATTCACTGTACCTAATCAAAAGCACCATTTTCCATGGCTGCATAGCTGGCTATACAATGCAGGGCAATAAGCAATAGGGTTCACACTTTTTTCTTTTGTTTTTGGAAAGAAACCAGCCTAGAACTAACACACCAACTACCATTAGCAAATATGCAAGAACATGGAGAAACCTTTTCAAACATTAACACAGACTTGTCAGGCCTCCTAAAATGCTCCCACCAGAAGCAAAATCGTCCATGCCAATAAATGTCAACAAAGCTCATTTTATATAAAGTTGGATGACGTTGTCAGGTTGCTTTAGATGGTAATATACTTCCATATTAAATGTGGTTGTATAAAAACGAACAGGAATGTAAATATTGAATAATAACCTATATGAACAAACACAATTGGAGAGGAACATTAAAGTCTCTGTTAGTCATTTGCATTTTGGGGAAAATATCAAATTTTCCATGGCTTAATCCCTAAAATGTGCTCAAATTGATTATCTATTTTTTTTTTGTTGGAGACAAATTCTAAATTTCAATGTAAAATAATCTACTAATTTGAGTTTGAATTCAATTGGACCTCAAGAAACCAATCAGAATATTTAAGCGAAGATTACAGTCGGTGCTTGCATTCAACCATATCACATTTATACTAAACTTAGACTGCTTGAGAACGGACACTAAACTAGTTGACCGACATTTTAAGTTCTAAATTGACGATTTTAATCGAAAACGCTTAATATACTTCAAGGATATTTGTTAAGTATTTATTTTGCTTCCATTTAATAAAATTGAAAAAGTTTATATAGTCATTATAATTATTGTGACGGATGTGAAACGGAGTAGAACCACATTACAAAACAGTATACTAATTTTTGGATATGGTGGCCATTAAGGGTAGACATCTATTCTTGAAGTATGAAGTTGACGAATCTCTGTGTGCAGAATGACATCTATATTGTCTGCAGAGGATAATGAATGTTCACAAATTTTCAATTCATCATATCTTTGTAAACACTGAATAGATCAGAGCTATTTTTAGACTGATATTCTTTCTAGAGATTCAATTTTAACAATATTGTAGTTAGCAAGAGATTCCTTAATACCCCAAATAACATTCAGAGACTTTAAGAAAAGGTTACATAGTTCTGAAAAACATGTTTGTTTACATCTACTTTAAGAAATGTGAATTTGTATAATTAATTACTATTTGAAAGAAAAATATAGACTAAATATTAAATTGATAGGATTATTTCTATAAAATATATGTGTATTGTACAACGAAACTTACAAATAAACATAACAGTGGGTTTAAAACATGAAAGGTGATTATATCAGTAATATATAAATAACAAACAGAATACATACATATAACATTTCATCTTCATATTCTCCAATATGCTTAATGACAACTTGATTTGGATAAAAGTTGTATTTGTGATTTAAGATAAGATGACTATCACTCCTCTAAGAAAATGAGCCAATTTCTAATATCTCCTAATTAAAACAAACTGTTCCTAACAACATGCAGAAATAAAGTGAGGAAGAGTTTATTTTTTTCGGGGTTAATTTTGAAAATGAGAAATGCTACATATTTTTAAAATAATATAAATGAATTGGCTTGTGTAATTTCATTAAGTCTTAGAAAGTGCGTTCTAGAGATAATATTTTCATATTGTTGGAAGGTGAAATGTTATTGAAGAGTGTAAATAAGTGGAAGTTTGTTAGTAGAACCCTCTCTTACCATAGCTGATACCATCTGCCCCTGTATATAACAAATATATTACACTTTATAACATAGAAAAACAAACTTCTTGCTAATAACAAGATTATTAACTCTGTAGTTAATACTGTTCAGAATTTTCATTGCAATCAACAGCCTTTATAGCTAAACCTACAGTAGAACTTGATGCTACTAGTCATATCTCAGATTCTCTAAATTGACATAGCAATCTATTCAACAGAATTTCAAACCACCATGAACTTACTATTCACTAATTAAGCACAGATGAATAGGAGAGGGTTGATTCTTAAATATTATATCTTCTAAAGCAAATATTATCGAGTCCATAAAGTTGATGCATAAAATGGGGAAGGATAAGAAGAGGCAGACAGGGTTTAATGTCTAGCAATCATATTTAACAATTAATTCATAATTTAATTAATCAATTATTAGTTGCAACATAAAAATATGGCATGAATCAATCAAAATAATACTTCATGAAGTTTTTAAAACAGACCAATAATCATGTGACAAATGAATATTGTTTATATGGAGTTTTTTCTTAAAAGAGTTTAAAATGAAAAATATTGTTTTTCTTTTTTTAATACAGGTATATATAATTTCTACATCCAGTATAATTGATATTGGTAATATGTTAAACTTCATGAAGCAATTCAAAATATTATCAATAATAAATGATTAAATATTAGCAAGATTTTCATCCCATTCTCTTCAGCAGGGCAAGGTAAAGGAATAAAATGATATAAGATAAATATGGGAAGGATTGTATAGATAATAGGTTTTAATGGTTAACTAAAAAAAAAATTCAAAATCTTTAAAATTAAATTCAACTTCCTTTTGATACAATCACAGTAATAATTTTATATGAATTTAGTTCCAATTTTATTTGAATTTAGTTCCAATGTCATCTGAATTTTTTATCTGAATTTTGTTCCATTTTTATCTGAATTTTGTTCATAAGTAGTTTTCTTGAAATCCAAGATGATCTTTATTTTAGTAATCAAATTTTATACTTACTTAAAATTTATATTTCATGTTTATTTAAAATTTAGTAAATGAATAAAGCCAACAGCACAATGTGTGTTATTTTGACAACATGCACAAACAAAACAAAACAATCATAAAATCTGAACATAAAAACAAAGTTAGTTTTTGACCTTTAATACTTTGGCAGTTTAGTGTTTCTTCATGCAATTGCATATATTTGTATCTGGCTCCTATTTCATTTTATTAGTTTTTTTTCAAAATGTCATGCTGTAGAAATTCTTCATGTTTTTAGTTAGTAATTTTTGTGATTAATTTCAAATAAAATTATAAATAATAATAAAAAGAGTTTGAAATGTGGAAATTCTTCATGTTTTCATTCAGTAATTTTTGTGATTAATTTCAAATAAAATCATAATTAATAATAAAAAAACAGTTTGAAATGTTTGAGAGCTGAAATCTACCTGGGAGCACTGCCCTGATGCAGAAAAAAGGAAGAAACATTAATTACCGTGCCACGGACCTCCAGCATTTTATTCATTAATTGCTCTGCTTGTTCTTTTGTACATTCAAAACTCTCTCGAGTCTGGGTAAAGAGAAAATGTAATTAGTTGATGCATATAAATTCATATAAGAATTAAACTTTAAAAGTTTACAATGTAATAAATAAGCTTGTGTCATAGAGGAAATGTAATGAAATGGGGTTTAAAGTCTTACTTTTCTGTACCAACTGGGTTATGGAAAAGGGACATACACCATATGGTGTGCTATGAGAAAAATTTGCTTGGACATTAACTTTGCATCAACTCTATTGCCTACTCTTATATCAATGTGTTGCAAATGTTATAAATATGACGTCAGTTATCCACCCCAACAAAATGACTCAACACTTCTGAGAAAGGAAAACCAGGTAGAAAAATCCAGAGGAACTCTTTTGGTCTAGTACCTCCTAGTCAGCAAGTGCCATTAAGGTAGATTTATTTAGAACAGGGAACGCTAATACCATGATACATTTACATGTTTCTTGCACAGAGGTAAGGTTAGCAAATGTTTTTTTTTACGAGACAGATTAAGAGTTTGGTGACCAGCCTTTTGGACACATGAATTCAACCATGATTCAACACTCCACTTATTACCTTTTGTAATCTTTGTTGACAATCGATCATAAAAGGTTTAAAATCTTGAGATGCTTCATGCCCTATAAAAATAAAATAAAAAATTTATATTTTCAAAATCTTAAAACAGTCGTCAAAAGACAATAGTTGTAGTTATTAAAGAGTCTTTCGGAGAAATTAGAGGACTATCAAAATAAGTTTGTCTGTTTAGCTCCTTTATGTATTCAGGTTTGTTTGACTGTCAGCTTTAGTTCCATACTTTTCCTCAGTATTCTGCTTATATTTAAAGATATTTTGAGAGTTTTCTTACCTTGATGATAAAAAGTTAACCAACTATACATAAAACCCAATAACTGAAAGAAAAAAAACAAACATTTTTCTAAATTTTCAAAAATAGCAGTACAAAATCATATATTGTCTCCTTAAAAAAGTTAATCTAAATTTCTTGCAGTTTCAACAAAATTATGATATTTATAAGACCTCTATACATAGTTGAACTTAAAGCTTAACTCTAATTAAGTTAAAGACACAACTCAATCACTGACTAACATATAAAAAATTATTTAATTTCGCAAGCACTTACAATTTCAACAAATTCAAACTTCTTTTTCTCCTGGACTTCATGTAATTTAAGAACATATTTCATAGAAGCTTGATAAAATCCTCTTCTCTCCATTTCTAATGATGCATCGGCCTGTAAAATATGGAAATGATGTTTGCAAGTATACTTGTACATCTACAATCCCTCTACATGGGAAATTGTTGCATAAAACAGTATATTTATTTCATAATATCAATTATTGAGTAATTATATACTTAATGAAGAAGGATCCAATGACTTATGAGAATATCTTTCCTTATAAATGATAACCATGTGATGCACACAAATGAATATATCAACTAGTCACACAAGTATATAATTCTTACTACCATCAGTAAATAAGCAATAGTATGTCATATTTATCAAGAAACCCTTAGTAGTCACTCCCACATGAAAGACAAGGAACAACTGAAGGTTCGGTTATTGCTGTGTTTTTAAGAGTTTCTTGAATAGTTTCATCTCAGCAACAAAATGAAAATGTAAGGGAGGTAACTCTACCAATACACATTATTATCTCCCCTTAGACCACATTGTGTATAAAACTATGGCAACATCCATACTCATGATTTTAAAAAGAAAATCGTACTGTTATCTTACCTCCTGTAGTGTGCTTTCATTCACCTTATTCTTCATATTTAAATATCTTTCTAACGATTGACAAAACTTTGTTGTTTGTTTATCAAATACCTTCTTCTCTTCCTGAAGTTTAAAAAAAACAACAACCAAAGTTAGACATTTGATGAAACAAGCAAAAATGATACATGAAAATTTTGTTAATCCCAACTAAACACAGACTGAAAGATCAGCGAAATTCCAAGCTTCAAATTAACAATTATCACAGCCTCAGCAGTTTTTAAAGAAAAAGTGACATTTTTTTTCCATCAACCAGCTTTCAAAGCAATGCAACAGCATGTAGCATCTTCACTTAGGCCTTTATAGCAGAGGACATGCATTTTTCAGGACCATTTCAGCAGATCTACAGTTATGTTTACATGTACATGTATGTGTGGTTTAATTGTCTCGAGCAAGACATTAAGTAATACTGTACAAAGGTACAGTGTTGTATTAATATATTGTGCAATATCTTGCTCGAGACAATTAAACAACTTAAAATACAGACTATCCTACATGTTCATTTCAATTAAATGTTGACGTGAATCCAATATTAGTCTAGTAGTATAAATAATATACCATTGGCAAGTTGCTGTTGCATATTTGATATAATCGTATGCTAACATCAAAGGATGACAAGACATCTTTATTTTAAATGTAGTTATTGAGCATTCACAATAAATGGTTTCCATGAAATTTCTAAGAACACAAAAATCTGTTGTGTTGCATAATCTATTAATTAAATTTTTAAGATGGCACAAACTATCAATTGGGACTATTTAGTTATGTCTTGATCATTCTAGTCTAAACTGTCTCCACTTGGACTACAAATAATATGACCTGGACAAAATAAGTGTCAATTGTGTTGATGATCTCACAATATCAACATGATGCTATAGGGAACTAAGACTATTTCTTACAGCCAAATCTCTATTACAGTAGAAACAGACACAATTACTGGATTGATCAAGACTATTTGTTAATGTTCATGTGTGTCAATACCTGTTGAAGTGCAAAAGGGAAAGGGGGCATCTATTAAATTATTATTTTAGTAACTTTAGCTATAGGTTGATTGTGACATGCTGTGAGCATCATCATAAATTTTACTTTTGATTTTTTTTTTTGCAGTACTCTCTCTTTCATGCATTTAATCAAACATCATTGATGAACACTGTTCTCAACAATTAAATCACAAAACCTGGGTTAGGTGCCAATTTGACCTTGATGTTCGCAGATAAAAATGGGTAATTCTTCAGAAAAAGATGATGTCATGAAATCAACAGAATGTAATGAGGATCGATTGATTTTAACAATTTTAGACCAGTCTGCTTTTTGATAAGTCGGTCTATATTTGCCCTTTAGTCTGGATTACTGCACCTTTTAATTGCTATCAGACTGACATACAAGTTTTTTTTTAATCTGTACAACTATTCCCTGATTATAACAGTGTGTAATTAGTCACTATTTCTGTAAGGCACAATACATATAAATATTCCAGTCAACATAAGCAGCAATAATATGCTACAAGCAGACCGACCCTGAGCTTACTAAGGACTCTTTGAAGTTGAATTTAATATTTATTTGATCTTATGTAATAACAATATGGTGCTAGTTTTTTTGTTTTAATAAAATACAGGTAATCTTTATAATAGTGTAACAATCATGTTGATGTACATTACCATGACATAACATGTGTGTACTACAAGGAAACTATTGTCAATATTGTAATATGCTAGACAAGATAATGTAAGAAATTTTATTCCTTTCAAGTGCCTGTGTGATGATTATACTTGGTTAAAGTAACTTCATAATAACACTTGTACTGAAGGGATTTAATATCTAATTTTTATGGGTTTTACCCTTGAGTGGCAGGTTAACAATATCGGTGCAATTATAAATACTTATCAACCAGAAAAAGAGAATTATTTGTTTGCCCAACAAGTTAAAAAAATTGGGAAAAATTAGCAAATAAATCAAACATATTATGCGCAACCAACTCAACATTCTGAATCTCAAATGTAGATTTGGCTATCGTTTACTAACCACTGGCATCTTTAATGACTGTTGAACATCTTTCGAAAGAAATGGGACTCAATAATGGGACAAATGAGGTCAGAGGTTATTGTGCTGTATCAAACTGTTGTAACTTTGTGAAATCTCATTCAGTATATTTTTCCTGTTTGTACAGAAAACATGTTAATTGTTGGTTATTTTACCATCTTGTGCAGCAAATACACAAACTGTAATGAATGGATACTTGTTGACTAATGATAGAATACACATTAAATGAGTTATCCAGTAATTTTGTATTACATTTAAATCTACTAATACTAAAATATATGGTACAACTAAAAATCAAAATAAACGTAAAATAAAATAAAATGCACGTCTGTAAAAAAAATAAAATGGCAACATAACATGAAGCTGGTAAATTTGTGAAAGGTGAAAAATTATGAAAACGTATTAGAAAGGTTACGAGGACTATACAATTAATTGACTTGAATAATAATCATAATACTAGCAGAAAATAAGGAATAATTAGGAAAACTGAAAATAAATTAATCTAAATTTTAATCACTAATAGGTTAAAGGATTCATATTTGAATAAGAATGGCTTTAATTTGAACATCATTATATAGGCCTTACTGACAAAGACTTGTCGGGTGGCTATACATAAGCTAGTTTAACAATAATGGCGTTTGTAAGACAAGAGTAGTGTGGTGTTCACACAGATCATCAACCAAACAAGCTCAACTGCTCTGTAAGACAAAGGCATTAATAATTTCAAGAGATGATGAAATTTGCACATTTAAGCCAAATATTTAGACTGCCAGAAAAAGTAAGTTTGGGAAATAGACACATCTCACAGACAGGTAGCAGGATGGTGCTTTTAAACTGGTTGGTTCGATGACATAAAAAATGTTTCTGTTTGAAGGCCATTTAACATCTTAACCAGAATAGCAAATAATAGCATACTTCCTTATTTTCCGCTAACAACTGAATTTGATTGAAAACACACGAAAAGGATAGGCTACACACAAGATGAGGAACTGAAACTTTAACTTCAGTACAATGATTTAATCTACAACAGTTCGTAGAACAGTGACAAAGAAATTCGGAAATATTGTTTGAGAATAATTAAGCGCCAAAAAATATATTAAAAAAATAAATAAATGAATAAATACTAATGCACATTTTTGTGAAGAAAAATAAAATGTTAAGTTGTACCTTAATAGAATCGTACTGAAATTAACAAAATATGATGATTATATAGCAATTTACTGCCAAAAGCCATTTCCAGAAATAAACCAATGACATAATTTTCATGTTTTCAACAATTTTCTACATATCAATAGTAATAAAATACCCAAAGAAAAAAAAAAGAATTATATTACAACCAAATCTTTTAATTAAATATAAAACATGAAAATAACAAAAGGATTATTTTTAGATACCAAATACCCGAAAAAAGAAGAAACAATGTGGAGGTTTCTAAATGTTTGATGAATTTGTTAGAAAAATGATTTAGAAAATTGTCATCTAAATAAAACAACTGAAGCTACAAGTAGTAGATGTTATTTTACCTTAGCAGCACCTATATTCTCCTTACGGAATGTTTCTAAAGGTTTCACAAACTGTTCACTTGCCATGTTCAACTGAAAGTAGAAGATAGTTTTACTTTTGATCTCTGTAATTTTAACTATGCAAATATTAGTTCATCATTGTTCATGCTTGTGTCATTTTATGATCCGTACTTGGTTCCAATATAGGGATCCCACTACTAAGATATACAAGGGACTATTTCACGGAGTGGAAGCTTTTCACGGTGAACAGTAGGAAACTGCATCACAATTATTTATCTGTGTACATGTATCTACATGTATCTGTCCATGATGATGACTGTGTATGACAACGAAGTACGAAGAAATAATACAGTTACTCCAATCATATATAAATATTTGAAAAAAATCTGGAATACTAATCCAATCTTGTAACATTGATTGATATACATGTGTAACTTACCATAACTTGTCGTTCCTCTTCAATGGCTGTTATAATTTTACCAAATTCTTGAAGAGAGTGAGCTAAAAAAGGATAAACATAAAGTTTGGTCTTATTTTCATTTATTTATTTGTGTTTTGTAAATTAAATCAGAGAAAGTCTGAAAAAGGATTAACCATTGACTTGACATTTTTTGTTATTTTGCGACTAACAAAATAAAACTTTATGTCATGATTTGATTTAGTTTTTTAAAAGAGACAAATTCGACAATCTGATTAAAACATAGATCCTATTTCGTTTCGTTTGTTATAGTTCAAAATTTTGTTTTTACTTTTCTTAACTACACTAGGATCTGGAAGAGTTTTTATCATCGACGTGTTCTGGATGATATGAGGGGTTAGCCAATGAAACGGTCTGTTACGGCAAGCTTTTGGCATGAGGTGCACGGAACTGTAGATAATCCACTAAAAACATCAATGTTGGTTGGTTATCAAATGTCTGACATAATAGGGTCAAAGGACGCTAGTATGACCTCTGACGCGACCTCCCAAAACAACTGGTCAGATCTTCATGTAGTGTAGGCCATTGAAAGTATAAAAAACAGAATGAAATATAGATCTGTATTTTAATCAGATTGCAAACTCAAGAATCCCATGAAAAAAGTTGAAGTGGAAAGGCAGTCAACTGTACCACTAGTACATGCATACCATTGTGGTTAAGTGACACTTAAGATAATATGGTTTGTAATTTGAGTCAAATGGTGTGGTTATGATCCTATTCATGCATAGGGTCATTTGTCTAACCTAATGGGTTTCCTCAGGGTCCTCTGGTTTCCTCCCACTACTAAAGGTCCCCCACAAACAGGTGAATTATTGAAATAAAATTTTTGTTCCTAAATGACCTAGTTTGTGTTGAGTTGACATGAACACCCCTGCCCCTCTCCCTGTGTTTACAAGCTGTTATATTTGTTTCATCACAACACTCATATAAACAAAATATGTGATTTAAGTAGGTCTATATTGTAAAATAACTTGTAAAGGCCTAGTGGTGTATCCAAGATTTTGTAACGAGTAGTAGGCACAAAAGGTGGATTATATGTAGGTCTTAAAGAACTTGTGGAGTGGGAAGGGTTGTAATATTAAGGGAAAATGGACATATAAATTTAATGTACCGGTACATGTAAATAGACCTGTCTGTTAAAAAAAATAGTTAAGCCAAGACCCCAAAGGAAACCAAAACTCTGAAATACATATACTACTAGGTAAATGTATGAAACAGACATATGTACCCAAGTAAAATAAATCTATATACTAAAGACAAGACCAGAATTGACCTGATGTTGTATGAAGTGTGAAGGTTATATGATACATGTAAATCTTAATGACACTCAGCTAGTGTATCCTGTTTCAACTTTATCATACAGTTATCAGTATTATTACTCTGTATCTACACAATTCCTCAAAACATAGGAAATATAAAACTACAGAACGGATTCAAATCTGAACTTAATAAAAATACCCTATATTATTAATCATGGCCTCAATGATTTATTAGTTTTAGAGTGTTTGTTAATCTTATGAAAAGAGATGTAACGATATGATTATTAGCAAGTTATCTAAAATTATCTAAATCTAAATGGTTAATTTAATCAAATGTTTATAGCTGATATAACCTAAGATAGGTGTGTACCAAGGTATTTGTAAGCTAACAGATATAGAATTAACAGGTGTCAATCCACTGAAAACTACATTTAATATACTGGTAGATGTGTACTATAAGCAATATATTTTTTACTACAACAAATTAACTGTAAACAATGTTTTATTTGTATTTAAACTATCATTTCTTTTTGTCAAATTTAAATTTATTGCTAAAATTTTACTTAAACATACATTATGTAAAAGCTAAATCTGTCTATTGTAGTTCTTTCTTTAGACCTGAAAATGTTATCTAAATTATTAATTAAACATTAACTTGTCCAGACCATAATCAACTCTCGATGCTATCACTAGTCTGCGATATTTAGCAGATTGGAATACATTCTTTGAAAAATAATTAAACGTAAATATGGATAATTAAGACTTTGTTTTTTTATCGTACCACGACTTAAGTAATGATGATCATGGTTAGCCTAAAATTCAAAAGCTAATACAAGCATCTCTGTTCAGAGTGGAGTAATTTGACTGAAATTTTCAGCATGTTCTATTTACATTATCTATTTTTTTAACTATTATAGCGAGAACTGTCAACTCTTTATCTAATCTCCTATAATGCGGATTCAAGGAACATCTTTCAGTAGTAATTAGAAGTTAGCCTGGTGAATTAATATATTGTAAATGAGATAATATACAGCTCAACTCAGGTATTTTGGATATAACTGTATCTATTTAAACAATAACAGTCTTTTATGGACATTCGAAGGTTATTGATTAAGACTGTATAAAATAATCTAATGCTCTGTACACACTGGGAATAGTATTAGAATTGAACTTGAGACAATGTGAAGGTAGTCTAAACTACAAACTACTTGAAAGACATGTGGTACAGATGTTTAATTTCTAAACAGAGACTGACATTCTCTGATAACCTGTTAACTATCAACAACATTTCTGTCTTCACTTCATATGTAGTACAATACAAACTAATTACTAACAAATTTACTTGCTACTATCTCAGCCCATTCCAGTAAAAATTTGATACCGTACATACATGTACATGTGCATGTATTATGGAATAAGTATACTTGTACTATATTATATTACTTATCATATCAATTTCAAATTATAATCAAAACCAAAAATCCTTTTATTTTCAAACTTTGATTTTTATAGTCCAAAAATTATAATTCAAATCATTTTATTACTAAAATTGATTTTTTATCAATGAACTTGATACCGTACTTCATAAACTTCACAGTATGTGAACAATATATTGGACTTAATCCAGCTATTTTCTAAGTAATAATACAATACATGTAAGTTATTCATAGAGAAATACTAAAATATGTGTGTCAAGTGAATAAGAGTTATAACTATAAAATGTCACATTGACTGATTGGCTTGCTGTACATTAATTTGAATTATTGCCCAACATTTATACATGCTTAGAGTTTATATGATGTTATTTTAGATTTATTCACAACCGACACCCTTTTCATACAATACATATGAATTCAATTAGATGAAATACTTGGGGAATTACATCAACACTATATTTATTTCAAAATAAGCGATTGATTGCCAAGTTGTGTCATTCATTATGGTCAATTTTTACCAATAATGGCAATTTTTAACAAAAGATCCTAGCACAACCAAGAATACATCAAAGCAATTTACAAAATATTTTCATATGGTCTACTTACCAATAATTCGTTCATCATCCGTTTGTTGATTGTTGATGGTCTCAAAGTTAAACTCTGTCAGATCTTTAGCAAATTGCTTCTGGGCGACAGATAGTTCTGTTGGTAAAAAAAAAAGTAGAATTTAAAATTTGTTTATTATTTGAACAATTAAATGTCTTACTAAGCTATTTTTATGAACATTTGTTCAATGTCTATTGTCGGAACAAAAAATTCCTTTTCGACAATTAAAACGGCATTATGGAAGATTAGAGTGAAAGCTGACAGTTCTCGCTATAAATAGTTTAAAAAAAAGATAATGTAAAGGGAATAAATGTATGCTGAAAATTTCAGTCAAATTCTTATTTTCCACAACACTTTAGTGACTGTAGCCTTGATTATCATCGTTAGAATAATAAATAAGGTCTCCATTATCTATTTATACTTTAAATAATAAACTGCAGTTGAACTTGAACCCCAGATCGGATTTAAATCTGTTGAAAATCGGACCCATCAGATGGCATCGAGGGTTGATTATGGTCTTTTCATGTTAATAAATGTCTTAATAGTTTTTAAGGCTAAATAAAGACCTGCAAATAGGCAGATTTAGCCCTTGTATAATGCCTGTTTAACTACAATACATGTATAAAATTTTATTAAAATAACCATTTTGTTAAATTTCAACTTATATGATTAGAGAAGAAACAAAGATCATATCAACAGGTTACAGGACAGGCTACAGTTAATAGTATGCAATTTCTTGGGTTGAGATAAGGAAATGTTCATAATACATGTAATTTAAAACCCTCTTCTATTACACTCTTTAATTTCACTCTTTTTTGTAAACTCTTAAATATTTAACGAAGAAGGTTGATGGTTTACAACCATACATGTATATACGTACATCTAACGATACTGGAACTGGGTTTAAGGAAACATTGCTATTCTAATTGAACACATTTTTGTTCAATAAGATAAGAAATTACAGACATTACATTATTCGTATTATCAATTGATGTTTCCCTACAGACATCCATCTAAGTTATGTTTATTCTTATAACCACCCAGAGAATACACTGGCAAGTCTGGATATCTCAATTAATATTGAACCATTTTGCTTGCCTGCCAAACTTTAAGAAATGTTATTGTACCAGTTCCAGAAGTTGTACTGTGTAATTCAGCTTTCTTGTACAAATTATAAAACAGTAGTGAATATATCTATCTGATGTATACAGTAGTGAATAAAATAATATATTATCATAGTGTTTATTTAAACCATATTTCCTATTTTTATCATGTGACTGAAATTGATCAATATATAAGCTCATGAAGTAACAGTACATGTACATCTAATTTCTTGAGAAAAGTGACCTACATATACAACAGAGTTCAGCTATAAAATAACTTCAAATTTCATCAACCTACGGTACATACATGTATGTAGATAGGCCTATACATGTATTTTCAATTCAATTCATTATTCAGTATGAAACACATTAAGAATACAAGAAAAATCAGTGACAAGTATAATATTTACACTGATGACTGTATCAAATATGCAGATACAAGTATATTTACTGTCTAACTAGATGTACAACTAGACTTATTGCAGTAAATTACCATCTTATGTTGAATTAACAAGTCATTTATATTTAATTTAAAGTAATATGACACAAGTACAATGTACATACAACTAGATAGCGGCCATAGCCTCCACTTTACATATAAGTACAAGTACATGTAATCAATTACAGTTACAATGTAAAAATGATATGAAATGGGGTTTTATTACGAACATCTTACTTTTCTGCACCAACTATTGAGTGGCATACAGTGTCACTATGAGGGAAGTACATGTATGGCCTTACAGTGATGCCATGGCCTAATCATTATTTTGCATTCTGTCAGGGGATCTCCAACATGTTGTCAATAGCACATACGTACAAGACCCATTTTTGTCTCATCAAAATAATAAGATGTTTTCTCTGCAAAACTAGTCATCCTGTACCACGGACAAGTTGAATCCAGTCTGAACAATTCCTGGAAATGTTTTGTCTTAACACTGAAATCAAACCTGTAACCTTCTGATTAGTGATCCAGTTATTTCCCACAAACTAGATGTACATGTATCACATACGTATGCATAAGTTAAAGGGTCTCTGTCGAATTTGGTGACCCAGTATTAGTGCAGAAAAGTTAGCTGTTGGAAACCCTATCTCATTTCATTTATTTCCTTCCCCTGGTATATTAAAGATAGGTTGCCAGGCAACAAAACATACGCCCACAGCAGATAAATCGTCCGAGCGGTCGACAAGGGTTGTCGCATATTTATTCCTTTGTAGGTAATTGGGGGCCTTTACAAGACAGTTCCATACAGATCAGATTATAAATTTTGTCGTTTGAGGGTTTACCAGGTTCTACAAACTGAAACAAGGGTCTCAACTCTGGAAGTAATCTACAGAAATTGTTGAAATTTGACAGGCTTTTTTGTTTTACTAATTTAAATAATGCATATAAATTTCATACATATCGGATGATAACTTTCATCAATCGAGCATTAACAAGGTTTAACAAAATGAAACAAGGGCAATAACTCTAGAAGTAATTATTGTAAATTGCTAAAATTCAATAGGCTTTTTCGTTTCACTAATTTAAATCATGCATATAAATTTCACAAAGATCGGGTGATAACTTTTGGCGTTAGAACGTTCACAAGGTTCAATAAAGTGAAACAAGGGCCATAACTCTAGACGATATTAACGGAAATTGCTGAAATTCAATAGCCTTTTTCGTCTCAGTAATTTAAATAATGCATATAATTTTCAGAAAGATCGAATGATAACTTTGGACGTTAGAGCGTTCACAAGGATCAATAAAGTGAAACAAGGGCCATAACTCTAGACGTAATCAACGGAAATTGCTGAAATTCAATAGGCTTCTTCGTTTCAGTAATCTAAATAATGCAAATAATTTTCAGAAAGATCGGCTGATAACTTTTGACGTTAGAGCGTTCACAAGGATCAATAAAGTGAAACAAGGGCCATAACTCTAGACATAATAAACAGAAATTATTGAAATTAAATAGGCTTCCTCATCTCACTAATGTAAACAACATATATCAATTTTAAAAAAATTGGATGATAACTTTTGGCGTTAGAGCGTTCACAAGAAATTGTGGACGACGGACGGGGGCGACGGCAATATACGTCCACATTTCAATGTGGGCGTATAAAAATTAAGTCAAGCATCAACATCACATATGGCCAAATTCAAAGGTTTATTTTAATGGTACATTTAGGCTGGCTGTTCATGTGTGAGACATTCCATGACATGCATGTACGTGTACTGCCATACGTACATGTACATGTAGTGGAAAAACAATATATGAGTAGCTATAAAATTTTGAATTTAATCATATCTTGATACTGGTCATTTTTTATGTTATATTCAGAAAATTGTGTTTATATCCCGATAAAATTGTGTTTAATCCTGTGCATAAAATATTGCACAAATAAATAAAACTGTGATGATTGAAAAAGTAATTAATTAAATATGATAATTAGCTAGATACACTTATAATTGAACAACATCTACATAGTCAAAATCGCCAATAGTTCAGTCAAAACAGTCAGTCAGACACTAAAAGTAGGCTACAAATAATAAATTAATGAAAATGAATGCCCTACCCCATGGATGATCAACCTCCGGAGCATGCATATTATTTAGATGATTAGAAGTGGCGAATTGCATACTGAGTACCTACTCATTATCTTTAACGATTTTAATATGTTGTGCACATTCTTTTTAGCATTCACATTAACCTGTTTTCAGTTAAAATCATGCTTAATGAATCAAACTGGAAAAGATGGGACTTTTCTTCTGTAACTGTTCAATCAGCGAACACGTTTAATTCTTATGTCTATTTCTAACACATTTTCACAATAAGTAGACCGGGGTGCAAGAGTTGTATGGCGCATCTGAATTCATGTGTAAACAAATTGACAAATGGTATGTACATGTAACAGGTTGGCCAACACTGCCCTATGCTATAACGGAATAAAAAGAGAGAGAGAGAGAAATGGGGTTTAATGTGCACTCAACACAAACCAGGTCATTTTGGGACTAACATATGGTTTAATTTTATTTCAATAATTCGCTTGCGCGTAGGGGTCTTTAGCAGTGAGAGGAAACCGGAAGACCCGGAGAAAACCCACAAGGTTGGACAGTTGACTCAATGACAGGCCTTATGATTCAGCACGTGCTAACCATTTGGCCATCCACCCCCCCATACCGGAATCAATCAAATCATAAGAATATACTATAACACATACTTATGGAAAACTGATTAATTTAGGAGACGTTTAGAAGAGTATTCTCTCAATGTTTTCAAGCAAAAACGTCGCCTAAATAAATCAATAATTGTTCTTCCATAAGTATGTGTTATAGTCTATTGCTCTATCCAGTTACTAAATGCCTTTAAAAGATCACATCATAAGACTATTCAAAAGGGAGCAGGTCACTTCATCCCAAAACCATTTCACCCCAGGTGGGCTCTTTCATCACAAAATTACATGGGTCGTTTTTTTTCCTCTTTTCTATAAGGCATGTAGGATTTTTTCATCCTATATAAACTAAAATAACTAATAAAATTTTAATATTTTATCAACAAAGGCATGTATTAGTCCATACAGATATTTTTATCTTAAATAATTTTCCAAAATGTGATTTTTGGTCAAAATATGTGCATTATTAACAGGCTTTGTTTCATATGAAAGTTAATAAAACTTTTTACTTCACAGATTTCTTTTAATTATTAAGGTTAAATACAGAATTGCTTAGTTTGGAAGTTCTAAGAGGTTTATTCTGATTTTTAATAGCAATCATTAATTGTCACTCAACATGATTGATTTTTATCATACATGTTTTGAAAAATATTGTTCAAGAGAATGGTACTTCTGTCACCATGGAATTGCTCCATATAAAGCTTTGAAAAGCTTACTAATAGTAATCACAACTTTACATGTAGATCATGTAATCAACAAATTGAATAAATCGCTCCCCTAAAAAAACTCTCCCAGTTTCGATAAGAAGAATAGTTTGGAAATTAAGGAGAGTAATCTGATATTAAGGAGAGTGCTAATTTGTATGTATGGGAATTGTTTCTGAAGATCAATAACTGCATGTTATGGGATCATTCCTGGTTTCATAAATTATAATAAACCCCTAATGACTTTGTAAAGGAGAGAAAGGTTCAATTTTAAGGAGAAAAACCTCCCCTCGGTCAACATTCAGGTGAGTGGTAAGCGCTCGAGTCATCACTCGCCTTAGAAAACAATGACTGGATTAGGTATATTGTTCATGGGTTACTCTTGTCAGGTATCATATTGAAATTTTAATATTATTGGTCAGGAAATAATGTTTACTTTACTCACATACAGAATATATTGCAATCATTTAAATCTCACTCGGTTAATTAAATGTTTTATTATTAATAACAATCAATAAAGTGTTTAACAACCTATTAAACAATACAGTAAGTTACATATGTCATTACATGCATAACTCAACTCTCACTTATTAAATGCGATTACAATAATACAATAGAATCTGAATAGGGATGAAATAGGAGGAATTAGCTTTGGCCTTGGCTTATCAAAATATAGAACAGATAGGAATGAAACAACCTGCACAGCCACACCCATTTAATATACATACTAGACTGCATGTAGGAGCATCATAAATCTATGGGTTTGGAAAATCTAAACAAAATTCTGATGTCATATTTATGGCAGTCACCTTCTTCATTTTTACTCTAGGTCTTAGTTTCTGCTCAGCCTCATTAATTTTTTATGTTCTCCATCTCTTCTCGATGTCACTGAAGCATTGCTTTGATAAGTTACTAATGAAAGTCATAAATTTATGTTGGAACAATTGTAAATAAATAGAGAGAGGGTATGTCAAATGGTGTAAATATGAAAATGGAGATGCCATTGGTAGTGGATTCGTAAATCATAAACAAAACTCACGTTTGGCAGCTTCAAGAACTTTATTTCCATGTTGAATCAGATTCTTGATCGCCTTGCTAGTTCTTTCCAGTTCCTTTTCATGTTCATGGAGTTTTTCCCTAAAAAAGGGACTGTCGGTGAGGCAATCACCAAATTCTAAAGGTTGTAGACCCATCTACATTGACGCTTACCGCGGTTTTTTTTAGCCAAACGTCAATTAATCTTTCTCTCAAGGCATACAGACAAAATGGACGTCCAGCCACAACCTGTGCGCACGCGTAATTTATCACTTCCGTATAAATTTAAGACAACATTGTCAAGACATTATTTTTACCATTGACATTTTCTATTCAAATTAGACTCAATAATCGAAACAATACTCTGGAGCCACATGTATATTTTATATGGGGTTGTCTGCTATAATTGTCAGGAACATTAGTTTTTAACAATAACCGAAAAAACAAAATGCCGAAGAAGAAGACGGGGGCTAAGAAAAAAGCCGATAAACAGAAGGAAAGACAAAAGGACATTAAAAATGCCCAATTTCAAAGACAACTTGCTGACAGACCCTGTAATTTAATGATGGTAAAACAATAGTCCAACAAATCATTATATTTAAAGGACAATATTGGTGTGTCATCATTATGACATTTGTTATAGAACTGGTTAAACACATTCCAAATATAATTTTAACACAGAGATCATTGCTACAATAGATACGTTATGGAGATTTCAAGACAGGGAAGTGACGAACACAAAAGGAAAACACAAGTTATGCTTCTATATCGGTAACTGAGTCTGAAGTGACGAGTGATAACAACAGATACACGGGAGAATTTCTGCTCATTAAGATTAACAATTTCTTTGAAGACCAAAAGTTGTTATATATGAGACTGTGGTAGGATATCTGACAATTCAAAAATATAATTGACTGTCACTAGAAAAGAGAAAACGAGAAAAATAGAAAAAGTCTGTGCATAAAAACAAGGGAATGTACAGACTATTTCTATTTTTCGTGTTTTCCCTTATCTAGTGACATTCAATTACTTTTTTGAATTATCAGATATCCTCTCACAGCCTCACATAACAAGTTTTGGTATTCGAAGGAATATCAGTGAACAGAAATTGGCCCGTGTATATGTTATCACTCGTCGCTTCAGTCAGTTATATAGGAGGATAACTCATGTTTTTCTTTTACGTTCGTCATTTTCCTTTCTTGAAATCTTCATAACGCATCTGGGCTATTTTCACAAAGACGTACAATTAAATAACGGAAAAAAACGGTTTACCCAATATATGATATAAAATTTTCGCAACCATTTAAAAAACTTATATATTGTACATCAGTATGGAAGTCCCTTCTTTGGGAAAATATTTTGACAATGCTATTATTCAAAATAAAATCAGTATATCAAATTATGTGGTCCAAATATCCATTCCATTAGGTGGTAAAACGTCTCATTCTCAACTTTGAACTTGAAAATCTGCTTTTAAAATTGAAAGGTCAGTAAATATTACAGTGCTTTTCAATTAGCCATCCAATAGAGCTGAATAAGATATCCTATTAGCTGTTTAAAGAAGAAATAGAAATCAGCTATATTAAATATTGTTTCTGTCAAAATTTTGAGAACAATTTGTCTTTTCCGTTAATGCTTTGTTAGTGAATTAACCATATGCCCCACTATCAAGTATTTCACTAGATGTCACTATTAAATCAAAGACAGGGTTCTGGTCGAGAAGAAAATCCCACATAATAGGAAGAAACAGTTTATAGGAAGGAAAATTCAATCAATTAAGTTGACCACACATGGTTGTCGCACAAATTGCATGTCTCTTCTGTTGGTCTGTTCCAAGACATAAAACACTGACTGATGGAGAGATTTTCACTCAGAAAACCAGGGAATAAGGTTGTCAAAGCACTCTGTTAATATCATGCATGTTTGTGCAATGTGAATGAGTTCAGGCAGTTAAAGCATGTCTTTTCTATTATAAATAATGATAATGGAAAATACTTCTTGCATTGAGATAGACAAAGGTATTTTGTTAAAATTATAATCCGTTATCGCTTTTTTAATTCTTTCTAATGATATTCAAACATTTATTTAGCCTGTTTCCTCTATAACTTACCACCATAGGTGCCGGTACCACCAAAGTTTAGCTTTATTCTGATTGAATCAGAACAGGAGATCATCTGCATTGATATAAACAAATGTATTAACTTTTTGCCCAATTAACTACACAGTAAAAACTAATTTCGTAGTGATATATTTTTCTACCTTTTTTTTTGCAGGAATGTGATCAGTGTAAAAAGTAAGTTTAAATGATTGTTACCCTTGTTGTAATATTGAAAATACATCTTTATTCTCTGGTCTAATCATACTAAACTTAGGCTGTCTGTCTATAGTTAGCTCCACTTGAGAACAGACACTGAGCGAGTTGACCAACATTTTAAGTCCTAAATCAACGATTTTCTTCGAAAACACTAAGTATACTTTGAGAATACAGTGAGTATACCAATTTTTGGATATGGCGGCCATTTAGAGCAGAGATCTATTCTTGAAGTTTGAAGTAGATGGATCTCTGTGTGCAGAATGTGGTCTAATGTGTGGTATCGGTAGTTTACTATAAACAGGGGATTCCGAAAATAAAAACGCTATTGTATGCCACATATTTCTTCTCAGATTTTGAAGAAGTATGTGCTCTTTTGAACAGACTTTACAAATCTGGGTACCCTTTGTTTTCATATTAACTGTCATTTACTGGACCAAATTTAATAATAAGTGCAGGAGATCACCACACATACATTTAACAAATGAAGCATTTTCCAAAAGATTGTATCAAGTTATTAGGTTGCTTGTTGCTTTTTTCTTATAAAGATCAGAGAAACAACATAATTTATTGAAAAAGGGAAAAAAAAAAGAAACTGTTGTAAATTTTTTCTAATTAATTACAGGACTCAAAAGAATCGTGCATTTTGTTATTTTTGTGGAAATTTACAACGGCTACCTATATGTGCCCAATGTGGTAAGTAGACTCAGCCGCGATAACAGATCTATGTATGTATTATGTATCCTGTAAACTTTTTGCTTTCATGTTATATTGGTCAAATAAAAAAACAAAGACTTGTGACTTTCGACTCTTTTTGTTATCACAGTCACATATTGTTTATGTATACAATGTAATATATTGTCTGTGCAAAGATATTTTATGGAATCCAGGAGCCAAGGTGTCTCATTAAGAAAGACGATGGCTTGCTAACCTGGATGTCCTGTATTCGATCCCTGTGTTGACAGAGAAAGTTTATCAAGATTTTCCTGCATGGTTCCCCCATGTCATTGGTATAATTTGGACTACTCTCATTTAGACTTCCATCTGGCTAATTCCTAACCTTGTCTCTTGAAGTGGAGCCTTTGCGTTTTGCTTACTTTATTTAACCAATGACAGTTACTTGCTTTGCCATTTTCCTTTGCAATTAAGGATTTATGGGATTGGTCAATAAAATAGAACAATCATCAAGGGCAGGTAACTTGAAAATGTATCCCCCCCCCCCCCCATGATTAACCCAGGGGTTATTGGTGTAGAACGGAATGAGACCACTGGGGATACTGAGGATGCAGCTAGATCTGATGTAGATTATATTATTTCTGTATTTCAGGTAAACAGAAATGTTTATTAAAATCAGGTGATTGTGTAGTCAAACATCCAGGAACATTTACAACTGGTTTAGGAATGGTGGTAGGTATTCTATAGATCCAGGCTTGGGTTATATTACTCCTCTTAGAATCGTCACATTGTTAAACATTCATAATACTATAACCTGTTCACCCTTGATACTTCAGGGGAGTAGCCATTTTCAGGACTAGGGTGGGGTACTGTACTCTACCCACAGAAGTAGACCACAATTTAAAAGATTATGAGGAATTCAGATATTAAATTTATCATAAAATGGAATCTGAGTGACAAACATGCAAGCTTAAAATAGATTTTTACAGCTTGGGATAGTTTCTTTCGATTAAAATGTTTTGAGGGGGATTCAATTCAAATCAAACTTTTAATTGATAAATTAGTTTGAATATGTTTTTAGGCCAAATATATCATCAGTTTATACATGTTGAAAGACATCTTTAAAATGAATGGCAGATATTGTAATCCATTTCTTCCAGGGAGCTGTTTGTGATTTTTGTGAAGCGTGGGTTTGTCATGGTAGAAAATGTTTATCAACACATGCTTGCTCATGTCCGTTAACTAATGGCGATTGTGTAGAATGCAATCGTGGAGTGTGGGAACATGGAGGTCGAATCTTTCAGTGCTCATTTTGCAGAGGATTCCTTTGTGAAGATGATCAATTTGAACATCAAGCCAGTTGTCAAGTACTAGAATCAGAAAATTATAAATGTAAGTATTATCAAAGATCATAGGATTTGCCAATCATTATATTCCTAGGGAACTACACTTACTACATGGTGTTGTTTCAGATTCCATGTAATTATATTATATTTCTAAGCTTAGCTTTATTCTAGGCAATGAGTATTATGCTTTCTATAGGCACTGAGTATATGCTTTCTCAACAGGCTGGGTATAGACTGTCTCTGAGAACTTTCTATACATGTAGGCACTGATTATAGGCTTTATTTTAAAAAAAAACCAACAGGTATAGGCACTGATTACATGCTTTCTCAACAAACCAGGAACAGACTTTTTATAGGAAATGGGATTAGGCTTTCTCAATAAACTGAATATACACTGAGAATACACTTGTTCTCGATAAACTGGATATAGACTTTCTCAAGAAACCGGGTATTGACTGTCTGTAGACACTGAGTATATAGATTTTCTGTAGGAACTGGGTATATACTATCTACAGGAACTGGGTATCTACAGGAACTGTGTATCGACTTTCTCTAGGAACCAGATATATTTTTTCTCTAGGATCTGAGCATATCTTACGTACGTTTCTCATTATGATTTGATACAGGTGCTTCAAGATTTCAACGTATATTTCTCAGCCTAAGTCGTTCAGGTGGGATAAACAACCGAGGTCCTGTGTACAAGTAAAAGAACACTTGTCAATCAGAAATCAAAATAAGAGTACGTCATAGCTCAGTTGTCCAGGCAAAAATTCTATTACAACACATTGCATGGAATATGTCCATGTTCATTAGCCGAGATGGTGCACTTTCATTTCATTTGGTTTATAAGTTAGCACCCTAACCTGCTCACCAAGGCACCATGGCTTCCTCTCATAACATTATTGATAAAAATTCCATTTCATTTCTTTTGTTTTATATTCTCTGATTACAGGTGTAGCTTGTAATAAATTAGGACAATATTCTTGTTTAAAGTGCAAGGTAAGTCATTAATACTTTTATTTTTCATCTTGGGGAAACTTGTGCTGGGGTAGACTGTGTACTTTCCTTATGTGCTGTAATTAATTAATAATTGGTTAGTTTCATTATATTTTCATTTCGATTTTAAGTGATCACTTTATCATATGATAGCACATTGGTGGGATGTACCATCCAGATTTGGTCAGAATTATGCCATTGGTTGATTTCATATTGCTGACAGAAAGCAAGCCTCTTTTACTATTGCATGTTATTTCTAAGGAAAATGGTTTGATTCGTAATTTTGAATGTTTTTTGAAATGTTGGTTTTTTTCGCAGGTATGTTACTGTGATCAACATGTACGAAGGAAAGGGGTGAAATATGATAAAGGGGAATTTCCTTGTCCTAAATGTAATAATGACATGCAGGAAACTAAGGACTTGAGTATGTCCAGTAAGTATTTATTATATTTTTAAATTAATTCCTGCAGACACACTCACACAAAAATCCAGATTCCCATATTATTTCAACAAATAGTAAATGTAATGAGTTTACCTGACTATATATACCATCCTGACATGTTATTAATGTGTAGGATGGAGGGCCTGGCAAAGATCAGTGTCTAGTCATCTGGAAGGGTCAAAAAAACTGAAGTCCTGTGTACACATTGGCCATTAAATCAGTTGGAAATAAGAATAGGCCGTAGTGCTGCTGTCCAGGAAAAATTTCACTTGTAACAGTCGGTAGAGAACAGTAGGAGGTTAAACCACATTTCATATCATCATGTTATTAATGCTTTGTTTCATTGTATTTTTGTTGTATTTTTAAATCCTCATGTTATCGAAACACAAATAAATTAGTACATTTATCATGAAACAACTATTATTTCTATATACTGAAGGTCACTCTATTAGTTTTCCAATCCCTCATTCAATTCATTCCTTTTGGGTACTTATAACCAGCGGTTGCCAGGCAGGATACGCCCACATTTTCGAGAGATGGATAGAGAACAAGCTAACAAGAAAGTGATTTTTCCTACTATCAAGGGCCATAATTCAGGAAATTACAATTCAATATGCGCGAATATCGAAAGGAACTGAGATCTTTGTGTTATAAACTTACATTTCAAGTTTCAACAAAATCGGATAAAAATTGTGACCTCTATAGGGTCCACAACCTTGATATACCATATTTTTACGCTATTTGAGAACGAACGGCGGCCATTTTGTCTGTCAATTTTGGGCCGATTTTCACGAAATTCGAACTCAACCTTCCTTATGGTGTAACGGTGATATAATAATACGTTTTTTTAAATCGGATAAAAATTATGACCTCTATAGGGTCCACAAGGTAAAAACGCGATTTTTTGTACAATCAGGGGCCATAATTCAGGAAGTTACTGTCCGATATGCGCGAAGATCGATAGGAACCGAGATCTTTAGGTTATAAACTTACATTTCAAGTTTCAAAAAAATCGGATAAAAATTGTGACCTCTATAGGGTCCACAAGCTAAAAACGTGATTTTTCGTACAATCAGGGGCCATGATCCATGAAGTTTCGATCCGATACATGCCAATATCGAAAGCAGCCGAGATCTTTTGGGGATAAACCTATATTTCAAGTTTCGTCAAAATCGGATAAGAATTGTGACCTGTAGAGAATCCACAAACAATTGTGGACGGACGGACAGGGGCGACGGCATAATACGTCCACATGAAAATGTGGGCGTATAAAAACACAGAATATACTTTGATCTGCACATCTTCATTTTTGCACCAAAATACTTGTACTACATTCATTGCTCTATCCTCAAAAGTGAAATAAGTGAAATCAATAATCATGTACCAATTGCTTTATTTCAGTTAGAAAATATAAATATGGTCGTCAGAATGATTATGATGATGATGATGATGATGATCGTGATTATGAAGGATATAGTGCTGGTGGATTTACAGGTTATTCATCCTTCTCTTATGGCTCAGCAAGTTATAATAATGGTAAGCACTCCCATTTCCTCCCATAGGAACGACCCCTGCGTGTGTGCTAGGATATCACCCTCGGTGGAACCAGACATTAAACACTAATAGAAGAGAAAATATCTCAAAGTTTACCCTGAAAACATAAACAGGGCCATAGATAACAGAATCTGGTTAAACCAAAACTAGATTTGTAAATCTCCTAACTTTATAGCAGTGATTCTCAACCAGTGTGCCGCGGCACACCTGTGAGATCTTCCTAAGTGTGCCGCGAAATTTTTAACAGTACACTAAGAAAACGCGAAAAGCCACTTAATTCCAATTGATTATTCTCTGGTGTCTACTGGTACGTTCATAGCTGTGTTTTTTCTTTATTTAGTTTGAGTCATTCTATGACTAGTCTGTGTCTACGGTTGTATGCCGTCTATGACATGTCATATTTTAATTTTGCAAAATTCAGATATTTTTCATATATATTTAGCCAGGTGTTCCACTAATTTTTCATGTGTTCCTAGGTGTGCCATTTCCAAAAAAAGATTGAGAACTACTGCTTTATAGTACTAAATTTTAGTCAAGTTTCTTGATAATAATTTGTTTTCTAAAAACAGTAAAGCAGTTGTGTCGAGATGATGATGCTGTTGTGGCCTAATTTTCATCTTGATTTGTAATTATTTGATATTTCTATTATAAGATGATGATGAGTCTGAAGAAGACGATGATGATGATGACGATGAAGACGATGATGATGATGAAGATGTCAGTAAAGATATGGAAAAACTTTCTACAAATTAACATAATTAAATATGTAAACCAAAATTTGATAATGTACAAATAAATTATATATTCAAGTAGTAAAAGTTGTTTAATTATGAAATGGCAATGTAGACATGGAATTCTATAAAAAGAGAATCACTGTAATAGGCTGAAATATAAAATTATACCTTGCTGTTCGACTATTGGATATGAGGGCCCATGAGGTTCACATACAAGCTAGAAGTCATTAGCGTGCTAGCTTCAACCGTGCAACAATGTGCTGAAGTCTTCGTTGTGTTTTCTAAATTTGCCTGTCATACCTACAATTAGGTCTGGCCCACCAATACTCAAAATAGACTTGTTTTGTGTCTCTATGCAACACTTTTTACAAGTTTGGGTGTTTTTAATCCATTTCGCTGTCCTAGTTGAATTGATTATTTACATGTCAACCTAGGGAACAAAATTTGCAGCTGCGGAGATAGTAACCATTGATACGGTCAGTGTTGTTGATAATGTTCAAACTGAATTCGATTTGGCCAAGACCATTTTTATTCCCAAATCTGTCCCCGAAAAACCTAAGCATAGAAGGGGGGAAAGTTTAGACCCAAAAGAGCAAATAAAAATCATATTCTTTTATGATGTAAATGTCTTTGAAATTTAAATATTGAACTGCAATTTAATGTTTGGTTACTTTTTTTTTTAGCCCGTGCTACGGTAGGGATTATTGAAATGGGCTTTGTCCATCCAGGATTTGTTACCAAACCATATTCTTTTTATAAAACCTCCAAGATATCTTTACGAAACTGTACACACATAGAAATTTCTTTGTGTTTCTACAGAAACAAAATTTAACTGTTTTTGACATTCAAGAGCACAAGTGGTTGATGAAGGAATCATCATGTTTTTATATCATGCTTGCACACACTGACTGCATAGAGAAGTACCAATAATCAAATACTCACGGCTGTTGGTGTGAAGTTATCCCCCCTGACAGATCAAATAACTAAATGAATCAAATGGGGGCAAGGGGTTTAACTCTTATTTTTCTGCTCCAAACGGGCTAATGGAGATGGACATGTGCCATGATATGAGGAAAATTTGCATGGCCAGCAAAGGGTGTACACAGGACCTTGGTTTGTCATCCCATCCAGACAACTAGACACTGTTTCTTGCCAGGCCCTCCATTCTGTACCACTGATCAGAGAAGACCACAATGGAAAATCACAGGGAATGTTCTCAGCCAACAGCGGGATCGAACCTCTGTCCTCTGAGCCACTGTGGCTCCCACCAGAACATATCAACCCCTTCATGAAACACCAATTCAATTCCTAAATCCCTTCATTAAAAACCATTTCAATTCAATCTTCAACCCTTCATACAGACACGATAAAACAAAAATCTAAATTTTCAATTCTTGTAATTTTTATTTTTTTCTCATGAATGATTTACTCGGTATTTATCAAGTGAAATGAACTATAATAAAATTCATCTCAGTTCAGCAATATCAAATAATTAATAACCCTAATAATTTACAATTTTATAGTATTATAAATCCTGTATTTCTGAAGAATATAGGTACCGGTAACCAAATTAGGGCATTTCTTCTTTTTTATCACAAATTTACATTTGACAGTTCATAAACACATATTTAATGTCTATCACAATGTTACACATTTGACCCAATCAAGTTCCACATATTCACATATGAAGATGAATCAGAAAGCATAAAGTGTTTGAAGAAGTTCATGTCTAGCTGTTGATGCTTTATCAAACACGGGATGTGGTCTGAAATATATAACAATTATCAACTTTAATCAAATAATGTGTACAATATTTAACAAAGAAACTGGCCCCAAGAGCTACTCATCTTGTTGTTCCTGTTCTTCGAAAAAGTCTTCAGATTCTGCCAATTCAAATCGATCGACACGAAAATTGGCATGCTCACATTGCTTATTCCTTTGACAATTGTGCGTAGATTGACGGACTTGAATGTGTGATATGACATAAGATGTGATGGATGCAATGGCCTATTACTCGGTTCCTGGACCATAGTAGCTTGTACTTGTTCCCATCCCTAGGCACTTATTACAATAAATTAATACATTGTACAGTTAGTTTGGAAAAACACACAACATTTTCCATTTTTCTGAAGAATGAAGGCACAATAACTTTCTAACTACTCTTTGAACATTTGTAAAAATAATGGAGATAATTACAAAAGAATGTATTCTAAACTGAATGATTGATATGAGAAAATCCCAACTTCTAATAATTTAGAGTTTGTAATTTACGGATCAAATGATACTGACATAGCAGATCCTACTTACTTTGAAATAAATACTTGTAATATTTCTCTGGAGAATCTAGAAACATATTCTTGTTGTATGATATGTGTTAGAACTAATAGAGGACCGGATACATCTTCTGGTGGTTTATATTTTTTATCTTCCCCCTGTAAATAAACACAATTATACATTTATAATGACCAGTTTTAATCAGTGTGTGTTTTTGAATATTGACAACATGAAATTAACTTACTTAATTGCATAACACTCACTTAGAAATCATGCCATATAATTTTTTAACACCCAATTACATACTTTTGTATTACTAACTTTCACGACATTAACTTACCTTAAATAACTTTTATATCATCAACTTAAGATTTAATAATTAATAACTGTTATACCAACAACTCAGTGTTACTTATTTTAATAACAACAATTTTTTACAACTTTACTATATTTTAAAACATTACTTACTTTTATAACACCGAGTTTTACTAGGAATGTGTTTGTAAAAAGAGAGCCAGATGAATCGGAATCTGTTAAAACTGGTTCCAATAGTTCATCTAGATAAAAACAAAAAACATATCTTTATTATCATAGCTATCATCCCTGATTAACAAAAAACATATCTATAATATCATAGCTATCATCCCTGATTAACAAAAAACATATCTTTATTATCATAGCTATCATCACTGATTAACATGTATTTCATATACTGAGAATCTAACTTAATAACATCTTTTCAGGAGGTATTTAAATGACCTAATATTCAAAAAACTTAACACAATTTGCTCATAAGTTCTCTACCAGGATTCAAGCCAGGGAGATTCTGGGTATGAGACTGTGAGTCCACTATAGCAGCCACTTATATGATTGAAGTAGTTTTTTGTTTAATCTTATGTATGGAGCTATATATATACCGTGGACTGATTAGCTACAAGTATCGATGGGTGTCATTAATATAGATATAGACTTACCTGCACATTGATTGGCTGCTTGTTTTGTTTTTTTGTCAGTTTCTGTAACAACTGTTGATATCTTAAATAAAAATACACACATCATATTTTATAAAAACATTATATATTTGCCTCAAATCAATATTACTTTATCAACTTGATAACGTTGAGAGATTACTTATCGAAATGTTGCCTTAAATACACTAGTAGCTGTATTCCGTAAGTTTGTGTTTGTTTTTATACAACACAGTTACTTTTATGATGTATTATAAAATACAACTTGTCTACCACTTTTTTTAGCAGTATTTGAGTTAGTACTGAAATGTGGTAGGAAACTCAAGATTAAGGCTAAATAAAAAAAACAGAATACTCACTCTAAATATAGTATCAACTAACTTCTCTATGTCTTTATCTTCATCCTGTTTAAATAAAATTACATGTTAATCCTATAAATTAAAGTCTCTGATTAACATTGTGGGATTATCACATTCCTTACAAACAACAAGATTGTAAAAGTTGGAATTGTAAAAGGTATATCAGTCCAAAAGACATTCTTTGCTACAATCTTTTGATGGGTCTCTTTTTAATACGATTTAATCCAAACTGGTATAAAGATAATCTTCCATTGATATTTTTTTCATTGTAATTAAATAATCATATTAGCATTATAGTGTGGATTAGGCAGTTGAAAAGATAACGCACAGACTTTAATACTCAAACATTTTGAAGACCATACAATAAGTTTCTGAAAAGTGGCAGACTTATTCATCAACACACTTAAAAAAAAAAATTTTTTTATTGATTTTTTCATACTGGTGATTCCTCAAACAATTTATACAGACCCTTATAACAAGGAAAGAAAATAAAACATGTTTCAGAAAATTTCAACCAATATTCAGTGAAAGAAGGAAAGAAATGCAATTTAACATCCAGTCGACAAAAAACAGGTCATTTCAGGCCTAACACATGGTACAATTTGATTTCAAAATATCATAAATGATGAATAAAAATCTGTAGTTACCCCAAGTTCATGTTTGATAGCCACACCACGTTCATCACCCATCTGTTGTAGTTTAGTTGGAGATGGAAATGCCAAGAAATCAGCTGCCGAAACTTTTATCTACAATTACAGATACCAATATAAATGAAATGAAATAGGGTTTAACATCCTACTGATTTGCTCTGACTGGGCTAATGAAGACGGGCATACACCATGCAGTGTGCTATGAAGGAAATTGTACTGGGTTAGCAGCCTTTTGTCAAATACCAACTGTCAATGCACTTTTGGCATACACAGGACCTGGATTTTTTTTTGTCCCATCCAATCAACTATACACGGTTCCTTGCCAGATCCTTTGTTCTGCATCATTGACATGGCGAAACCATGCTAGAAAACTAGTGAGGAACTTTCCAGGCCAACATCTAGCATGGGACCTCTTGGTTAGTGATCAAGTGCCCTACTCTGTGAGCCACCATGGCTCCCGAGAAGTCCATAAAGGTGGGCATATTTTATTCCTTTGAAGGTTAACAGTAGTGTTACATACAAGACACTATACACCGATCAAGGGCAACAACCCATGAAGCGATTATCAGACTTCCGGTTAAATAAAGTCACCTCCCCGCGGAACTGACGAACTGTGGTCAGCCGGTAAGCGCCGATATGGACAAATCAAGCACGGCCAGAGGGACACATCCATATTGACTAAAGCAGTTAAGAAATCTTTGGACACTCTGTAACTAATACAAACGACACAGCAAAATTCATCAGTTTAAGAGAATTTATGTGTTCAACATGTAGGAGAATTTAGAATGGACTGCAGCATTTCCACAAAATCCTACTGTTAAGGTTTCTGCCATCAATACACACAACATCCTCCCAGTCATGTCTTTGACAGGCCCCAAGCAGACGTAAAGGTTTTTCTCAACTTACTCCATGATCAATCTGATTAAAACACAGATCCTATTTCGTTTCGTTTTAAGAGTTCAAAATTTAGCTTTACGTGTCTTTACTACACTAGGATCTGAAAGAATTGTTATATAACCTGCATTCTGGATGATGTGAGGGATTAGCCAATGAAGAAGGTCTGTTTCGGCAAGTTTTTGGCATGAGGTGCACGGAACTGTGGGTAACCCACTAGAAACACCAATGCCGATTGGTTAATCAAATATATACCGACAAAGGGTCATATAACCTCTGATGTGACCTTCCACTACAACTGGTCAGATCTTCATGTAGTAGAGGCCATCGACACCGAAATATAGATCTGTATTTTAAACAGATTGCTCCATGATTTAAACTGTGGACAATATAGTTGAGAGATCAATACCTAAATCACTCTGATTCTGAATCAAGTCTAGAGGTACATTAAGAAACAATTGATAACAAATATCTTTTTTGCTTGTTTTTATAATTTTAACTAAAATCTTTATTTACATAAAAATTGTAAAGGTAAAGTTAAAAATATAGAGACAAAATAAACATTCTATCATACCTGTAGCAGTAAGCACTATTATTATGGACAAACAATAAGGTTAACGACTAGTACAATACACAGAATAAACAAAATTCATTAAATGGAAGTTCCTATTTGGTGTTAAAGATATTATTAAATTTATAATTGTTTAATAAATATATATTTTGAAAAATATATAAATAAATATTTATAATTCTGTCCACTAACACAGAATTTCTAAGGAAAAGTAAATTTAAGTGAAGATAAAATTTTCCAAACATTGAAAGGAAATTAACATAGTATTGCCAGGCAACAAATAGATTAACCCACAAGTCACTTTTTGAAAAGAAATTTTAAGTTTTCATAAACATAAAACTGAAAGGTGAAACTGAGTTTCGACAGGGTTCCTTCATTAGGACTAGCTGAACAATTTCAACAAGTTTGAAAAAAAAATCTAAAAACTTGGTAGTAGAATGTCCACAAGATTGTGATGACAGGGGAAGTAACTCGTATGAACAATCCTAGCATGTTTAAAAAATATCTCAGAAAAGTCTGATGTCTAGAGCATTTACAAGCTTTCAGTGACAGCAACTATGCAAAAATTAGTTTTGTGGAATGGAGACAGAGAAAGAAATGGAGTATAACATCCACTGGACATGAACTAGATGATTTTGGGACTAATATATGGTACAGGTTTTTTTCATGTTTATCCATGTGAAATTTTGGTGGGACAGGTAATCCCACAATTCTATACTACCGGTATACATAAGTTAAAATGATTCCTGTTTTAAAACTGGTGCAACACTTAATGGGCAATACACAAACAAAAAATAGTATTGAGTATAAAACCATATCCAAGTCAAGGACAATAATGTCTTAAGAAGAAACGCATTTTTAATAGCTAGTATGCACAAACCAATTAGCCTGTTACTTCTGACAAATACTATTAAAAAGTCAAATTTCTAAAACAGAAAGAATATGAAATGAATGGTTAATATTAAATGCTTGACTCTTTCCATCATGAAAATGAGACCTGCTCTGTCTGTGTGCTAATGTTCAAATCCCTCGATTTATGTTCTGTGTGAAACAGGTCAACAAATCATTCAATCAAGTTCACCCCACAATATCAAGGTTTTGTTTGTAATGGAAGCCATAGAAATGAAAAACAACCGGTGGTTATCACAATATAAGAACACTATAGATTAGAATCACAGTATGAGTTTATGCATGGTATTGCTCCAAGCTTGTATTAATTAATTAATAAAAGATTTCTTAAACAATCAACACATCAGGATACATTTAACTTCTTCAATTCTTCTGTTAGATCAAGACTATCGTTTAAATCCTGCAAGACAGCGAAAAAAATAGAATTAAAATTTTATATTCTAAGCCTAGTTAGCTTTAATATTTTATAAATCATTATATAAATATTTACAAAATTCTCTACGACCAAATAAATTATGATTCCTTTATTTGTTTTACTTTTTGGTGTCTTGCAGGATACATGTCGTCTTAACATACAGAAAGAATTTATGCTATCGCATCAGAACAAAAAATACCACATACCTGGAATTAAGGCCATACAAAAGAAATATTCTGGTTCTCAACCAACCCTTACCAAAAATCTGATGTGGAAGGGGCATTTTAATTATTTTTCAAAGGATTGTTAAACTTCCCATTTTGAGCCACTACATTTATCACATCATGTTAACAGGAATGTATGATTATCCAGTATCATTTTTGATTCTCAGTGTTTATTATTCTCAGTGAGTGATAAATGAGTCACATTTCTGGATTTATTTAAATAACTGGTGTCCGGTTTTAAAACCAGGCCGTGCAGATTTTTTTAAGTGATGCAGAATTATCTGAGAATCAGAATATTTTTTTGTATCACACTGACAAACCCAAGGCTTTCAATACCCATGTTATAAACACTCACCTGTTTTTGTGGGGTAATTGATGGATCTTTAGGTTTTTGTGGGGTAACTGATTTATCTTTATTTATTTGTATTTCTGAATCTTGAATTTCATCTATATCTTCATATTCATCATCATCATCATCATCATCTTCTTCTTCCTGTATAAGACAATATTTAATATTTCAATGTCTTTAAAAATTGTACACTAAAATTTATTGCTCAGTCAACATTAAAGATGCTGCACATGTGGTGCTCGGAACCAAAAATAGTATAACTCTGAAGGCCCTAAGTAGTCACCAACCTTGAACAGACAAATGTCAAGTCACAAATATTAGTATAGATTTATTCACATGGCAAGTCTAAAATCAACTCTCTACAACACTGGATGCCTGAGATAAAATGGATTACAACACCCACGAGATTTAAAAAGTTACTACGATAACGAACAATCTGTGCTAGATCTCGTTAAACATTTCAACACTCATAACTTCACTCAGAATAAAGTAATATGAATGAAATTTTCAACATATTCATTTTTCATTATCTATATTAGAATTATTATAAAAAGAACAGCCCTGCTCTTTATATAAATCTTCCATAATGCATCTTTAATATCCTCTTTCAATTTTTCCTGGTCAACAACTTTATTAGAGTAATATGGAATTATGTCAATGAAATTGTCTGATGATTGGTTTAGGGAGGCCTTCTTGGTAAAGATGACATTTTTGATTAAGAACTGGAAGCTATATCAACACAATATTTCAACAATTTTAAGACTAACATAGTACCATGATCATTGAAAGACAAGGGAGGGAACTTTGCCTTGTTTCCAACTACTCTTCCTAGAATTATAATCACCAAGTGTACAAAGAGAGTTAGAAATGGGGTTTAACTTTCACTCAACACACACTAGCTCATTTCAGGGCTAACATGTGGTTCAATTTGTTTTCAATAATTAGCTTTCGCATAGAGGTCTTTAGCAATGGGAGGTAACCAAGAGGACCGAGACAGACATATGATAGAAAAGAAGTGATATATGTGTGAAGTATGTTAATTAATTAGTAATTACCTCTTCTTCTTCTCCTTCTTCCTCTCCATCACCGTCATCATCTTCTTCATCATCTGAACCTTCATCATCACTTTAACAATAACAAAAAAAATAGGTATATTCATACTTGTGGAGGGAAGACATTTCGAAATAATATTCCTTTTATTATACTTGTCTGTTTTTCCCAAAGTAATTTATAAATTTGACATTTTACAAATGAAATTCTAAGGCTATTATGTCATTGAAGCAACAGAGCTAACCTGTTTCAAAACTGTGTGGGGAACTTAAAATTATTAAATTATGGCATGCCCAAACACTAAATCCTAATATAAATGTAGTATATATTGATATAAATGTAGTTTATTGATGTAAATGTAGTTTATTGATATAAATGTAGTATATTGATATAAATGTAGTTTATTGATATAAATGTAGTTTATTGAAATAAATGTAGTTTATTGATATAAATGTAGTTTATTGATATAAATGTAGTATATATTGATATAAATGTAGTTTATTGATATGAATGTAGTTTATTGATATGAATGTAGTTTATTGATATAAATGTAGTTTATTGATATAAATGTAGTTTATTGATATAAATGTAGTTTATTGATATAAATGTAGAATAATGATATAAATGTAGTTTATTACCTAAGAGAAGCTAATATATCCTCTTTATTCATAGCTTCAAATAATCCTTTAATAACTGCACAACCTCCTTCTCCAAACTGATTAGCTAAAAACATAACAAATAGCAAAATAATATACATAATTCTAATTTACTGGTAAATATAACCTAATTTATTGATAAACTGAACTATATTACCTACTTTGTTAAACAGTACCTAATTTTAAATCAATGCCAAAGTTGAACAATACTTGTTAAGAAAGTATCTACAAGTGGTAGTCATTTTGTTTACTAAATTTTAGTTCTATCTGTAGTAAGATTCCAACTTCAAAAAGCAAAAAAAAACCACATCAAACTTAATGATTAACAGAAAAAGAAAACACTATTATTTCAACTCAAATCAAAGTGATTTTAACTAGCACAAAAGAATCTACAATTACCATCTAAATCTATTTTTACTAGATGTTCTTTTTTTTCTATAGATTCTATAATACTGTTAGCACCAGCTTGTTTTATTTCATTACCAGATAATATCAACTCCTGTAAAAAATATACTACATAGTATCAACTCTTGTAATAGACATACTAAATAATAGTTAAAATCAGTCAAAGTATCACGACATGGTGAGTATGATTCTGCATACCAGAAGGTTTCCAGTTCGATCCCAGAGTTGGCAAAGAAAATTTTATGGCAAAGACAAGTGTCTAGTTGTTTGCAGGGGACAAAAACCTTGGCCCACCAGTGTACTTGTTGGCGTGTTTGTAAAAGAACCCTTTGCAGTTGGAATTTGATAAAGAACAGGAGGCAATGTTACTGTCTGCGCTTAATTTTTCCTCACCACTGCATGACATTTGTCAGAACAGGGAAAAAGTCAATTGGGGGAAGCACAGACTTACTAATATGGGTTATTGCCCGGGTTGAGGTCAAACATAGTTCGTGAGACAGGCAGTTGTGTGTCTTACAGCACATCAAAGTGGGTTCTATGCAAAGCTCATGGGGCAAAAACCACTGGCAAATTTTGGGACGATTTTAATGCTAGAGATGCCTAAAACTGGACCATTTGACAATTATTGCAGAGGCACCATCCTGGTAAATCTGAAATAAACTGGTAAAGACAAATGAAATTATGTCGGCTTCTTACCAAGTTTGTTATTTAAATCCATTTTACCTTAAGTTTATTGTTATTTTCTGTCAAAACTTTGGCTATTTCCACTGCTCCAGCATTACGTATTAAACAATCACCAAAATTTATAACTTCAAGATTTTCTAATTTAGGTAGAACCTAAAAAATCAACAAAATTAATTAATACCTTCCAAACACAATTCAGTAATCATTTAAAGAAAATAAGATACAATGGCAGAAGAATTATAACAAAAGAATTGTTTAACATCATAAGTGGAATGATATATATAGGATAAAGTAATGATGCATCATTTACATTTTTAGCTAAAGAGAGAGAGAAATGGGATTTAACTAGGTCATTTCGGGACTAACATATGGTTTAATTTTATTTCAATAATTCGCTTGCACGTAGGGGTCTTTAGCAGTGGGAGGAAACCAGAGTACCCGGAGAAAACCCACAAGGTTGGACATGCGACCCTACTCCTTGTCACGTACAACCAGGGATTCAAAACCACACCAGTTGACTCAATGACAGGCTTTATGATACAGCGCGCACATGCTAACCATTCGACCATCCAACCCTCCCTTTTTAGCTAAAAGATCAGATTTCTCACAGCTTAATCCATGCTAATATGTATTGAGATTGATTATGTAACATTCAAAGGACTTATCCATAACAGGTGGAAACTGGGCTTGAAAAAATTCAAGGTTTTATCACAGTTCATATCAGGATTCAAATTCAAGAAAACTCTTATCACTCAAAATGTTCCAAACTGAAGGATTGCTACTGAGTAACATAGAACTGAGATTTGTCACTGATCTACCTGCAACAGTAACTAACGGCATTTGAGCAGAATCGTGATGTAATCAGTTGTCTTGATTGGTCCAGCCAGATGTCTCTATGTGATAGTCACTATTTGTGGATTTGAGAGAATGGAATTCTGGAACATTCAATCAGGTTTCCCCCATAAGATTGAGAGAGAGAGAAAGAGAGAGAGAGAGAGTGAGAGAGAGAGAGTAAGAGAGAGAGAGGGAGAGAGAGATGGGGTTTAACAATCACTTGACACAAACTAGGTAATTTCGGGATGAACATGGTTCAATTCTATCTAATAATTCCCTTGCGCACAGGCGTCTTTAGCAGTGGGAGGAAACAGGAGGACTCGGAGGAACTCATGAGCTTGGACAGGCAACCTCACTCGTCATGTACAAGCGAGGAATCGAAACCATGCCACTGGACTCAATGACAGACCGTATAATCCAATGCGCACATGTTGTTAACCCTTCGGCCACCCATCCCCACCTGTTGATTGAACTTATTAATACCTGTGCAATATGTTTGGCTCCCTTTTCTGTGAGTGTATTATCATTTAAATTGAGTATTTTTAAACCAGTATTTGTCATAAGTGCATCTGCCAATGCTGATATTCCTGGTGCATTAATTCCATTCTGTGGCATTGAAATATTTTCTAAAGTTCCTAATTTCTGAAATATATAATTTATTATATAATATAAGTTTTAGCAACAAGAGAAACAATTTGTGATTCCTCAGAAGTTGTCTGTGAAGATAAAACATTATTTAACCAGGAGGATATTGATGACTCGGACATAATCTGTAGGAATTAACGATTACACCGTTGGGTCCTTTATATGGCATTTAAGTAATTCATAGGTAATATCACATTTATATGGATAAAAATTACATTTGTTTTCTTATACTAGCCTAGCAATGTTTCGACAATATTACTGTTGTCTTTATAAAGCGTAATCCTTTAGCATCAAGATTATCTGAGACAATTTTTTTTAAAATTCCCATTTCCAACTTACCTTGAATACTTGTGAAAGAGCCTTTGTTCCTTCATTCTCCAATCTGTTCCGACCAGAAACAAAAACTTTTAAAGCCAGGGGGTTGCCTGTTGATAAACTGTTTTCATAACATTCTGTTAAACACTTAGCTAACATCTGAAATATAAAAATAACCAACCAATCATCATTCCATAAGACTTAAGTCATCGGACGGTCCTGGATATCGGTGGAAAAATAAAAATTAATACAAAAACGTTTATGAGATATGTTCAGGAATTAAAATGATATTCCAAATATTTCTTTCTATGTAAAACAATAAAATGATTGAAGTTAACGCGAGACTGATTTGCATTTTGTCAGCAAATATCAAACCCACACTAATATCTACTCAGATTGATTTCTGTCAAGAGAGAGAAATGGGGTTTAATGTCCATTTGACACAAACTAGGTCATTTTGAAACTAACGCATGGTTCAATTTTATTTCAATAATTCGCTTGCGCATAGTGGTCTTGAGCAGTGGGAGGAAACCGGATGACCTAGATAAACCCAACGAGGTTGGATAGGCAACCCTCCTCCTTGTCACATACAACCGGGGATTCGAAACCCCGTCAGTTGACTCAATGAGAGACCTTATGATACAGAGCGCACATGTTAACCATTCGGCCATCCAACCACTCCATCAAGAAAAACAAGCGAGAAGAGGGGAAATAGAAAAAGTAAAGTGTATCATTGACACAAGGGGCAGCAATGATCAATACAGAAATTCAATTTTTACAATATAGCAGACATTCAATTTTTACAATATAGCATACAATGTTCATTTCACTACAACTCCCTGAACTTCAAGCAATGTGAGTTTTTGTTTGTATTAATTATTTGGATGTTCCAATTCCATTCTTGTAGAGAGAATGACACCTGGCTAACCAAAACTAAAAAACATAACTATTACCTTTCCACCGGTGATTCCTAGACCATTGTTGTTAAGTTTCAGTACTTGTAATGTGTAACAACTTTTACTGGGTAAAAAGTCTACTAAACCATTCATAGCATTGGGACCGAATGCATTATCACTGAGATCTAGCTCCACTAACTGGGCACCGGCAGCCATTATTCCAGCTCCCAAATGTTTCTACAAATATTTAAACATAAATGAACCACTTCTCAATGATTTGAAGAGTTAATACAGCTAATTAATATCTGTTAACTATTATTGTTTATCAGAATTAAAGAACACAGTATTGACTGACTGACAGACTAAAATGAGATAAAATTAAACTTTCATAAAACTAAAACAATAAATACAGTTAAATTATAACAACTGTAAATTAATATTTTTCACATGTCTAAACAGCTCATTAATCAACAACATTGTTGATTGTACATATACATGTATTAATATATTTCACCCATGATATGTCTCATTTGTACATTAGGGTTTTGTTTGAAAACGACTTGTGAAATTTTGTTGAAACATTGCAGTGATTGCACCCATACTCAGTGTTTAAGAACACTTAAAAATATATTTTCAAAATTGGGTAATTATAAAAATTTTCATATATATATATATTAAATCAATGTCCTGGTATATCGTAATAAAACAACTTACTAGTGCCTGGGGTATTTCTGTTTTTAATCTACCTGTAAACATATCACTCCATAAAGCTTTCTGAAATATATTAAAAATTTGGTTAGAATATATTCCCCATTTCAGAATATTCTTTTCATTTAATTATAGCACTATATGTTGAATTTGATAAGATTTTATTGTGATCTCAAGCTCATGTTTCTTTCTGCTGTATTTATGCCATCTTTAATATCTTGTAATTGTCTGTCAACATTGAACAATAATTCATTTGTATCCACAGATATTAATACATTTTTTGTTTTAAGCATCTAGATTACTCTTTAAGAACCATTTTCAGTTCTAATGTTAATTTTTAAATTATGAAAATGATTATTAAATATCTGTGGCATTATGTCTTCAATCAAGACAGACAGATAGGACTCAACACAACTCAGATTATTTTGGGGCTAACATATCGTTCAATTTTATTTCAATAATTTGACTGCGCATAGGGGTCTTGAGCAATGGCAGGTAACTGGATAACACAGAGAAACCAACAAGGTTGGACAGGCGACTGTGATAATAAACCATTCCGCCACCCCACACCTTCTACAATATCAGTTGTATGTCATAAGTTTACCTCAAATTCTGGATGTTTTTTCAGGGCTTCTCCAACTGCTGCAGCAGCATCTATACCTAGGGTATTTCCCTCTAACCGAAGTGCTTTCATATTATCAAAGCTTTCAATGGCCTCAACAAGTGCTTTGGCTACAAAAAAAATTTGATCAGATTAATAAAAGTTAACATAAAAGTTGGAGGCCAGGGGCCTGTTTAACGAAATTATAACTAAGATTATTAGATAAAATCCAAATTTTAATAATTTGATTGGATAATATTAGATTGATTTTAGTGCTTAGCCAATCAAAATTGGGGTATCTACTAAAATTTGGATTTTATCTTTAGTTGAAATTTCGTGAAACAGGGCCCTGAATTGTCAGGGTTATAGTCTTAGATTGTTATTATCAATGGAAAGATAACTTGGTAAAACACTCTTGTGAAATTTACGATTTAAAAATGTTGATTGAGCTAGGATTTTACAAAATCCCATTCCATTTTATAAATGTGAACATTAACTGGTGGATAACTCAGTGATTTGCAATCTAAATATTTTGGAGTTAATGAGAGTTTGCTTAATCATGACCCACCAATAAACAATCCCTGTAAATTTGAAATAAAATTTGTATTTTGTAAGTCTGAAATTGTGGACGATAAATACAAATGATGACTACATGGGTCGATAAAAGATTTTAAAAACTTTTAATTACATTTATTTTCCTGTTAAAAATGATCAAGATACATGTAGCATGCTACCATTACTTTCATAAAACAAAGTATTTGCTGTATTCCATGCACATGTGATTGTGACAGGTATCAATAATCAAATCAATGAAGAATGACAATTTTAAGGTCCTAATTCCATATTTTAATCAACCACACTACAGTCACTCACTAGGCCTATGTGATTGTGATAATTAATAATAATAATAATATTAATAATGAGGTTTTATATACGGTAGCGTCTTCTCCATGTTGACCTCAGAAAGCTTTAGTACCGTACGGTTTTAAATTGATTAAAGGTCTATTGATTCTTGATCTATTGTGGAAGGATATTCCATAATCTAGGACGAGTTAAAGGGCCTGTATATCTTGGAACAACTACTGTGACTGTTTATTAAACATACATTTATGCAAGAGCTAAATCTGTCTATTGCAGGTCTTTCTTTAGGCCTACAATGTTATCTAAATTATTATTATATTAATTAGACATTAATTAACCTATCCAGACCCTAATCAACTCTAGATGGTATCGCTAGCCTGCGATCTTTAGTGGATTATGAGCCGATTTACTGCATAACTTTCCTTCACGATTTAACGATTAAATGGATTATCAAGACTAAGCTGTTTATCGTACTGTCTTTAGTAATGATGATTGAGGCTAGGCTGAAATCTCAATCGCTTAGTTCTCGGTTCATAGTGGATCAATTTGAATGCAATTTTCAGCAAATTGCCTAAACATTATCTAGTTTTTAACTATTAATGTGAGAACTGCCAACTTGTTATCGAATCTCCCATAATGTATAATGTATTTTTAACTTTATTTAATATTATTATGTATCTAGCCTAATCACTGCCCTAATAAAAGAGCTTTGTCCTCCTAATTTCTTATTAATAATGTCCTAGGCATAACTATAACCTCTAAATATACACATGTGATAAGCAAAATGATCGAATAAATAAATAAGAATGAATGAAAAATTAATAAAACGTTTATTACATGTTGGGTAGTCTAATTACTATTGAGAAATGGTTATATAAATATTACTATCCTGATAGAATAAATAAAGAAAGAATGAATGAAAAATTAATAAAACGTTTATTATACGTGGGTAGCCTAATTACTTTATGAGAACCGGTAATGTAATGGCAACGCCAATAATAAATATTATATTTACTAATTTAGGCCTATTATAATATTAATAATTAATATACTGACCATCTTCAGCCGTGTTGAGTTTAAAAGTGGCATCTTTTCTTTTATAAACCAGTTCTGTGCTGGATTCAACGGTTGTGCCAGCTAACTGTTCTGTCAATTTGTCGACCGAATCGGAGGCCATTGTAATATTATAAATTTTAAACGAACTTTCTGGTCCAACCACTCAAAGAATGGCGGTCTCTTTCCCCGTTGTAAACTTCCGGTGTCTGTGGCGGGAGACTTGAAAATCAAAACTTCTTACACGTGGTTTGGTCTCGATTAACTAGTACATATGTCTCATAAAACTACTTGGCGGTGTTTCCCAAAGCCCCCAAAATGGTGATGGAGAGATGGCGGATGGCGGGGGGGAGGGGCAATAAAAATGTTCATATTTTAAAGAGAGAGATGGGAGGGGAGGGGTAGAGAGAGCGAGTTTAACGTCCACTCGATCCAAACCAGGTCATTTCGGGGCTAAACATAATATGGTACAATTTTATTTCCATAATAGTCTCTATAAACTATAGCGCATTGTCCGGGCATTAATTAGCGCCAGCGATTGCAGGAGAGGTGTTTTCTGAGCACATTAGTGACACAACACTTTTGACTGGTCTGACAAAGCCCCAATCTGTTTCACAGAGAATTACGAGTCTCGTATAATATCTCTGTCATAGATGACTGCCTTAACACGTGCTGTCACAGCACGCGGTGTGAATCATTGGCTGAATGGCGCGTGCATTGTTTACATATAACTGCTTCGGAGAGAATGCTGCATTTTAGTCATTTTAATACCCATTTACACTAAATCGGAAATAATTTTTAACTACTAATACGTCAAACGCCTTTATTTATTTTTCCAATATATACAAAAAATGTTTTAGAATTTAATTTGTCGCAGGAAAAAAGTTAATATTTCTAGTTCATTAAGCCGCATCAATGTCATCCTTATCAGTGATTGTCGCGGCCAAGCAAATATTCACTGCGGATCAGTGTGACAAAGCCCGATAAACTGGTTAGGGCAGCAAACAGATAACGACATAAGATGCGACCCGCAGACCCAGTTGACTTGGAGTTTGAGATATGTTTATTTTTACAATAAAATGCCAGTTACAGTAAAATATTACAATAAAATTTAAAATGTTACAATAAAATTTAAAATGCTACAAATAAAATTTAAAATGTTACAATTTATTATGTTAGTTACAAAAATAAAGTATACCGGATAACTTTTTCCAAAAGGATGTCTGTGTCGACGAGTATCCGTCATCTTATATTTGCCACCGAAAAACAGCTAGAATTATTAAAAGCAACAAAAACATGGTATATGGATGCAACATTCAAAGTAGTCTGAAAACCATTTACGCAACTCTCTTCGTGGATTTGTCAGATCAGGGGCCTACACCAAGCAGTTACCATTGTACTGTTTGATGTCTAAACGCAGAACTAGAGATTATAGAAAGGTAAATCAATTTAAACCAATATAGTTAAATGGACATAAAACCAATATATAATCAACTTAAAACCAATATATAATATATCAACGTTAAATCTATATATTTATAAAACCAGCAACATAAAACTAATATATAATATTAATATTTTTGTCATTTCATTTTAGGTGTTTTAGGCCATATGGGAATTGTGCGGGGATGACTACGGTTGCAGATTCCGAAAGTGGAATCAATGTGTTTCACAGAGAATTACGAGTCTCGTATAAAATCTCTGTCATAGATGACTGCCTTAACACGTGCTGTCACAGCACGCGGTGTGAATCATTGGCTGAATGGCGCGTGCATTGTTTACATAAGACATAACTGCTTCGGAGAGAATGCTGCATTTTAGTCATTTTAATACCCATTTACACTAAATCGGAAATAATTTTTAACTACAAATACGTCAAACGCCTTTATTTATTTTTCCAATATATACAAAAAATGTGTTAGAATTTAATTTGTCGCAGGAAAAAAGTTAATATTTCTAGCTCATTAAGCCGCATCAATGTCATCCTTATCAGTGATTGTCGCGGCCAAGCAAATATTCACTGCGGATCAGTGTGAAGTGGAATGTGGAGTGGATTTTCTACAACCGTCCCTGGACTCCGCTGTACTGATGTCCTCCGTCTTGTTCCAGCCATAGTAGTGGATCATTCTAAGGACGTCCATTGAGCAAGGTCATTTGATGACAAAAAAGTTACTGGCCTGTAACTCCCTTAATTTTCAATTAAACTGAAACCTTGCCACATAAATTCATAAATTTAATAAAAAATCAAGTGGCTCCGTGATTTTTCTGTTATTTTTAAAATGGCCGCCAAACCAGACTTAGAACACGCACGTGATTAAACCTCACCTCGAAAATGTAGAAAAACTGTTCGGTAACTAATTCAGTGTTCCACTCTTTACTATTTAAAACATAATTACTTATTTCCACGCAAACTGTGATGATAATTGTTGAGAATTTTGCATTTGCTGCTACCCTACCCTTCATCCCCGCTATCTGGGCCCTTAAATATATGTCAAAACGTATTACATCTAAATATATTTCTATTTTTAATTTGACTACAGGCCTGTATTTAGAGACTAGCAGTATCAGCCTCTTATAGATGCATGCATTGTAAAATGTGTCAGGAACGACGGGACACTCGTTTTGTTTTATTATATCCGAAAAAACTCGAAAGGTCAACATCCGATAAATTTCCCTGGGAAATCCAAGTCTCATTTTTCTCCGTGTTTGTGGTGGGGCGCCCTGACAAGGAATATAGTCTTGTCGTTCGGTGGGACGAAAAACCGAACTCCCATGCATACCTTGGAATACAGCCGGGTAAAAGAACCCTTAGCAGTTAGAATTCCACGAAGATGCGGTGTGCTGTTGCCTGGGCTAAACATCCAAAATTACACACTTCTATATAGCGTATGCCCGTTTTCATTTGTCTGGTTGGTAAAGAAAGGTAACACGTTAAACTCTATTTCATTTCATTTTAAAGCCCAGTGAAAAGACTATTCCTGTGTCAAAATTTCAAACGATTATTTTAGGGTGGGTGGTAAAACAGACGGGTCATGATACCGGAGTAAAGGGGAGACAACTTTATGGATCACTGGTATAATCATAAAGCTTATGTACCACGGTAGCTCACTAAGTGAAACGTTGTCTGGCTAACTTGGAGGTCCCGTGTTGACCGAGAAAGTTCATCCGAATTTTCCGAAGTTGGCCCCCTTGTCCGTGGGCGGAGGTCATCGTAAGGGAACAATCCACACTGATCAGCAGTGAATATTCACTAGGCCACTACAATCACTCATAAGGATGACATCGATGCGACTTAATGAGCCACAAATATTAACTTTTTTCGTCCGACCAATTAAATTCTAAAACATTTTTTTTTATGTATTAGAAAAATAAATAAAGACGTTTGACGTAGTTGTAGGTAAAAATTATTTCCTATTTAGCGTAAATGGGTATTAAAATGAGTAGAAGACAGCATTCTGCCCGAACCAGTAACGTCTTATGTAAAAAATGCACGCGCCATTGAGCCAATGATTGACGCCGAGTGATGAGACGTCACGTGTTGATGGTTGTCATCTTTTACAGAGATATTAGAAGACGTTCGTAATCCTCTGTGGAACAGATTGGAAGACTTTCGTAATCCTCTGTGAAACAGGTTGGGACCAGTCATGTTGAAGTTTTGCGGCGTTTTTTTCCCAAGCCAGTGGTGCAGACCGAATTGCCGGAGAAGGACAGTATCGAGTCGTTCGGATGTGACGAAAAAAAACGAGGCCCCGTTTTATACATTGGCGTACACGTTAAATAAACCTTGAACAGTTGGAATTCGAAATAAGAGTAGGGAATAGCGCCGCTGTTCAAGCAAAATTTCCCATGACAGCACCTGGTATGGCACACGCCCGTGTCGTCTTTAGCCCGGATAGATCAGAATGTATCTGTTTCTGACTTTTACGTAGTACAAGGCGTGTTTCTCGATAATTAATTTGATAATGACGTAAGTAACAAATAATAATTTGATGTAACAATATCATTAATAATTTTTATTCTACCGAATTATATAAATGGGATATTATTTTGATTTTTTGCCTATTCACACAAAGAAAGTTAATTTTTTCCATGGTGTACATATCGATTTTGTTTGGGGATGTTTAGCAAAAATGAGACCGACTGATTCACAGGCCCCGATTCCGAGTGAGGCAACAACGAGCCGATCATCGCAGGTGCGAAATTTCTAGGATGGGTCCGGGGGCATGCACCCCCTGAGACATTTTTGGATCTAGAGCCCCTGAAATGCCATTTTCTGAACTTTGGAGGAAGATTTTGTAGAATTCTGATGGTCAGAAAACACTATAACATGAGTAAAATTGGATACTGCAGATGGGAATTCATGTTATTTATTAAGAATTTTGGAAGAATGTACAAAGTACTGCGAATCTGTGGCAATTTCTGAAAGTGATATATAAATAAATATTACATCATTGACATGGAGCTATATCTTCGATATATTGTTGTAGTATATATATATAAATTAGCAATGATATGACTATGTCCTCATATTTTCATCAAGCGTCAAGTTTGACCACCGATCGGCGAGCGATCGTGTCCGTTAGGTCACGCCCACGATCGATCGTGTCCGTTAGGTCACGCCCACGCTCACGCGCAAGATTCATAACAGATTTTACTAATTTGAGCTTTGAAAAACTGGCGCGTATCGTGATCTAATCAAATCAATCATGCATATATAAAGTATTTGAGATTTTTCCTCTTTTGGCATTGCTTGTTTACTTCTATTTAGTTGCCGATAAATAATTTTGAGACCAACTGCACTTATTGTCGAGTATTGTATTATATAATCAATGCAATCATATCTATATTTGGGATTTCTCACATCTATTTTGGCATTTTTTGTTTACCTCATTAATTCATTTAACCGCCGAAGCATAATTTTGAGACCACTTCACTTATTTTAGACCGATTATTTTTTTTTTCTAGGTGAAAATTTACGCCCCTGGCCCATACTTATTTTTTTCTTCTTTTAACTTCTCACCTTTTAAAAATAATTACATTTGAGTCGTATTTGAGACGTTGAGGAAAGTTTTCAAGAGGAAGAAATATCTAGAAGCTTTCCACTAGTTCAGTGCACCCATATTCCATTTGCATATACCTTCATTGTAAACGACGTAGGCGTTCTACTGTAAACATTGTATCCAAACAACGAAATTAGCCCCTATAAAATCATAACATGAAATGGTTGAAAAACTATATTTGTTGCTATGGTACATTTGGAAAAAAAATGTACATTGATCCCTGTTAATCGAATGACTTTAAAATGTTGATTAAATGTTCCAGAGAAAGTTTGTTTTATTTTTGTTCTCCCGGTCTTTGTTGGCCACTGGTCGTGGGAAAAAATGTGGGTGACCAGTAGAAAGATTGTGGGATCTCCTGAGAGCATTATTATCTTCGTCGGCTACCTTGTAGACTTGAAATCAAGACTTGAACACTACAGTTGCGGTATGATTGCCTGGTTGAACGCACCCCGATACACCAATTGGGACATTTTTCTCTAAGGACACGGGTAGTCTCGATCACAACGCTTTATTTTGAAGTAGATAGTTGAACAGATAGACGATACGATATCGGCACAGTTTGCAACTTCGTCAACTTTACATAGCTGTCTTCTTCAAACTTGAAGGACACTGCCAAAAGTTTTACATAGTTTTAAATGAGATGTGTTGACTTACATACATTATATGGATTAACGGTCTACATATTGCTGACATTACCGTTATATGGCCCATAAAACAGTGTCACCATTATGGCCACAGACAGCGAAGGAGGTGCTAATGCACGTGAGAAAACTTTTGAAGTCGTGCTACGCGGAGGAACACCTTGGGGATTTGAAGTGAGCGGGGGTTTAGCTGAGGGGCAACCCCTTCTTCAAATATCAAATGTAAGTTTTTGTAGATATTTTATATATTATAGTTTCTTGAAGTTTTCTTTTTTATCTGACATTTGAGGTGTCTAAAGCGTGGGAATATGCAATGTAATCGGTGTATGGTTACGACATAATTTGGTGTTGATTGTAACGGTATATAGGGGTCAACGGGGTTTATTATGATATGATATATAATATGTATATCTATAGAAGTCATATTATACATGTAGCTTAGTCTATTATAATCTTTATATTTAAATTATATGTCTGCCTGCTGTATATACTGACATGTTATGCGACAAATATGCCCCTTAGCAATTAAATTAGCAGATTAAATTTAGAAATTCTTAGGGTGTATGAATTTAGATTTATAATATCCGCTTAGATTGAGGCTTCAAAAATAATCTTTTTTTTTTTTCAAAGGATCTGGGTTTTCTTTCTCTCTCGAACAATGAACTAATATGTAGTGTTTATAATTATAACACAAAACATACAATACGCCAAGCAATTATATACACAACACTCCTCAAAACAAGTTTACTCAAGAATTTAAAGTGACAGTTTTTAAAATATCAATTTCTGTTATGAGAGTGTTTGTTGTTCGGATATGAAAAACCTAGTTCCTATGTACGTAAAAGAACCCTTGACAGATGGAATTCAATATAAGAGTAGACTGTAGCACTACTGTCCGGGCAAAGTTTCAATTATAGTACATACATGGATTATGCCTGTCTTTATTAGCCCAGTCGGTGCAGAAAAGAAGGATGTTCAATCACATTTCATTTTATGACAGTATACCCCACCTCATGCATGACACCAATCAAGACTACAGTTTTATTCAAATTATACACATTCATGTATATATAGCTATAACCTAATTTTTGGTGTTAATCAATTAGAATGCTTGACATTTGACAGTAACGACCGACAATCAATGAATGAACAAATGAACATACATCATAATTTATACCAATGTGCTTTATAATGGAAGAACAAAAAGTTATATTTTATAATAGTGGCTCTCTAAATAGGGACATGCAGCTTTAGGAATAATCCTCTATAGTAAATTAATGCACGCTGCACTATGAATAGTCTCCCCATAGTATATCGCAGTATATCACCATATGAATAACTTCCCCATAGTAAATAGTCTCCCATAGTAAATGTCAGCATGTCACCCAGTGAATAGCCCCCATAGTAAATGTCAGCATGGCACCCTGTGAATAGCTCCCATAGTAAATGGCAGCATGTCACCCTGTGAATAGCTCCCATAGTAAATGGCAGCATGTCGCCCTGTGAATAGCTCCCATAGTAAATGGCAGCATCTCACCCTGTGAATAGCTCCCATAGTAAATGGCAGCATGTCACCCTGTGAATAGTCTCCCATAGTAAATGTCAGCATGTCACCCTGTGAATAGCTCCCATAGTAAATGGCAGCATGTCACCCTGTGAATAGCTCCCATAGTAAATTGCAGCATGTCACCCTGTGAATAGCTCCCATAGTAAATTGCAGCATGTCACCCTGTGAATAGTCTCCCATAGTGAATGTCAGCATGTCACCCTGTGGATAGTCGCCCATGGTAAATGTCAGCATATCGCCCTGTGAATAGTCATAGTAAATCGCTGCATGCCATCATGCGAATAACTCCCTATAGTAAGCTAAGATATAGTAAACCCTATCTTGCTTGCCCATTTTAAAAAAAATGGAATAGGAATTTATTGTACTCTCAAGGAAATTTAATAAAATCAAATAAGATTTAACTTCCTACTTTTCTGCTCCATCCGGGCTAATGAAGACGGGCATACATCATGCAGTGTGCAATGATGAAAATTTTGTCGTATAGAGGTCCTTTTATTTCCGCTTTCTATTCATTGAATCACAACTACCAATCTTTCATCTATGTGCAGTGAGCAGTCTCTAGTCGTTCGGATGGCATGAAAAATAGATGTCCTGTGTACACGTTGCACCTAGAAGAAATATTGGCAGTTGGAATTAAATGAAGATAATGCAGAAACAAAGCTGTCATCATACCCCACTGCATGATGTATACCAATCTTCTTCAAGCTGTTTGGTGAAGAAAAGCAAAACATTAAACCTGTTTCATTTTGTTTCATTCCCATTGATCTTGTTGTAACAGTGCGTTATCAAACACAAAATCAGATTTAAAATAGAATTAAAAGTGACCTAGTGAAGTTACCATTGAGATCAGTGCGTATTATGTTAATGATCCGATGCTGTACTTTTTTAGTGGAGAGAAAAAAGAAAAAAATATATTTCATGTTCTTTTTAAAATTTTCACCTGAATGCGAAAAAAGGCAAGATGATATCAAATTTTCGTCAGATAGATGCAGTATCATTGTTTAGTTGGACATCTATTTGATGAATGGTGGTATATAAAGTAGATGGTCGTGAACTGCGACTATTAATGTGTTGTATATAGATGTAAATGAAACTTATCGAGTTGTTAATATGTAGTAGATGAATCATCTAATTGTAGGTTTTATTGTGGAGTCGAGATCGAACACAATGATAAGCTACCTGTATACAACCTACATCTATAGCCAACTATAATAAATCTAACAACTTCTTGCTTCAATGATTAAGAAGGTGTAAATGATTGAAAATATACTCATACATGTTTGCAATGTCCATGTATGCTTGACTCCATGAGGGACTATGATTAGAAATACATTGTATAATCTTTTCACAAGTACCTGTAGTGCTACATCTAAGGGAATGAAACCCAGCAACATGTCAAAATCCTAACGAAAAATACATGGTTGATAATTCCCGACACAATGTTAAAACCTAACTCAAAAACTGCATACCAACAAATATCCACAACAGCTCTATTGAACCCAAAACAGCTCTATTGAACCCAAAACATCATTTCTATGTTGACAAAATGGACACAAACAGTGATCTCTATAGAAGGGTACAAAATTCAAGTTTGACACAAAACATAAAACACAAATATATAGGCTGTGTTAGAGTGGGTGGGTGAGATGGAGAAGGTGCATATGCACAAAAAAAAAATTTCAGGTAACGCCATTGTTAATATTTTGATGACTTGGTCAGTTGTTTTTCTACAACCCATTAAATATATTTTGATTTTCTTTAAAGTTGAATATATATTATCTTTTTTTCACATTATTTACACACGTCCAAAACAGATATATATCTTCTCTGTTATAAGTAACGATGCATGATTTACATTTTTCGGAAAATATCAAATTTCTCACAGCTTAATCCATTAATTATTTAAGATTTAATTAAATAAAATGAATTCATAACAGCAACACTGGCTTATATTCACTCGGATTTAAGACAGGTCCATCAATTTTGTTCACTGCAAATAAAGATGGCAGCTGTCTTGTTACATTGAGAGCAGCATAGTTTATAAATACTGGATGGAATTAAACCATTTTTTTTTGATCTGATATTGGAGATTCACAGTATTGTAATTTGAACGGGATTCTAATTAAAAAAAATAAATTCATAATAGCAACACTATATTCAACGCTTATATTCAATTGGATTTACAATAGGTCTATCAATTTGGTTCACTGCAAATAAATATGGTGGCTGTCTTGTTACACTGAGAGCAGCAAATAGTATGATGGAATTTTCAATTCATCATACATGTATCTTTGTTACTACTGTATGGAATTTAACTGAAAGTATGTATAAAGTCTTTAAGTTTAATTTGCTGTAACTTGGTTGTCAGTTAAATAACATAAATTTATACTAGACATTAGATAGACATGTTAAATATTCATGACTAATTGTAGAATAACTAATAATAACAGACAGTTATATGTATTGAAGGAAAGAATACTTCTTCACATATTCTACATACATATAGCTTCTGATGCATCCATTCATAAGAATCCAACATTTTTGAACAATAATATGTTTTTAAACATGTTATTTCACGATGTAGTGTCATAATGTGCAAAATTTGCAATAAGCAATGAATGTAGTATGCAAGGAAAGACCTCTATGCACAAACGAATTATTGAAATAAGATCAGACCATTTTTAAGTCCAGAAATGACCTAATTTGTGTTGAGTGGACATTGACCCCCATTTCTCTCTCCTCTCACTTCGCAACACAACACAACACAACACTTACACAATACTGGTTATTGGTTATTGGTATATAGTCATAGAGACAATCTATCATATACATAATTTTAACCCTTCCTACAGAGTCTTCCTGCATTCAAGTGATTGTAATGACTGAGGCTCAAACAATTGGATTTTTACTTCTTTGGGAACAGTTAACAAAATTTTGCTTCCGATATTTCAGTTGCTCTCATTAAAAGCTCTTAGTTACTTAGTTTAATGTTATATTTTAAGAAAATGCATAATAAAGAACTAAAGATCAAATTATTTGGCTTGATTAAGATTCTTTGTAGATCAAGTTTAGAAGTATACTAGTCACATTTTATTGCCTATAAATAAGACCTAGACAAAATGTACATTTTCACACAAATCTGAAACATGACCTTTTGTGCATGTTAAGCTATGTTAAAATGCATTTAACAGTAAATAAATAACTTTCACCTGTTTATTTACAGTGGGAGATCAGGTATATTTGTATGTCTTAAAAATGTCAAATAAACTTTTATGTTGGTAGAAAATACACTGTTAATTTGCTCAAAATGTCAAGATGCACAGATGCAAGTTCACTCATTTAACTATTGAACTTTTAAAGTATTTTCAAGTAGAATATTTGCTTCAATTCAATGATTAATTTTCCTGTTTTTGTAGGTGATTAGAAAAACTAGACCTTTTTGATTTTAGTAAAAATTGAAATGGATTTAATGTGCTACTTTTCTGCATCAAAAAGGCTAATGAGAGAGAAATGGGGTTTAATGTCCACTCGACACAAACTAGGTCATTTCTTGACTAACGTTTGGTTTAATTTTATTTCAATAATTCGCTTGCGCGTAGGGATCTTTAGCAGTGGGAGGAAACCGGAGGACCTGGAAAAACCCCATGAGGTTGGACAGTCGACCCTACTCCTTGTCACGTACAACCAGGGATTCGAAACCATGGCAGTTGACTCAATGACAGGCCTATACAGCGCGCTTATGCTAACCATTCAGCCATCCAACCCCCCCAAGGCTAATGAAGATGGGCATCCTCTGAAGACAAGATATAAATAAGCCAGCACCATCTATAAATGTTGAGAAGAGTCTTCTGATGGGCCTCTATTTAAACCTATTGAATCCCTAGCCAGGATATTATCTACTGTTGATAGTTTTCTTTTTTTGTTTTCTTAATTAAATGTTAAAAAATCGATTTGGGTAAATTGTCCCAATAATGCAAAAGACAGTCAGCAGCCTTAAGAAAGTTTCTACCCAGTATTTAGATTTCAAGGTATATTTCCTAAACAGTCACATTTTCAAATACATAACCATCAATCGGAAAACATATTTATATACTATCAAGGAAATATGTTATTTGTTACCATAAATTTCCCATCTTTAAGAGAAACATTCAAGATTAACTATAAATTTAACATATGTATTGCACTTCATAATGCCCCCGTCAGACCGGGGTGGTATCCTTACTGCACTGCTGCGACCTTGCAGCGACCAGAAAATGCACAAGGTCGCCGAGAAAATGTTGACTTGAAAAAAGTCACGTTCTTTCAGCTGTCCAGGTCAGATTGCAGAACCTTGGCATTTGTTTTGAACATGCTCAAAACAAACGCTGTGACTTGGCAATTATTGGCGACCATGGAGACCACAGCATGATATCTGGCGTTTCCACCACACTTTTATGGTGATCTTGACGCGTACTGTGACCATTTTCCGTCGTCAAAGCGTTGCAGTAGGGACGCCACCCTGGTCTCTGAATGGGGGTATCAGGTAACGTGTACATGCTCACATATCAACAGTACCTCAATGTTTGATGTTTGTGATAATTAACTTGTTTGACATATTGTGATCTTGATGTGCAATTGAGGTCTATAATTTGTTTCTTTGCTGGTCATTACAAATATGGTTTCACACTTTCAGATAAAATAAATTTAAAGGGTCGAACACATGACCCAATTATGCTTAATAGAATATATCTTTAACATGATTGTTCTTCAGTGATGTTGATGAAGACATCTCATTGTAATAAATAAAGCCTAGGATTTTAATGGTCAGTGCACGGAGAGGGGGTGTCCATGTGTATACTTGTATGTAGTGTTTAATCATGAAACATTTTGCGAGGATTTAGATTTAGATTGTAGATGGTGAAATTGATTGGTTGTTCTGTCTATATTTCCTGTTCTGTTAAAAATATTTTGTTTTGTCTCTATCGATACTGCAAAAATGATTAAAATGGTTGTCTATTTTTAGGTTTTACTAAATGTAGCTAAAAGTAGTGATTAGTGCAATTCACAAAGCAGAGTATGCATGTTCTAAGGAACCCTTAATAAATGTAGCTAACAATGTTTGCTGGAAAATAAAATTGATATAAGTTGAACAATTTTATATTGTGGATGATAATTACATGTATTCATCTAGTTAAAGTTTCAGATTATCTTCTGTAGTGCTGGTACGAGATATATCATTGAATCAATGTACTGCAATTCACCTTCTCACAATTCATGTATTGAATCACGAGCCTCTAAATCAATTTTTTCATGATTCTGGTTTTTTTTATGGGGTTTTTTTTTTGGTTGTTTCAATAATTAACCTGGCACTCTTACGATAATTAAACACCCTTAAATTGTTCTTATCCTTATTTTGCTCCATATGGATATATGGCGGGACTAAAAATTCTCACCATAAATATATCGATCATTCATTTATCCCGATGCTGTCTTAGGAAATATTTACCAGGTTATGGATCACGATACGAATTGTATCGTATTTGTAGTACCTGAATCGTGATATGTAGGCTCTATCATGATATGACTGCAGTTGCAATACCCAGTACTAATTTTCTAATCAGCTTTCTTTTATTAAAACGGTAAATTTGTTTTTACAGACATTCAATTGATATTCATTTACTGACTGATATCTATTTACTTATTGATATTAATTTACATACTGATATTCATTTACTTATTGATATCTATTTGCTTATTGATATTCATTTACTTACCGATATTCATTTACTTACTGTGCTGTATTTTAAATGTTTTGTGTTGATGGTTCATATTATTTTCTAATTATTTTCTTTAAATTTATTTGTATATAAAGTGCTTCGATGAGCTTTTTATGAAGACAACACTATTTAAATGTTTTGTAATAGATAATATTTATTAATATTACGATAAGAAATTTGCATTTGAAAGTGAACAACAATGTCCCTTTCCTTGCATGTACATATATATCTCACCAGGTATTTACAGGTATGCTGATAAGATTAGAACATATTGGTAGATATAAATATATAATGTTTATTTTGATGACTCACTAGATTGTTGAGATTAACATTTAGATCAATTGAAAGCATGTCCTTGTTGAATACAGGTACATGTGTGTCATGTAAATACTGTATAAACTTGTGTATATGTACTTTGATAGATAGTAAATTGCTGGTTCATGAGGCACATGACAGCACACAAGTAACACTATTTACTTAAGTAACATTCAAGTACTTCAAGTGTTTTGATTACGAAATGATTTTGATCAAAGGAGCAATTTTTAATGCAAGTTATCTCCCTTGGCACACTAAAATTAAAAAAAAAAATTGCTTTTCAGGAAAATGTTAGTTACTGTTTGAGTTTGGTTGGGTGGTTTTACTTTTAGGGTAAACAATTTAATTAGAAAAAATAGAATAAGTCATTTCTCTTAAAGGTATTATTTCTGTTAATAACAGTAACATCTTTGTTCACAATGAAAATGATCTCTTGAGCAGGCTATGGAAGTGTAATTATAGGATTTATCTCAAACCAATCTTTTCACTCATTGAAACTTCCCTTTGAAAGTGTACTTCATTCCCAAAAAATCAAAGCAGGAACATGGTTTTCACTTATGATCACTAGAAAAATATTGGAGGCGACGTTTCAAAATGAGTTATCTCCCTTAGCACATTATTTAGAAAGTTATCAAAAACACAAATGTAACAAACATTTTGGACAAAATCATCCATGATTGTTTGTCCAGGAATTGGATATGTAAATAAATGAGAGAATTTGCCATCGCTCTTATTAGTGTAGGTGTTGATGGTATCATGTAAGAAGCAGGGTATGCTTATTATTTCTAGGTAACTTGATACCACTTTTCATTTGAGGACTATTGATTTATTTGCCATCGCCCTAGTGATAGTATCATGCAAGAGGCAGCGTATGCTTACTATACTCTCTGTAGATACATGCAACCAGATACCATTTTCCATTTAAGGAATTCTCATGGTTAACAAAGTTGTTTTTTTCCATCACTAGTTAGTTATAGGTGGTGATGGTCTCATATATGAGGCAGGATATGCTGGTGATGGTCTCATATATGAACCAGGATATGCTTACTCTTCTACATAACTTGATACCACTTCTTATTTGCAGAGTTCACATGGGTAACAAAGTTTTGTTATATTTGTATATTTATGGATATTTTTGTATATTAATATAGGTTGTTGAAGATGGTAAAGCATGGAATAGTGGATTAATTAATGGAGATGTTTTAATTAGAGTTAATGATATTGCCTGTTTAACATCTAAAGAAGCTGAACAACTTATCAGTAGTGCTTTTAGAACTCTGACACTTAAATTATGGAGGTAAGACATTCTTTTCTTTGTTTCATAAACACTATTTTATTGAATTTTAGGAATGGAAAACACGGAAAGCCCATGTAATCCCTATCCCCCCAAAATAAGACATAATAACAGTTATGTACACTATATACAATATAATATAAAAATATAACTATATTTAATTTCTTGTTTTATTAGTACACACTAGTACAAATATTACATTTGCAAGTTCGTACACAACAGGCGTGTCACCAATTTCAGGTCTTCTTTAGTTTCCTCAATTTTTTGCTCTTTCTCCCTAACACTCACTTTGCAGAAACTATTTCATTATTTGGAATAACGTATGTTTTGTGTGCACACCAGAGAATCTAAGCTTTGGCATAAAGCATATAACCTGCATTGATGACTTGCCTTTTGAGTACAGCGTCTGCTCTAAGCCACTCATTAACACAGCTTTATCCCCAACTCGTCTTAACATCATAAATTGACATTTTTCTAAAACACAGCTTAAAGAAAATCACAATGGGCAACCCATTTTGTAGATGCATGATTTGAAAACTTTTATTATGTTGGATGGGAAATAGATACACACAAATACACAGCCAAATAAAATGTTACTCTATTGTTTTTTAACTAAGCTCATCGGGATTTTTCGGCGTGCTTTCCCTTTGTCATTGGTGTAGGACAGAAAGTCTGGCAGGGGACAATGTATAGTTGTTCGTATGGGACAAAAAATGAGATTGTGTGTACACAATGATGTGCATGTAAAAGAACCCTTGACAGTTGGAATTCGATGTAAGTGTATGCCGTAGTGCTGCTGTCCGGGCAAAATTTCCCCCATAGCACACTGTATGGCATATGCCTGTCTCCAGTGTAGAAAAGTAGGATGTTAAAACCCATTTCATTGCCTATAACTGAAAAGGCAAATAAAATTATCATTGTTTTAACTAACAAATAGTCTAGTTTTTTTGTCAGACACTCCAATAGTTGGCATAGATATAGACTTTATGTAGTAATAACTTCAGCCTAAAATATATCTAAAGAAATTACTTTGAACACTTCTCAGTAAAACGGAACAGTATAGATTATAGCCCTTGTATATCAAACAATAACACACGGCTCAGGCCATTTGTTTTCTAATTCTGGATTGGCATTTTGTTTAAGCAGGCCGGTAAGCTCCTTGGAAAGAGCGCAGATCTAACGATACAAGGCCAACTAGCGGTATAAAGTGACAATTGAAATATGAACAGACGGAGAGTAAGAATGTCAAACTGCTTAAACAACACTCAATACCAAAAAACTTGGGGGCAGAGTCTATAATTGTTAAATTGTTGAGTCTACAATAATGGGGAAAAAATACAAAACGTTGATCTGTTTATTGAAAACAGCATTGACAAACATAGGCGACAAACTATACTAACTAACTGGTCAACGCTGTTGTTCAGTTTAGATGTGATGTTGATATAACGCTACAATATAAAGTACCTGTTGTCCAGGTCTTATGATACTCTAGAGTAGGCTTTAACAATTGTTCTTTCACAGCATTGTATACAGAAATAAACGGGCTTGGTTTTGAGGGTTGACAATTTGTAAATTTACAGAAGCATCTTGAAACGCATTTTCATCAATTCCATCAGCCATTGTTCAGAAATATATAAACAACTTATCATTATGCATCATTGCATCATGTATATCATACATGTTGTTGCATTCTGCTCATCAGACACCCCAAGTGGACATAAAACATTATTATTTTATGATAGAACTTTAATGATTTCCCCCCCAGGGGTTTAAAGAAGCTAAACCTCTAACTCAATATTTCCATAAAATTCGAAATTAAAAACATGAATTAAAATTCAATATTGGTCAATTTTAATCAACACTGATGTTGTTATATGACTGTGAAAATATGGGATCCTAATATTTATTTAACACATAATAGACATTTTAAAATTAGTACATATGGTTTAGGGTGCCATCTGTAATGAACAAAGAAAAACATATCCTACACGTCAATGCAGAAGTAATTATTAATTGTTGATTCACAAACAACAAAATAATAATAATAAAAAAAAAAACGTTTAGAATGGACTAAGCAGGTGTTAACGATCACCGTTCAATTTGGACTGTTCACATATTTCAGCAAACACAATTGGTTAGAAATTTCAATAAAAATTGTAATAATTGAATACAAATCACTTTATGTACCTTCATATGACATTAATATGTGCTTTTAGACCCATTTTCTTCTATATTAGGATTCCAAAGAATAGGGCCATACATCCTTTAAGTGCTGCTCTTGTTGTCATGTCTTTTCTTTTTTTGTGGACAGTTCATTTGAAAAATGACAGGGACATTCTCTGCAACATTCATGAGGGTGAAATTTTGATTTTGGCTTATTTTGACAATTTAGCTTTCAAGTCCTATTTCTCAGCTGTTAAAGTAACTTGTGCTAGACACTTGAATGAAATTAATTGTCTGGTAACATCTTTAATTATGTATATTCAAGGTTAGATGATTTTATACAGATAACTGTTAACATGTATGTTTATTTGTATACCAGTAAATTTAAACTATGGGACTACAGTTATATCACTAGTAAATACTTGAAATTCATTGTCTGCAAGTCTGGAAATAAGGAACATGTCACAAACATTGTCAGACACAAATCTTTGTCAGGCACTATCCCTCTGGTGCCTGCCATTTTGTCTCTCACAGATTTGTCTTTTTTTGTGGATAACCAGCAATAAATTTAAAATATCAGGTACTAGTTTATTAGTGCTTGATGACATTTTGTCAGGTATCTGATTGTCTGCAAACAGCTTAAATAATTATCTTACAATCTGGAATTAGATGATTTGTATAGATATAACTGTCACGATGTTTATGTATTTGTACACATATAAATTTAATAACATCTAACTATATATAGTTATACCTCTATTGGAGATTGATATATTTGCCTTTGAGGTTTTCCTGTTTTTATAAGGTAAATTTAATCAATAAGTTATTAACCTGCATTTATAAGAGAACTTCCTCGTTAGCAGGTGTCATTAACTCATGTGCATCGAGGGCAAATGTAAGTCGTTCTCGTAATAGTAAGGATGTGTACACTTTTGAAATTTGGTTGGATTTTACATAATAATAACTGATCTAGTTTTACAAGGATTATTCTGTCTTTAAGGATGTTATTCATGTTTTGTGTCTGTGATTTGAAACAATGTGAAGAGCTGTGATTGAAATATACCTGTAAGTAAACGAGACTGAAAATACAGTACTGATTTCTATCTTTTGATATATTATTAATAAATAACGAGCAAAAAATTCAAAATGTTGGTTACTAGTTCAGTAGTCATTTTGTCAGGTAGGCCTACAGAGAGAGAAAAATGGGGTTTAACGTCCACTCGACAAAAACTAGGTCATTTCGGGGGGGGGGGGATAAAAACACTTGGTTCAATTTGATTTTCATAATTCGCTTGCGCATAGGAGCCTTTAGTAGTGGGAGGAAATCTGAGGACCCGGAGAAAACCCACGAGGTTGGACAGCCGACCCTACTTCATTTCACGTACAACCGGGGAATCGAAACCACGCCAGTTGACTCAATGACAGACTTTATGATACAGCGCGCACGTGCTAACCATTCAGCCATCCAACCCCCCAGGTAGTCCTACAACTAGGAACCTATATGATTAGGGCACATGAGATGTTGGACCCCGCGTGATAAGGATGTAGGACTCCATATTTTAAGGAGGTAGGATCCCATATAGGGTTACTAGATAAATCATTGAAGAAAACTGGACATTTGTTATTCTGATCAGACAAAAGCAAAAATGACCACAGAGCACCCAAAGAGCGTGACGTAAATGAGTGCCTATAGGGCACAATATATTGAGTACTAAAGGCGCAAATTTACTAAGGGAGATTTGGGGCCATGCACCCCCAGATTTTTTTTCATTTCTTGAATGGACCATTGACGGGCAGTATATCGATTTGTCAACTTGTAGATTGTTTTACAATTCTTATATTGTATTTTGTATTGTGTTATAAAGTTTTTAAACCTCTACACCGTTAACCAATAAAATTATACCAAGATCATTCATCAATTTCTATACAGTCAAGCGCATTGCAATTCCTGTTCAGTATACATTAATCACTATAGTTTATGTGATGTGACGGCAGAAAAGACCCCCAAAACTGGGATGTATGGTAACCCTAATCCCATGTGATTACGACATAGAATCCCATGTGATTAGGACGTGGGACAGCATATAAATAGGATATACTCATGTAATTAGGATGTAGGATGCCATATGATAAGGATGTAGGATCCCATATGATTAGGACATAGGAGGACCCCATATGATAAGGATGTAGGATCCCATATGATTAGGACATAGGACCCCACGTGCTTGATAACAACAAGAGGATATAAATTGTGTGGTATTTTTAATGTGCTCAATCGCTAAATGCCACTCAAGGATTATGCCATATGATCAGGACATAGGATTTCATATGATTAGGACATTGGACCCCATGTGATAAACACCTTTATACTCTATTATTTTAAAAACATGGGATCCCATATGATTAGGACATAGAACCTCATGTGATCAGGACTTATGACTCCATATTTTAAGGAGGTAGGATCCCATATGATAAGGATAAGGATATAGATACAATGTGATAAGGATGTAGGAAGCCATATGATTAGGATATACCCATGTGATTAGGATGTAGGACGCAATATGATTAGAACATAGGACGTCATGTGATAAGGACATAGGATTCCATATGATAAGGACATTAGACCAAATATCAGTTTTTCTTTTCAGGGTTATTTTCTTCAATCTTTCTTTCCCCAACATAACCTCAGTCTCGTGCTTTATCCTACACTTAACACACTCTACCAAAATAACATAGCTTATGTTTTGTATGTTCTAAATATGTCGATGACCATGAAATCGGTAATGAAAGATAATTGTGTAGTAGTCGACATTTATAAAGAGATTATCTGGCGACTGGGA